TCTACATATTTTGACCATGCCTAGCAGTGCCAGGAGCCCCTGGCATGCAGTGAGAGGGACTGAACCAGGGGCTTCCTGCCCGCAAAGCCCCTTGAGCACTCTTCAGCCACCACCTCTGTCCCCACTGCCCTCTTGAAGTACTCAAAGGCTAAGTGCTAGCACGGCTTCCCCGCGGTCTGAATCAGTAATGAGGCCGTGATTGCCGTCTTCTTTAAGAACCCAGAGAGGTTAAGGAGTTTTGTGATTGTCACACAGCATGGCAAGCACATTGTCCATAGGGCTGGGGCTGCGGGTGAGGGGTGGGCTGGGGCTTCACGCCACTGAGCTCCTGTGTGCTGGCTTCCTTTTGCTTTCCCAAGGCTGCCTGGAAATCCCCAAATCTGATTAACTCCCGAGACATCCCCTGGTGATGCTGACTCTTGTCTTGCTCAGAATGCCAGACTCAATCTACTCAGGGCAAAGGGACAGGGACAAACCCAGCCTCTTCCCCAGCTGGGCGTGACAGGGAACAAGAATCTATGTGCTCACCCCACCCTCCAGGGCTTGAGTGATAACGAGTGTGCATGCCTGGTGTGGAGGAACCCCAGCGGTTCCTCCAGTCAGACAAGAGAAAATCCTGAGCACTGCCAGGTGTGACCCCCTCCCCAAATACAAGACTATACCCTTCTACCCTGGATAGGCTGAAGTGATAGCACAGCGGTAGGGCGTTTGCCTTGCATGCAGCCAGCCTGGCCGAACCGGGTTTGATACCTCCGTCCGTCTCAGAGAGCCCGGCAAGCTACCGAGAGTATCTCGCCCGCACGGCAAAGCCTGGCAAACTCCTTGTGACGTATTCGATATGCCAGACACAGTAACAGCAAGTCTCTTGATGGAGATGTTACTGGGCCCGCTCGAGCAAATCGATGAACCACGGGAGGACAGTGCTTCTTTGCGGGGGGGGGGGGGGGGGGGGGGCGTTTACCTTGCTCGAGGCCGTCCTGGGTTCGATTCCCAGCATCCCATAGGGTCCCCCGAGCACTGCCAGGAGTGATTCCTGAGTGCAAAGCTAGGAGTAACCACTGAGCATCGCCGGGTATGACCCAAAAAAGCAAAAAAAAAAAAAATCAATTTGGGGGGTTTGAGTGATAGCACAGCAGTAGGGCGTTTGCCTTGCACGCAGCCAACATGGCCGACCCGAGTTCGATTCCTCCGCCCCTCTCGGAGAGCCCGGCAAGCTACCGAGAGGATCTCGCCCGCACGGCAGAGCCTGGCAAGCTCCCCGTGACGTATTCGATATGCCAGACACAGTAACAACAAGTCTCACGATGGAGATGTTACTGGGCCCACTCGAGCAAATCGATGAACAATGGGAGGACCAGATCCCAGACCAGAGTGATAGGACAGCGGGGAGGACATTTGCCTTGCATGCAACACAACTGAGGTTCAAACCTAGGGTTCCCCCATAGGGTCCCCCCAGCACTGCCAGGAGTAATTCCTGAGTGCAGAGCCAGGAGTAACCCCTGAGTACTGCTGGGTGTGGCCCCAAAACTCCCTCAAAAATCGATTTTTTTAAATGTGAAAATTGTTATGCCTTATCACGGGGTTAAGTCCTTGCCTGGAATTTATCTAAGCTGTTTGTTGCTAGTTGATCCTTCTGTGTTCTAGTTTGTGTTGGTTGGGTTTGGTCAGCTTCTATGTTACTTTCCATCTTCTTTGGGGTGCCCCTATTGGAATTTCAGCGTTGAGGAATTAGGAGGTGTCATGTGGCCACATATATGGCTGCACAAGGTGGGAGCGGTGGGAGGTGGGTGGGGCTGCCTGGACTTCCGGAAGTAGATGGAGGGGGAGGGGCTGTGTGGGAGGACTGCTCATCCCAACTCAGAGAAGACCCCAGAGTTCTGGGCACTGGAGGACTTGAAATTATTTGCAGTTCTGGTTCAAACGTGGGTAGCAGGTTTTATTTTATTTTTTGCTTTTTGGGTCACACCCAGTGATGCACAGGGGTTACTCCTGGCTGACTCCTGGCTTTGTGCTCAAGGATCACTCCGGGTGAGTTTGAGGGCCCTCCGGGGTTCTGGGGATCAAACCTGGGTTGGCTGTGCGCACAGCAAACCCCTTAGTGGCTTTCCTATCTCTTTGGCCCCCTCATTTCTATTCTTCTTATTTAAGAGCTTTTGGGCTGCCCAGAGGCATTGCTCAAGAGTCCTTCCTGGCTTTGTGCTCAGGGGTCATTCTCAATGCTTCTTAGGGCAAATGCCTTAGGCCCTGTACTTTCTTTTTTTTTGCTTTTTGGGTCACACCCAGTAATGCTCAGAAGGAGGCTGCACTCAGAAATTACTCCCAGCAGTGCTTGGGGGACCATATGGGGTGCCAGGGATTGAACCCGGGTCTGCCTCATGCAAGGCCAACACCCTCTCCGCTGTACTATTTTTTTTTTTTTTGCATATTTTTTGGGCCATATCCTGCGGTGTACAGGGTTACTCCTGGCTCTGCACTCAGGAATTACTCCTGGTGATGCTCAGGGGACCATACGGGATGCTGGGAATTGAACCCAGGTCGGCAGCGTGCAAGGCAAACGCCCTCCCCGCTGTGCTATCGCTCCAGCCTTGGCCTTGTACCTTCTTTCTGGCCTAGAAATAGGTTTTTGTCTATTTATTTTTGGACATATCTGGTGGTGCTTAAGATTTACTCCTGGCTCTGTGCTCGGGGATCACTCCTGGCAGTGCTTGGAGGACCGATGGGGTGCCTCCTGGAATTGAACCTGGGTTGACGGCATGCAAGGACAGTTCCCTCCCTGCTGTACTCTTACTCTGGTCTCAGCAAGTAGGGTTGGTTTTTTTTTTTTTTTGCACACCCAGCAATGCTCAGGGGTTGCTCCTGACTCTGCACTCAGGGGTCACTCCTGGAGGTGCACTGGGACCCTGTGGCGTGCTGGGGATCGAACTCGTGCCAGCTCGTGCAAGCAAGCATCCTCCCTGCTGTCCTATGGCTCTGGCCCTAAGGGCAGATCCTTTCAAGTCGCAGGAAAGCTGCCGGCTGTGCCATACATAGTGGCAAGACTACTGTCTGCGGGCGGGGCAGTAAATCCTGTTATTATTTGCATAGGGCTCCGGAAGAGAAGCCACAGTCGGGAGGGAGCTGGCTAGATCCCGGTGGTGCCACCCAGATCCCTGAGGCCCAGCCCAAGAGCTTTCTGCTCTCTGTCTTTGGTATATTTGTTTCAGAGTCACATCCGGTGATGCTCAGGGCTCACTTCCGGGCGGCCGTGGGGCTCTGGGGACTTTATGTCCTCGTGCAAGGGCCTTACCTGCTGGATGATTGCTCAGGCCCAGTACTTTGCTCTCTGATGTTTCCTGGCGTGGCCCCTGGGGCTTATCAGTCTGCCTCACTGTCATGCTCACCTCCCCACCATTCAGGACCTGGTTCCGGTGGGAAGGAAGGAGGGCAATCAGGAGAGATTTCCAGCTTGGGGTGGGAATGGGGGCGGTACCAAGCAGAGTGACCAGTGCATGAGGGACCAGGGTAAGGGATAAAGAGGGAATCTGAGATGACTTTTTTTTTTCTTTTTGGGTCACACCCGGCGATGCACAGGGGTTACTCCTGGCTCATGCACTCAGGAATTACCCTGGCAGTGCTCAGGGGACCATATGGGATGCTGGGAATCAAACCCGAGCTGCCCGCGTGCAAAGCAAACGCCCTACCCGCTGTGCTAACGCTGCAGCCCCATCGCTCTGGTTCTTCAGGCGCGTAGCTTTAGACCTATGTAAGGTAGCAGTGATCTGAGCATTCTGGTCTTAAAGATCGGGGGGTGCATCAAGGCAGGGCCCAGTCGATGCAAAGAGGTCTGGTTCCTTTGGATGATGAAATCGAAGAAGAGAGAGCAGGTGGCACAACCAGGTGCAAAGCGCCGAGCGGTGGCCCGGGTGGGATTCGAACCCGCGACGGGCGCGCCGCGCGTGGCGCGTCCGGCTCTCCAGGCCCCGCCCCCGGAGCCCCACCCCCGAGGCCCCGCCCCGCGGCATGACCGGAAGTGCGCGGGGGCTCCCAAGATGGCGCCCGAAACCCGGAAGTGAGCGCGGCCGCCGCGAAGCTCGGAGACACGGAGGCGCCGCGGGCTCCGCGCCCGGCCGGACCCGGGTCCGAGGTGAGGCGCGTCCGGTCGCTCCAGCGGCCTCCCCGCCGCCCCCTCCCGCGCCGAGCTGGAACCCCCCCCCCTCCTCGGACCCGCGCCCCCGTCGCGGCCGCCCCGCGCCCGGCCTGGGGGTTCCGGGGTCCCGCGGGCGCGAAGGAACGCGGCGGCGGCGGCGGCGCGACCCGCCCTCCCCGGCGAAGCCCCCGGACCCCGCCCCCAGCCGCGACCCCCCGCCAGACCCCGCCCACTGCCGCGACCCCGCCCACAGCCGCGACCCCCGCTGCCGCCGCGCGCTTCGGCCCCGCCCCCAGTTCCCGACTTCGGGGACCCCCGACCGCCGTCGTCACTCCTGAATCCGCGGTGTGCGACTCCTCCACGACCCCTCACCTCTGCCGTGACCCCTGACCCCGTGAACTCCGGGTTCCCCCCCCCTTGCCCTAACTTATTTTTTCCTCCTTTGTGACTCCCGTGACACTTCCGGGACCCCCTTTTTTTTGACCCCTGCTTCTCCCTTTGCTTGTGAACCCCAGACCCCCGCCTTTCGCCACCCCTGACCCCTCCAGAATCCCCCAGCTGCAAATAGGACACAACCTCCTGTCGCTGCACCCAAGGGTCCCGGCAGCCCACCCCCACCCCGGACTCCCCGCACCCCGGGGCCCCCGGACTGGGCCGGCGCCCCAAGAGGCAGCAGCGGGGTGGAGCGTTGGCTGGTGGGAATCCCTGGGGTCCTGCAGTAATGTCCCCCCTTCCCAGCCCTCTGGACCCAAGAAGGGGACTGGGACGGTCCCCCGGTGGGTGGCGCCCCCCCCACCCCGCCCCCCACAAAGTCATCAACATTCCAGAAAGAGGAAAAGAAGGCCGGGAGGGACTGTGCATGGGGACACCCCCGTTTAGTGCTTCCCAGAATCCACGTTGGACCCGCCTGCCCGGGGCCTCCTTCCTGCCCCCAGGGGCCAGCCGCGGTCCTCTGCCGGCCTCCCTGGCCCAGGAGGGTGCCCCGAAAACCCACTGACCATGGGGGGGTGGTAAGTGTTCTCAGGGGGGCGTTTGAGGCGCAGCTGCAGTGACCGGAGGGCAGCTTTGCCACGGCGGGGACCTGCACTTGACCCTGCCTTTTCCCTTCTTTTCTGCCTCCTCCTGTGCGCTTTGGGGGGTGCCAGGGGTTTTAGGAGGCTGCTTGGAGCCGTGTGCTGGGACCCCTGTCCCCAAGTGCCGTCGCTACCCGGTACTGCGCGCTGACTCTGAAAGTGACCGGGACCGGGCAGGGCTGGACCCCACGGGAGCCGCCCACCAGCCACTTCCGGAGCGTCAGAGGTGTCGGCCCCCCTGGCCCCCCACGCACTGCGGTGGGGTCCTGTGAGAGGGTTGGGAAGTGGCTTCCTTCAGCCCTGAGAGCGCCGCCTGTCACCTTTGGGTGCGTTTGGGGAGGGTTCCCCATTCAGGGAGCCCCAAGGAGGGACACCAGCTGTCTCTGCCCCGGGGGGCCCAGGGCTCTTAAGGGGACAGCCAGGCGCTCTGCAGCTGATGATGAGTGTGGGGGGGGAGTGGTCCCACCAGGGGGTCACCCTGACTTGCTGTCAGCGCCTCTAGGCCAGCCCAGTGCTCCCTTCTCGCAAAGTCCCTGAACCCTGATGGGCCAGGGCCGGCCGGAAACGCTGACCCAGCACGGAATAAAGAGGCGACTGTGTCAGGCCAGCGCGGCCAGGGGCCACCTCCCTCCGGGAGGCCTCCATGTGGGGTGGGGGAGGTTGGGACCTGCCAGTACCCCTTTGGGGAGAGCGTGAACACAGGGCAAGTCCTGCGCCCGGTGCTGGAGCAGGGGGCGGACCGCCCGCGCCAGCAGCCCCGTCCCTCCGGAGACTGGGGGTGTGGGGGTGTCCGAGCAGGCATCAGTGAGGGGCTCATGCGTGTGCCCCCGTGAGCGTGCACCTGTGTGAACACACAGTGGCGTGCAGGTGGGCATGCACCAGGCGAGGGTCCTTGTGATGGGTTTGTGGGTGCTGTGCAGGGAGGTGCGGCCGGGGGGCCTAGAGACACTGGTTGTGTGTGTTTCGGGGGGCACCTAGGCCAAGGTGGGCTGCGTGTGATCCCCGGGGAGGTGGGCTGTGTGGAGGGCGGGGCGCCCGCTCCCAGCCCGGCCCTGCTCCACTTCCCTCTCCCCCTTCGAAGGGCCTGACCTTGCTGTCAGGGTGACCCCCTGGTGGGACCCCCCCAGACGCTTAGGGAGAAAGCCACACATGGGGGGAGGCCCCCCCCAGGGCAGCCCAGGACAAGAACCTGGAGAACCGGCCCCTGAGACTCAGGACACGCTTGGTGCCAGTGCCTGGGGGGTGGGGGTGGGGTGACTGCTGATGGGCCGGGGTTCCTTCGGGGCGATGGAACATTCTGGAATTAGCGGTGAGGGTTGTGCAAGTCCGAGAATGTACTGAAAGCCACGGAGGCGTGTGGGGTGAGTCGCGAGGGGTAGGTTGCGGGGTGTCACGTATGGGGAGTTGTGTTTGGGGTTACGTGGGTGAGTCGTGAGGGGGGAGTCGTGGCAGGTGAGCGGTGGGGTGTCATGTGTGGTGAGTTGTGTGCAGTGAGTTGTGTGGGGTGTCGTGGGGTGTCACGTGGGGTGAGTTGCGTGTGGGTTGCTGGTTTTAGCCCCAGAAACCCAGAGGAAGGGCTTAATTAGAGGTGGGGTCTTGCCTCGCTTCCCGCTTCCATGACAGCCCAGGGGTCCATCTAGCCCTGTCCCTCCCCCCAGGTTGTGGGGACTAGCCCCCAGCTCTGGACTTGGCAGGGCACTGGGGGGGGACTTCTTAGGGGGGGCTCCTTCCTGGAGCCCAGAACCTGTGGGAGGGCCGGGGAGGGGGTGTCATCACTCTGAGGCCAGGGCACCGGGGAGAGGGAGTAGACCCCCAAATCGTGCAGGTGCTGGGGCACCCTCCCTGGGTGTCGTTTGTGGCCCTGGGCTGGCTCCCCCCACGGCACCCCTGTACCCCTGGGCTGGGCACGGGGCAACCGGCTGAGAGCAAAATGAAAGTGAAAGAAAAGAAGGAGCCGCGCCTTCCTGCCACTGCCTGTCCCTCCGGGGGCAAAGGGCACAGGAAGCCTGGCAGGGGTGGGCCCCCCGGGGCCTGGAGTCCAGGGTCTGGGGTGCACGTACTACTGCTTCATGTCACTGACTCACCGCGGGGGTGACGGAGAAAGGCCCTTCCTGGTGCCCGGCCTCAGCGGCTCTGCAGAGAGGTAAACTGAGGACTGCCCAAGGCTTGCCGACTCCTTCCCCCGCTTCCCCTTCCCCTGCAGCAGGGAGGGGGGCGTGGGGTGCTGGGGTGCTCCTACCCCCCCCATGCTCCTCAGCCCGACCTGGCCTTAGCCACGCTCCCTGGGGGCAGGGCAGCGGCTGGGGCTGTGATTTGGGGGAAGGTTGGCACCAGATGCTGTGATGATGCGGAGTGTGGGTGGGGCAGGGCTCCCGGGGTTGGGGGGGCCCAGACTCAGGTGCTGTGGGGGGCCGGGTGGAGGCGCCCGCCTCAGCGGTGGGTGACTTGAAGAGCAGAGGGGCCGCCCCCTGGGCCCCCAAGACCCGACACCCGCCTCTCAGGAAAAACCAGCCAGTCTGGCTGTCCGGGGCGCATTCCTCATTCCTGAGGGGCGGGGACCTGCCTGAGCCCCCAGAGGCCCCTCACCATCCCCCCAGAGGCTTCTGGGGCTCCGCGGGGTCCAGGAGGGGGCTAAGGCACCCCCCATTTAGGTGAACCTGGGTTCCCCCATCCTCCCGAGCACCCCTTACTGGAGGTTGGGGGCCCCCCGCAGAGGTGTGTAGTGGGGGGTGACCGGGCCTGGAACCCTGTCCCTGTTGGTGGGGTCTTAGGGTTCCTTTTAAGGCCACTCGGGGGCGGGTCTCCCGCAGCCCAAGGCTGAGTGGGACCCTGGTAACGAAAGTACTTGCTGGGGGCCCTGGCCGTGGGCAGTGCCACCCCCGGGATGGCAGCGACTGGGGGAGGGTCCCTCCCAGAGGACAGGAATGGGTGGGGGGGGGCAGCCGTGGGGTCCACACAGGAGAGGAAGAGCCAGGGACCAGGGGAGACCACCAGCTCAAGGTGGCCTTTGAGAGAGACCCCCGGGGCCATGTGGGGAGCCGAGGAAGCAAGGGTCAGAGGTCACCAGCAGTGGGCAGGGGTGGCGGTGGCCCCCACTTCCCTGCACTTGGCCAGCCGCGCGTGGACATCCCAGGTCCCCGGCTGGGAATCGGGGCTCCCTTGACCAGCTCCCCGTCCCCCTGTGGACCTCCGAGCTTGCTCACTGTGAAGTCCTTTGCACCCCAAGATCTGTGTCTCCCGGGGACCACGTCCGCTCACCCCCCACGCGGTCCTCTGGCTCTCTGGAGCCCCTGTCACTGCGACTCTGTGGCCGCTTCCCCCGCCAGGCCGGCCACTCCAGATGGGGTTCAGCGTGTGACCCCTGGGTGCTCCCAGGGTGTCTGGCCCTGAGGACACAAGAGATGGAAGTGGGGGGGGGGCGGGGGAGGGAGCGCACCTGCGGATTCCAGCATCTGTTTGCTTGTCTTCTTGGTTTTTCGCTTTTTGGGCCACACCTGGCAGTGCTCAGGGCTGACTCTGCACTCAAGGGTCATCCCGGTCGCTCTCAGGACCCCACAGGATGCAGGGATTGAAGCCGGGTCGACCCTGTGCCAGGCCAGCATCCTCCCCGCTGTGCTGTCGCTTGACCCCGGCCGTGTCGGCTGGTGGACCTGGGTGCTGTCCCTTGTCCATGTGGGCGCCCCCCCCTGGCCCCCACCCCAATCTGGGATCTGCCTGCAGGGCCGTTTGGCAGCCTCGGGTCACGGGATTCGGGGGGTCCTGCCATCCATCTTCCCCTCATGTCCGACTCTGGGGCTCCGGGTTCGGGAGACTGCAGGGGAGGGACCTTCTTTTTTTTTTTTTTTCTTTTTTGGGGTTCCTCCTGGCTCTGCACTCAGGAATTACCCCTGGCAGTGCTCGAGGGACTATATAGGATGCTGGGAATCGAACCCAGGTTAGCCGTGTGCAAGGCAAACGCCCTCCCTGCTGCTATCACTCCAGTTCCAGGGAGGGACCTTCCAGGGGCCCCATCACCCCACTTCTGCCTCCACCTGTCTGTGCGTTCAGCCAGGTTGTGACCAGGCAAGCCCCTGGGAGTCCTGGGGCTCTCCTGGAGTCCCCAGGAGGTGGACCCCCAGCATGCCATTGCTGGGGCACGGGGGTCCTCAGAGGAGGTCGCTGCAGGTCTGGGGAGTCAGAACCCTCCCGGGAAATGACTTGACCATCTCGAAGGGGGGTGCAGGGTGCGGGGTGGGGCCGCAGTCCTGAAGGTCCCTCTCACTGCCACGAAGGGGCTTCCGCGCGTGGTGATTTGGGGTGAGTCGGGGTGGTGACCCCCAAGGCAGGACACTGCCCGCCTGTCCCCTCCCGTCCTGCCCACAGGAGTGGGGGGAGCTGAATTTGTGGTGTGGGGGGCCGAGTGTCCGGGGTGTGGCCTGAATGTCTGGCAGTATCAGGGCGGCCTGTGGCCTGGGTCGGGGTCAGGGCCGCCAGTCCTGGAGGCGCCAACCCGCCACTGAGGTCCAGCCCCACTGAGGTCCAGCCGGGGAGCAGAGAGGTGGGGAGGCAGGGGAGGGGGGAACTTTCCCGGGACAGGCGAGTGTGAGCGGCGCAGGGTCTAGCATCCCAGCCCCCACCCCCTGCCGAGTCTTCCTCTTTATGGTGATCATTTGAGAACTTGACATGAGAAGGAAATCCCCAGTGACGCTGTGTGTGTGTGTGTGTGTGTGTGTGTGTGTGTGCCTCCAGGTGTATGTGTCATGCCACTATATGTGCGTCTGTGAATGCGTCTGTGTGTGTGTTCATTTACGTATCCACGTGTGTGTGCTGTGTGTCTGTGCTGTCTGTCTGCTTTGTGTGCGCGACTATCTGTCATGTGTATGTGGACGTGTGTCTGTGTTCATGTGTGTTTGTGTATGTCTGTGTCACACGCATGTGTGTGTCTGCCTGGTGCGCACGTGTGTGTCGTGTGCAGGAGGGTCTGTTGGGTATGTATCTGCCATATGTGTGTGCACATGCGTCTGTGTGTGCGTGTGTATCTGTTGTATGTGTTTGTGCTGTGAGCGTGCATCTGTATTGCGTGTCTGTGTGCCCCCCCCACTGTCACCAGGCTCCCTTCTTGGGGTTCAGTGCTGCCAGGCACTGAACACCCCCAGTCCTGCTGGGCAAGGTTTGCTGCACAACCCCCCTCCCCATGCCACCCCCACCCCGCCTCATCCTGGGCACCACAGGGTCTCCGGAGCACTGTCCAGAGCACCCCTAAGCTTGGAGTTGGGTCAAAAGTCGAGAAACTAGGCTGTGAGACAGTGCAGGGGGGAGGGCCCTGGCCTTGCACACAGCTGACCCGGGTTCGATCCCCGGCACTCTATACGGTCCCCCTACATCCCATCAGGCGTGAGTCCTGAGCACAGAGCCAGGAGTCAGCCCTGAGCACTGCTGGGTGTGGCCCCCGAAACAGGAAATAAAAAGGGGGACCAGAGCGATTGATTGTACGTCAGGGGGGGCACTTGGCCTTGCATGCGGCTGACCTGGGTTCGATTCCCGGCACCCCTAGCCACTTGGATCCCCTGAGCACGAAGCCAGGAGTCAGCCCTGAGCACTACTGGGGGTGCAGGGGCTCAGTGGCCGTGTCCGGGGAAGAGAGGAGGCCACACGGAGGGGAGCACCTGGGGGGGAGCATCTGGGTGGAGGGGCACTCCTGTCTGAGGTGGGGTCTGTTCGGACCCTTTCCAGCTCTGGGCTCTGCATGCTGGGAGTCGGGGGGTCTGGCTCTCCCCCAAGTGTCCTGGACCCCAGGTGACCCCCATGGGGTGGGGGTGGGGTGTTCAGAGCCGCCTGCCCCTCCCCGGCCCAGGGGTGCTGGTCCTGGGCATCTTACCCCGCAGTGGGCGCCCCTGAGGGTTCTGGGCTTGTGGCTGTTTCACTGCACGGGGAGCCGTCCAGTCCCGGGACCCTCCCTTCCCCCCACACCCCCGGGGCCAGAAGCACCTTCTGACGTTCCCCAGGTCCTGCTGGGTGTGGAAGCAGAGATGTGGGTCCAGGTCATCATCACCCCCAACCCGCACCCCTCAGGGGGCGCACTCAGGGGGTGCGGGGTGGGGTGGGGTGCTCAGGCTGGCTGAGGGGGCACGGCCGGGGGCGGGGTGGCCTCACACCCCAGCAGGGACCCAGCGGCTGAGAGGGGTAGGGTGGGGGAGGGGCAGCAGCCCCCGAGGGTGCCCCAGTGCTGGTCCCCAGGCCCACAGATGGGGACCCCCTCGAGCAGCAGTGGCAGTGGGAGGCTCTACATGAACAAACTTTGGGGGGGCGCAACCCGTCAGCCCTCCCCGCCCCGGACCTGACACCCCCCGCCCCATCCTGGACCCTAGACGTTGAGAGGCCATAGGATTGCGTGAGGACCCTCCATGAAGCTCTGAGTCCCTGAGCGCCCGGGGTGGGAGGCCACTCTGAGGGGCCTGGGGGATGGTGGGAGGGGCCCTTGGGGGGTCCTAGAGGGAGTGGGGCTCCATGGGGGTCCGGTGCACTGCGCCTGCTGGCCCGGCTCCAGCCCAGTGGCGGCCACACCTGCTCCCGCTGGCCGGGTGCGGTAGGATTGCACAAGAAGAACTTACCGGAAGTCAGGCGTTCTCCAGGCTGGACCGGGAGGGGCTGCACCCCCCTTCCTGCCTCTCCGTTCCGGGGCGCCACCCCAGGGCCGGGAGAGGCAGCCTGTGCCCTGCGGGTGGGCCCCCAGCAGGCCCACCACCCTCCAAGGGGGGGTCCCTTGCAGCTTCTGGGGGCCCCACCCACCCAGCCCCTGCCCAGCTCAGCACTGCTGCTCCTGGGGGCTCCCGGGCCCCGCCCCCACCCAGTGGCCCTGAGTGTGGCTGGACAGTGGCCTTGTGTGCAGGGCTGGGGGTGCTCGGGGGGGCCTGCAGTGACCCCTGGTGCCCGGAGACCTGATGAGGCAGCTTGGGCCCAGTGCAACGCAGAGCGAAGCTAGAGACCACCAGGGCACCCCATCTGGCCTGGGGGAGGGGGGCGACCGGTCCCTGGGGGGGGGCTCCCATCCCCATGGGTGCTCCCAGCCGCCCCCTCACGCAGCCCCCCCGCGGTGTTTCCCCAGGTCGTCATGATGCCGCCGCCGCGGAGCAAAAAACCCAGATAGAGGCCGGGCGCGGAGGCGCCGATGCTGCCAGGGGCCGCCATGGATGGGGACTTCCCTCCGCCCGAGCCCCCGCCGGCGGGCAGTGTCCTGTATGGCACCCCCCCACTCTGCGGGGCCAGTGTGCAGGTGAGCACCGGCCGCGGGCAGCCGCGCCAGCTGGGATCAGGGGCTGTCTGGGGCACACAGCCAGCATGGGGGTCTGTGTCTCGGGGAGGCACAATTGGGATCCTGGGGGGAGGGGTGTTTGCCCTCCTGACCTGGCAGGTCCCACGGCCCCCACTATTTGGGGGGGAAGGGGAGGTCACACCTCGGGTGGTCTCAGGGCTGACTCCTGGCTCTGCACTTGGGGATCATTCATGGTATGAACTGGGGCACCACATGGGTTACAGGGATCGAACCCGGGTCACTGCATGCAAGGAAGACACTCTCCCCGGTGTGCTATCACTCTGGCGGGTCCCGGATTTTAGGTTTTGTTTTGTTTTGTTTTTGGGTCATACCTGGTGTTGCACAGGGTTCACTCCTGGCTCTGCACTCAGGAATCACCCCTGGTGGTGCTCGGGGGACCATCGGGGATGCTGGGTTCGACCATATCAAACCTGGGTTGGCCACGTGCCATGGCAAATGCCCTACCCACTGTGCTGTCGCTCCAACCCCTGGGCCCAGTTTTTATATTCTTTCATTTTGGCAGAGTCTGGGATGGAGCCCAGGGTCCCGCACTTGGACTCCCCCGCCCCTGCCTTGGGGGAGGGACCCTGCTGGGGTTCCCACACTCCAGTCCCTCCCACCCAGCCATCAGGCTCACTTGGCAATGGTCGCAGAGACACAGGGACCCACCGTGGCGCTGCCCTACATGGGGTCTGCTTGGCCGCTCGGCCGCTTCCCCTTCTGGCCCAGGTTTCCTGGTAAAGCACCAGAGGCCCCCCTCCCCCTCTCACTGCCAGCAGGACCCCCAGCCCAGGGCTGCCACTTGGCGTGCCCTGGACACTCTGGGTGCTGGACACTCTGCGGGTTTGGACAAGGGCCCAGTGATCTCTATCCTTCCTGACAGCGTAACCCAGGGTGGTGACTCAGCCCCCCACCGGCCTCCTGAGCCTGGACCCGGCACCCCGTTCTCCTGTTGTCGGCATGGCCTGGGGGTCCCCTTCCGAGCAAGCAGCAAAGGTCCCTTTTTCATCAGTGCACTTTTTTTCTGGATGCTGGGTGCCACCCATGTTCTGAGGGTGACTCTACACCTCACCGCCCTCCCCAAGCCTCGATCTTTGAGATGAAGTCCCAGAAGCAGCAGAAAGGGGACCAGGGGGCAGCTAACAGGGGCTGAGTGCACTCTGCGTGCTGACCCTGGACCCCCAAGACTGCCGAGTAACTCCTTCAAACAAAGACAGAAGAAACAAAATGACCATCTGGGGACTGGAGTGATAGTACAGCAGGAAGGGCATATGCCTTGGATGTGGCTGACCTGGGTTCGATCCCTGACATCCCAGAGGGTCCCCTGAGCATCATTGGGTGTGATCCAAAAAGCTAAACAAAACAAAACAAAAACCCAAACAACAACAAACAAAACATAATAACCATCTGTGGGGGGAGTCAGTCCTCCTGAGATCAGGAAATAACTGGAGGCCCCATCAGAAAAGGAAAGAACATTCTAGAACCTGGGCATCGAGATGGCTGAAGGGCTGAGTGCAGGCTTTGCAGGTGGGAGCCCTGGTTCCTATCCCTGGCACCACATGGTCCTTGAAGCACTACCAGGAACAGCCCCCAAGTATCAGCTGAGAGCAGCTGCCTCTGAGCCCTACCTGGTGTGACCCAAACATACACACGCACACACACACGCACACTCACACACACATACGCTCACACATGCACTCACACAGTCACATACACTCATACTCACACCTACTCACAAGCACACACATGCACACTCCCAACAGTGACAGTCATATACACACATGCACACACACTCAGGCACATACTTGCACGTATACTCATAGTCACACATACTTACAGTCACACACATACACTCACATACACACGCACACACTCACACATGCACTCACACAGTCACATACACTCATACACACTCACAAGCATTTACTCACACATGCACACTCAGACACAACACAGTGACTCAGTCACATACACACTTGCACACACACTCAGTCACACCCTTGCACATATACTCATAGTCACACACCTACACTCACTTGCACATACACTCACACATAATCACACACTCACAGTCGCACACACTCTCTACACACACAGTCACGCTCAACACACAGTCACATACACTGACACACGCATGAAGCAACAGACAGGGAAGCAACCCTGGGCCTTCCAGGAGGACCTGAGGGGACACCTGGGCTTGGGGGCCCCACGTCCCCTCAGCCGGTTGGAAAGGGATATTGGGAGCATCTGAGCCCCAGAAATGCAACCCTGCCCAGTGTACCCCCGCAGGGCCCAAACATGGCAGAATGGGGACTGGGAGGCTACTGAGAGCCTCCTGGGGGCCACGGTTGCACCTTACCGGGCTCCCACCTGTGACACAGCTTCCTCCGTGTCCCCGCGTTCCTGTGCTGTCCGCGTGGCCGCACGTGTACCCCGTCTGCCCTGCACCCCGCCTCTCCTCCCCGGGAGCCCTTCTCCGCTCCTGTAATTGGTTTAATTATTTCCCTATTGTTGGGCCGTTGGGACTTTGCCAATGCTGCTGCTATAAATAGCCCTGCCGTGTTTCCTGTGCCTCAAGGATTGGTCCCAGGGGGTTCTTCCAAAATAGCACTCGGTAGACCTGGGTGATCATCCTGCAGGCAAGGTGCCCCTCAGGGGAACCCAGGTCGATGCCTGGCACCTGGGTGGGCTGGGGGGGAGACTGAAGGGGTGGGAGGCACAGGGGGGACCTAGAGCCCTGTGCAGGGGAGGGAAGCTGCTCTGGGGAGTGATGACCGAGGTGCGGCACCCTGAGGGGACACACCCCCAGTGCGGGCAGAGGGGAGGCGGGGGGCACACACACCCAGCCCCCCTCCTGTCTCCTGGGGTTGCTTGGGTCTCAGCACATGAAGATGTAGGGGGGTGCACAGGTCCCCAGGGATAGCTTGGGGCATGGGCTTTGCACATAGGACCCCTGAATTTGATCCCCCGGCACCTGATTCCCTGAGAATCACTGGGAGTAGCCCATGAGCACCTCCAGATGTGACCTACCCCCACAGAAAAGGGGGGGCGGGTCCGTAGAGATTACACAGCAGGTAGGGTGCTCACCTTGCACACGGCTGCCTTGGGTTGGGTCCCCAGAACCCCATATGATTCCCCAAGTGGCCACCAGGAGTGATCCCTGAGCATAGAGCCAGGAGTAAGTCCTGAGTATTGCGGAGTGTGGACCCCAGACAAACAAACAGACCTGCAGATGTGCAGGGAACAGGAAGTTTCACATAAACACAAGTGATTTCTTAGCACACGTTCCACGGGTGCCCTTACAATGAAGAATATTTGCAGTCTCTCAGACGCCAGTGTCGAGAGCTGTCCCGAGTTTTATCAGACCACCCTATCGCTTTCCTGTGATGCAAAGGCAGAGCATCGTCCAAGGTCGACTCACCTGAGGTTGGGGGGGGCCCTTCCTGCCACAGCCCTAGAAGTCCAGCCTTTTCCCCGCCCCCAAAATCCCAAGGAAGACTCGGATTGGCTGGCCAGAGTCAGCTGCCCTCCTCGGTGGCAATTGAGTGCCTCCCCTTTTGACTACCAGTGGGAACTCTCAAGCAAGGCTCCGATTGGCTGCCTGGGACCAGCCTCTCTCGCTGGACCAATCCTGCCCCACGGGGTCTGACTTCAAGAGGCAGAGGCCCCGCCTCCGCCTGCCCCCAGGAACTTCTGTGGCCGGCTTGGATTGGCTGGTCCCATAGTGGGCGGGGCTTGGGTGCCTTTGATTGGCTGCCGGACCAATCGCAGCTGCTTCGCTTGATTAGTCCTTCGTTTGATTCGTCCTTTCTTCTGCTTCTGCACGATTCTGGAAATGCCCAGTACCTGGAGAAGTTCATGTCCCTGCAGAACCTCTGTCCCTCGGACGGGGGCTGAGTGCGGAAGTGACACTTGGCTGGGGCTCTGGGGACAAGTGGGGGCTCCTGGGGAGTCCCCACCCGCTCTCAGACCCCCTGTGGGTGGCTGTGCCTCCTTCCTGAGGCTTCCCCAGCGGGGTGGGGGGTGGGGTGACTTGCGCTGCTCTGTCCCCTCACCCCCCCGCCCCCAAACCTACCCCCCCCCCGAGTCATCACACAGTTTGGCGAATCCTGCGCGGTTCCCCTCTTTCCGGGGTGGGGTGCACAGCTGGCCCTGTGGGGGGCGGTGGTGGGAAACTGAGGCCGGTTCCTCCCTGGGCGCACAGTGCAGCGAGGCTTGGGCGGTTCCGGCCAGCGGCTGGTTTGGGGCCAGCTCCCCGGTAATGAGTCTGGCCGAGATGGAGGAAGTGGCCGCCTCGGGACTTGCATCCGGCGGTTCCCCTGCCCCCCACCAGCTGCAGACTTGCCGCCGTGGGGGTGCCGGTGGGGGTGCCGAGCTGAGCTGAAAGTGAGAGCTGGGAGGAGCTCCCCCCACCTCAGCCCCCTGAATGGCCCAGGGGACAGGACCCCCTGCTGGGGGCAGTCCCTCTGGCCCCTGGGGACCCCGACAATGGTACTTTTTCTCCCTGATGGCAGTCATTTTCTCAGAGGGTCCTGCGGCATCTACATTCTAGAATTGGGGTGTGTGGGGGGGCTCTAACCCAGCCCCAGCCCTCAGGCTGTGAGTGAAATTCAGGCCAAGGGACTTGGGGTGAGCCAGACTCCATGGGGAGGGGTTGGGTTCTTTCTGTTTGTTTTGGGGCCACACCTAGCAGGTGCTCAGGGCTGACTCCGGGCTCTGCACTCAGGGATCACTCCTGGCGGCACTCAGGGCACCCTATGGGGTGCTGGGGATCAAACCCAAGTGGGTCGCGTGCAAAGGAAGCACCTTCCCTGTCGTTCTACGGCTCTGGTCCCAGGGGTTGGGTTCTGAGGGCCCCCCAGGTTGGGGTACAGGGGTCACCATGCTGGCCCTGGGGATTCTGCCGTGATCTTCCTGTTCCCTGTCACCCTTGTGTGGGTCACCTCCAGAGGGGTAGATGTCGCAGGGCGCCCTTTGCCAATGGCTTGCACCCTGTCTGTTCCAGCATGGCGTCCTGCACTGCCCCTGGTGGACCAGCTTCCAGACCTCCTACCCAGCCCTCTCCAGCCAAAGCCAGTAAGTGTGTGCGTGGTCTGAGTACATGTTTGTGCACCTGTGTGCATGTTCAGTGTGTTTAAATTCTTTTTTTTTCCCTTTTTTGGGTCACACCTGGCGATGCACAGGGGTTACTCCTGGCTCTGCACTCAGGAGTTACTCCTGGCGGTGCTCAGGGGACCCTATGGGATGCTGGGTATTGAACCTGGGTCGGCCGCGTGCAAGGCAAACGCCCTACCCGCTGTGCTATTGCTCCAGCCCCCATGTTCAGTGTGTTTGCCTGTGCGCGCATGTGTGTGCCATGTGCATGCTGTGTGTTTCCCCATTTTTCCTTCCAACCAGAGCCTTGACATATGGGGCTGGGGATGGAGAGGTGCTTCCGGGCAGAGGAACAGCGCAGGAGACGAAGCATGCGGCCACCTGGGTTCATCCCTGCCTCCACGTACAGTTCCCCTCTGCCCTGGCAGGAGTGAGCCCTGAGCACAGAGCCAGCCCCTGAGCACCACTGGGTGTGCTCCTCCAAAACCCCCCGAGGAAGTAAAAGCCTGGCGCTGGAGCGATAGCAGAGTGGGTAGGGCCCAACCCGGGTTCGATTCCCAGCATCCCACATGGTCTCCTGAGTACCGCCAGGAGTAATTACTGAGTATCGCTGGGTGTGACCCCAAAAAAATAAATAAATAAAACTCTGAAGATTAGCTGGGGAGTACAGCTCCCTCTGGCTGGCCCCTGTGGACATCCCCTTTCTGCTTTGGCTTCTTCTTTTTTTTTTTTTTTTTTTTTTGCTTTTTGGGTCACACCCGGCGATGCTCAGGGGTTCCTCCTGGCTCTGCACTCAGGAATGACTCCTGGTGGTGCTCGGGGGACCATATGGGATGCTGGGAGTCGAACCCGGGTTGGCTGCGTGCAAGGCAAATGCTGTACCTGCTGTACTATTGTTCCAACCCTAGTCTTCAGAGTTTGCGCCTCCTTCAGGCGGTGAGCAGGTGGCCTCTGTCCTGTGCGTGCATGTGTGTGTGTGTGTGTGTGTGTGTATGTGTAGGGGGACAAGCGCTGGCGCCCCGCCACACACACACCCACCTTCTCCCCTGTCCCCCAGCCCTTTCATCGTCGGCCAGTCCTACTTGGACACCAGCTTCAGCCCCGCATCCACCACCCCCAGCTTCCCACCAAAGACCGATTTTCCTCAGGTAGGACATGGGGGCCTCCCGGGTGGGCTTGGGTGGTCTAGGGAGTTCTGGGCGGCCTGACGGGGGTGCCAGGAGCTCTTTTTCACCTCCTTTCTCATCTGATGTGGTGGTGTCGGCCAGCCGCAGGAGGGTTGGGTTGAAGGCTGTGTTGTGGGGGACGGGGCTGCCCCGGTGACCCTGTCACTGTGTGTGTGTGTGTGTGTGTGTGTCCTGGGTGTCAGCCTGGGGCCCAGGGTTCGCTCTGCCCAGGTCTTGGCCCCCCATCTCTGGCTGGTGGACCTGTTCTCATGTTCTGGCTTCTGTCTGTCCGTCTGTCTCTCTCCATCACGTGTGGTCAGTGTGGCGGGCAGACATGCCTCCTGACCCCCAAGGCTGAAACAAGCCACCATGGGACCAGACCCCCACCTACTTCCTCCGATTTCCTGTGGGGGCGCGGGCAGGGCCAGCTCTGCCCGGAAGCACCTCTCCACCCCCAGCCCCATATGTTAAGGCTCTGGTTGGAAGGAAAAGTGGGGAAACACACAGCCCCCCCAGCACCCTCTGGGCATTCGCCAGAACTCCTTGCACAGCCTGAGTGGCCAGAGCGATAGGATAGTGGGGAGGGTGTTTGCCTGGCACTCGGCCGACCCTGGTTCAATCCCCCACCACCCCATAGGGTCCCCCAAGCACCACCAGGACTGATCCCTGAGCACAGAGCCAGGAGTCAGCCCTGAGCATCACCAGGTGTGGCCCCAAAACAAACAAAAAAATAGTGCCTGAGTGTCAGTTCTTGGGCAGGAGAGTAGACCAGGTGGCCAGCTTGGGGGGACTCTGGTGTGGGTACAGGTTCCCCCAAAACAGAACCGTGCACACACCATTTAGAGGCTGTCCAGGGCCTCGATTTCCAGAGTGGGGGCAAGTGGGCTGCATCAGGCCAGTTCCACCATGGGGGGTGTGGGGAGGGGGCAGAGGACGTGTTGTGGCCCCGTGAAGTTTGAAGGGGGGCACCATAGTAGCAGGTGACTCCAAGGGCCCCCCAGATCCATTTGGAAATGGGGTCTCTGCAGTGTGGTTGGTGACAGGTGGGGCTGGGAATGTTCTAGTGGGGCGGGGGAGGGGCAGGAGGAGTGGGGGGTGCAGGCCTTTCATGCCAGGTCTGATCCTTGATACCACCTGGCTCCCTGGTACCCCCTGAGCACCACACTGGGGGTTTTCCCTTGAGCCTCAGCCTGGTGCGACTCCCAGACAGGAAACACAGAAACGAACGTTCTGGTGACCCCAATAGCCCTGCCTGTGCACAGACACGGAGGAGTAGCCCCCTGGGGTCAGAGCAGAGAGACCTAGGGTCCTGGAGACTCAGGGGGACCTTCCGTTGGGGCCACAGCTGCTCAGGGCGCTCAGGGATGACTTGGGGCTCTGTGCTCAGGGATCACTCCTGGTGGTGCTCAGGGACCCTGAAGGGTGCTTGGAACGGAACCTGGGTCAGCTCCGTGCAAGGCCAGTACTGTCCCCTGCTGTCCTGTATCTGTCCCCTGCTGTCCCCTGCTGTCCTGTATCTCCAGGCCCCTGTGTCTATTTTTTTGTTTTGTTTTGTTTTTTGGGTCACACCCGGCGATGCTCAGGGGTTACTCCTGCCTCTGCACTCAGGAATACTCCTGGCGTTGCTCGAGGGACCACAAAGGATGCTGGGAATCGAACCCAGGTTGGCCGTGTGCAAGGCAAATGCCCAACCTGCTGTGCTATGGCTCCAGCATCCCCTGTGTCTCTTCATTTTTTGGGGGGGAGGTCACACCCAGCATTGCACAGGGGTTACTCCTGGCTCACACACTCAGGAATTACCTCTGGTGGTACTCGGGGAACCATATGGGATGCTGGGAATCGAACCCGGGTCGGCCACATGCAAAGCAAACGCCCTCCCCGCGGTGCTATCGCTCCAGCACCCCGGGTCTATTCTGTCCCCACCCCCATCTGGGGACCCGTTGTGCCCCTCCCCCTCCCCCAGCCTTCTGAACAGGCGCACGGGGGTGGCAGGTGTCCATGTCCCAGCCAGGCCCCTCTGGATGCTGCCCTCCATGGCCGCCTGCCCCCGGCCTCCCTCCCCGGCTGGCTCTCAGATGCCGCCCGCCGCACCCGCCTGCCCCCGGCTCTGCCAAGAATCGACGCGGCTTCTCAGCCGAGAATCCCGGGGGGCTTCCCTCAGCGGGCAAAGAGCAGCCCAGGCCTGCCTCCCCCCTGGAGCAGAGCCGCCTGTCCTGGGGGGTGGGGGGGAGCATGGAGGTGGGTGGGGGGGACGAAGCACCTGTTGCAGGCGCTGCCCACCGCCCCCGCTGGCCGCCCTCGCAGGTGGGGGGGCCTTCCAAGAGACTCTCACCAGGGCTGAGAGGGGGGTGGGGTGACCTGGGGGCGGACCCCGTAAGGATGCGCATTGGTCCCTTACGCTGCTGCCCCCCTCAGGAGCCTGGGCCCAGGACACATCTGTCTAGTCTGCTAAACCCCAGCCCTGCCTCTGACACCCCAACACCTGGTCAGATGTCGGGACCACGGCAAACACTGGAGCGACCAATAGGACAGCAGGGAGGGCGCTTGCCTGGCACACGCCCCACCCGGGTTCGATCCCCGGCACCCCATAGAGTCCCCCAAGCACCACTAGGACTGATCTCTGAGCACAGAGCCAGGAGTCAGCCCTGAGCACTGCCGGGGGCAACCCAAAAGCCAAAACAGCACGAAGACGCCCCATTCTGGGCCTTGCACCCCACGTGCTGAAGGGACTTTGCCGGAGCACTGCAGGCCCCCTAGATGGCAGACGCTCCAGGCTCCGGGGGCCCAACGTCCCCCCCCCAAAGTCTTCAACCGGCAGGGGGGTAGGGGCGTCTCACTCTGTGCTGGAGGCTGGGGAGGCTGGAGGAAGCCAGAGACGGTCACACCCACCCATGTCTGGCCTGACCTGGCTCTGCCCTCTTGAGGGACCCCTGGCGGTGCCAGGCCCACGGGGTACCAGGCAGGCGGCTCAGATCCTGCCCCAGGACTCAGACCTGCAGGGCAGCACATGGGTTCCAGGGCCACAGCAGGCAGGAACATGGCAGAGTGGGAAGACCCGCCTGTACCTGCAGCTCCAAGGAGTGGGAGCAGCACCAGAGTTGGGCTGGAGCGATAGCACAGCGGGTAGGGCGTTTGCCTTGCACGCGGCCGACCCGGGTTCGATTCCCAGCATCCCATAGAGTCCCCTGAGCAACGCCAGGCGTAATTCCTGAGTGCAGAGCCAGGAGTAACCCCTGAGCCTCGCCGGGTGTGACCCCAAAAAAGAAAAAAAAAAGCCGCAGAGTACGGTGGGGGCCAGAGAGCCCCTCCCAGCACACCCCCACTTCTCCAGGAGGGGCTCTTACTCTTCAACCCCAGGGTGGGGTGGGGGCCTGCAGCATGCAATGCCCAGGAGCACTGCCTGGGGTTTGTGTTGTCCTGATTTTTTGGTGGGGGGGTGTTGCGGGGGCATTGGTTTGCTCAGAGAACCAGACCCAGAGCCCCCCCCCACCTCCAGGGTAGGAGCTGTGAAGGAGACATCCAGAAAAGGCCCCCTCCTTCGTGGAGAGGAAGTGGGTATAGGGCAGAGGCAGGAGGGGGGGATTGATTCAAGGCTTCCTTCTGGGGATGATGGAATGTTCTAGAACGAGACAGGGGCAGTAGTCAGATGTACTGAGGAGCCCCCAGAATTGCTCCACGTGTCAGACTCCCTCGGCGTGGGAGGGGCCAGGTCGAGCTGGGGCTGGATTTGCTCCATGTGACCTTCCCCCCCCCACCCACACAGGGGACGCAGAGATGCTGCAGGTGCCGGACTGGACTGGGAGAGGGACAGGGAAGGGAACCGGCAGGTGACAGGGCTGGGGAGCCGCCCGCCACCCAGCACTTACAGGCACCTCAACCTTTCACCTCTGCAGTTTCCTTGTGGGGTGCGGGGTGCCCAGGGCCGGGAGCCCTGAGGGTTCTCTTGAGGAAGTCGGTGGGGAGGGGGGGGACCAGGGGGTGGCGGTGGGACACAGGGAGGCCTGGGCGAGGGCCCTGCAGAGAGCGGGTTTGGGGGGCTCGGCCCCTCCTGAGTGCAGAGCCCGACAGCGGAACACCTTGGGCACAGAGAACTTTGGGGGGGGGCTGTGAGCTTCCACCTGATAGAACATAACGTTCGAGGGGGCTGTGACTGTGGGTACTGAAACAACACACCCAGAGAGGCGCACCAGGTGTCTGGGTGTCGAGGGCTGGGCCCCCAAAGCTCCTCTCCTCGCCCCCCAGTCCTCCAGCCTCATTGCCAGAGCCTGGCCCAGCTCCCAGGGGTCACACAGAGGGACACGCACCCTCGCGCCGGGACATCCCAGCAGCCCGCTGGGCCCGGGGGAGCTTTCCAGCGCCAAACACCCCATAGCTCTCTGGGGCACGTCTCCCCCGCATGGTGCCCCCCATGCTCCGTCTCCCCGTGACCAGGGATCCCCTAGGACCCTCCTTGTCGCCCCCCCCCCCCACCTCTAACCTGCCGGGGCCGCCTGGTACAGAGCCAGTGCGTGGTCGGCCCGTGGGCAGTGACTGTCCCTGGGGAGAGGAGCCCTCCTTTCCTCAGACGCCCCCAGGCCACCTCCCCTGAGTCTCTCACTGTGGGGGGCAGCCACTGGAGGTGGCTGTGGTGTTTTCGTCCAAGTGTCACTGGCGGTGACACTTTAGCCGCTGAGCCGGTGTCCGCAAACCTCACCGCTCGCCCACTCAGTCGGGCAGCAGCCGGCGCCCACCGCCTCTGGCCAGTTCCAGAAGTTTCCAGCCCTCCCCGCGGCTCCCGTCCCCTCCTCCCGCAGCGCCCCCAGACCCACTTCCTGCCCGAGGATGCAGGGGCCCTTCTGGACGGTTCCCTTCCCAGGACCCCACCTGGGGAGGGCGCCTCAGGGCTCCGCTGCTCTCCCCGAGCCTCCTGGGCTGTGACTGCATCATCATCTATGTGGGGGCGGGGGTCAGCACCCCGTTCCTTCCCCGTCACAGCTGCAGGGCACACACGAGTTTGCTCCGAGGGACCCTGGGGCCCTGCCCAGCTTTGGGGTGGTGGGGGCGTGGGAACTGTGGGGGTGGAGGGGTTTTCTGGGGTGCACTCCTGCAGCAGACTTGCGGGGGGGTCCCGCGGGGACCCCTCCCGCTGCTCTGTCCCCTCTGGCCGGTGCAAACTGGCCGGGGCAGTTCGGTTGTGTCTGCAGCTGTGCCGAGGTGGGGGTGGGGCTTATGGCACCATGGGGGGCCTGGACCACCCCTGGCAGCAGCCGAGGGGTGCAGGGGAGAATGGGGGCACCAGGGCCCGCTGCAGCCCTGGGCTCTGGGGTGGACAGGAGGCAGGCCAAGCTGGGCGTGGGCAGGGCCTCTTTCCTGGGACTGGGCTGGGAGGGCCCCCCCCCCGTGGGATAACGCGCGTGGTGGGTTCCCCAGACCCCATCCGGAGCCGTCGAGGTCTGGCGGGCTGGGGGGCTGCAGCCCGGGAGCCCGATCGCGGCCCTGCCCCCTCCCCTCCCCCGGGCGGGCGCGCAGGGTGCGCCCCGAGGGCGGAGGGCGGCCCCTGCGGCCGGTCCGCCCCGTACCGTAAGGCGGCGAGGCTGCCGGTAAGCCCGGCTGGGCAGAGGCATCATTTCCTGAAAGTCAGCGGGGCCTTCGGGAAGCCGGCGCCGGCGGTGACTAACCCACATGTAAATGCCGCCCCAGCGCCCGGGCCCTGCAGGCAGCCAGCATGAGGGAGCCGCGCCCGCCGGCCCGGGGCCCCGCCGGCCGGGACCCCGCCGGCCCCGGCCCCGGCCCCGCCGCCCCGGCCCCCGCGGGCTGGTGGCTGCGCTTCGCGGCTCTCAACCAGGTACTCCCGGGGCCGCGGGCGGGGCGCACCCTGCTCCCGGGGTGCGGGGGGCAGGAGCCAGGCGGGCGCTTCCCGGGCGCGGGGGTGGGGGTGGGCGGGGAGGGCGGCCCCCAACCGAAGTTCGGGCCCAGCTCCCGGACGGGCGCGCGCTGCGCACGGGGTGTGGGACTTGGCCAGGATCCCGGGACCTGGGATGGGGTGGGCGGGGTTCCGGGGCTCAGGTGGAGACACCCACCTGGCCGGCCCGCCAGCTCCTGCAGGGCAGGTGGGAGCGCTTTGCAGGGGGTCGGTGGGGTGGGGTGGGGTGGGGGGTCTCTCCGCGGGGCAGCAGCTTGGAGCTGCCACAGTCCGGGCTGCTGGTTGAGGGGGTCTCTGGGCAGCCAGGGGGTCTGGGGACAGAGGACAGGAGGTCCTCGAGGTGGGGGCACTGCCCGCCGGTGGGGCAGGGCTGCAGTCTGGGGTTTCTGGGGAAGGCAGCACTGGACTGGGGGTGCTGGGGACCCGTGGAGACAATTCTCAGACTGAATCTCTTGGGAGGGGGGCTGCTGGCTGCTGGAAGTGGGGAGGGTGGGTGATTCTCGCACTCCACCCGATTGGGCCCAGACCTGGGACTGAGACATCAGGGAGTAGCTGGAGGGGCGGGGGGGGGGGGGTTCTGTGTCCCCCAGTCCCGTGCACTGCGTGCCCAGCACCCCCTAATAGGTAGGTACCAGAGCACCACGGGTACTGCCCCATCTCCCCTTGCGGGAACCTCGCAGTTCAACGGGGGTCCCCAGGATCGAGTTGCACCTTGGGACCCCGTGCTCGGATGCTAGCGGGGAGGGGGGGCCCTGCAGACCACCCCCTTTTCATCTTCCGCTAAACCACAGAAGTGAGCAGTCATCACTGGGGAGGGGGGTGCGAGGGACGCCCAGGCGGCCCGTGGCCTCCCGTCTCTCCCATGGTGTCCCGGCGCGCTGTCCCCGCCGCCATGATCGAATTGGGGGGTGCTCCAGCTCCCCTCTCTGCACGCCTCACCGTGCAGAAGGCTGGAGGTCCCTGCTGGTCCCTGCAGCACACCCAGCGATGCTCAGGGCTTGCTGCTGGCTCTGTGCTCAGAAGTCACTCCGGGTGGGGCTCTGGGGACCCTGTGGGGTGCCGGGGTCGAACCCAGGTCAGCCACATGTGGGCAGACACTTTCCTCCCTGCACCCTCTCCGCCCAGGCCCCCCCCCCCGCCACCTTTCTGAGTGTGGTCCCACACCTGAGCTGGGCCGCCTCCGCCTCGTGCTACCCCGAGGGCAGCAACAGGCCTGCACCCCCAAAGTGGGCCCACCCCCACCTGGCACCTTGACACCCTGCTCCCCCAAGGGACCTATGGCTGTGGCCAGGGGGTGTCAAGGTGCTTCTCCAGGGGTCCCTGTCCCGTCCTTCCCTCCACCAGCCCAGGGCCCCCAAAGAGACTCCTGGGGGTGCCTTCCTGCCCATGAGGGGGGCCAAGGGGCCATGAGCAGGGAGCATGGCGCCCCCTGGTGGCCAGTGACTCTTGCTGCAGCACTGGCGCCTCCGAGCCGCACCCTCCCCCAGCCAAAGAGGCCGGAGGGGTCCCAGAGGGGTGCCCAGACAGGGTGGGAGGAAGACGTGTCACTCCTAGGGGGGCACCTGCTCCTGACCTGTGACCCCCCCTCCTGCCTCCACACCCATGTCCCTGTCACTGTTCATTCAGGATTTCTGAGCCCTGGGAAACGGGGGACTGGGGTGATGCTAGGGGACTCCCTGCCCCTCCCCCATTCCCACTTGGCTCCCGGAAGGTGTCCGAGCTGGATATGGGGGTCAGGCCAATGTGGACTTCAGAGATGTGACCCCGGGCTACAAGTGTGCGCCCCCCCCACACACGTGTCTCAAGGGTCCTCAGCCGGTCAGCTCTGCCCACCCCCTCCATGCCCACGCCCACCTCTGGCCTGGCCTGGGGGTGACTGTTAACCATGCTGGAGTGGGGGGACTAGAGGGGGCTCTCCTCGCCTCCTCACCTCGTGCCTGGGAGGTACTCTCAGGGGACCTCTGGGGGACCCCCCAAAACAATCCGCTTCATCCTGTGCATCCTGCAGGACTCATACTTCGAAGACCTGGCCACGGCCTCCATCTTCTCCTCATCCGTGGACTCGCTGTCCGACATCGCCGACACGCCCGACTTCCCCGCCGCTGACAGCCTCAGCCAAGTGCCCACCATCTGGGACGTTGTGAGCCCCGGACCCCCAGCCCCCGACAAGGTCAGCCTCAGCGGAGCCCACCCCCGGGGACCCTCACCCCTGCTCTCACAGGGGCTGCTCCTGAGGGTCGCAGGGGCCCCCAGAGTCCAGCGAGGGGGGGATCTGCACAGCTCCAGCAAACTTCCGCCACACGGCCATTACCTGCGGGGCTAGAGGCACGGGGCAGCCCAGAGAGGGGGTCCCCGAGTCACAGGAGGGTACAGATGGTGGGGCAGGGCCCCTAAGGCATGGGGTAACCCTGAAAGGGGGCTCAGGGGTCCCCACAGCCTAGATTGGCCCAGAAAGGTCCTTAAATCATGGGATGGTACAGTTGGGGGGGCCCTATCTCGAGGTGGCATGAAGGGGCATGGGGGAGTGTGCCCCGGGGTGAGGGGCCTTGGGAGTGCGGCTCTGCAGAGGGGTCCAAGGGGGGGTCATTACAGAGTTGTGTCGGTAGCTCACTATTGAGCAATGGGGGTCCAGGTGAGCCACACTCCCACTCCCCGCCATGTGCCGGACCCACAAAGGTCTTTCTAGGCCTTTCCGGAAGCCTCTAGCCAGCCAGACGCTGGGGGGTTCAGTCCCCCCCTCCCGAGGTGTCAGCCCCTCCCCTCCTACTTCTGGGGGACACATACTCCCGGGTACCAATGCCCCCCACCCCCCCAGGAGCCTCAGAGCCCTTGTTCTCTCCCTCCCCGTGCCTGGGTCCCCGGGACAGCGAGACTCAGCCCAGCATGGGGCCCGCCACCGCCCAGCCCTTGGCAGCCCATATGGGCATCTCCCACGCCGCCGCAGGGGCACCGCGGCTGGACGGCCCGGGCCTCTGAAACCCAATGCCCGCCGCCCGCTGCCCTGACTCAGCCTTCCAGGAAGCCGCTGGCTTGTTTGTTTTGCTCCCGTCTAAAAGAGGGAGGGGGCCTGAGAGCCAGGACGAGCCGGGAGGGCGCGGGCCTCACACGCGGCCAAGCCGGGTTCCATCCCCAGGCCCACATCGGGTCCCTCCTGAGCCCCCACCAGGAGTGAGCCCTGTGCTCCGAGCAGGAATCAGCCCCCTCGAGCCTCTCCAGGTGTGGCCCAAAAAGCAAAACCGGTCCCCTGAGCACCACCAGAAGTGAATCTTTTTTTTTTTTTGGCTTTTTGGGTCACACCCGGTGATGCCCAGGGGTTACTCCTGGCTCATGCACTCAGGAATTACTCCTGGCGGTTCTCGGGGGGACCCTATGGGATGCTGGGAATCGAACCCAGTTCGGCCGCGTACAAGGCAAACGGCCTACCCGCTGTGCTATGGCTCCAGCCCCCAGAAGCGAATCTTGAGTGCTAAGCCAGGAGTAAGTCCTCAGCACTGCCGGGTGTGGCCCCCAAACCAAGAAAAAAGAAAAAAAGAAGCAGGGCAGAGCAGAGGTTTCTGGGTCTCCTCCTCATTCGTGTTCCTTGCCCCAGCCCCCGTCCCCAACCTTCACATTCCTGCTCCCTCTCAGGAACCCTGGCCCTGGCGGGCATGTTGGGGGGCCAGGCTGGAGACCAGCCCTCCGGGGTCTCGGATCTCGGATCTTGGGCTAACTGCGGGTGCGTTAGGGGACCGGGGACCGGAAGCATTCTTTCCTTTGTCTCCTGGCCTTTGTCTTGCAAGTGGCCTTATGCAAGGGGGCAACTCCAGACCTGGGCAGAGGGCTGAGCCCACCCAAGGCTGCGGCCCCCCGAGAGTCCTGCTGCTTCGTCCAGTCCTCCCCCGGATGCTCCCAGAGCATCCTTCCACTCTGAGCACCCGGCATGCGCGATCTGGCCCCAGGCCCCACAGGGCTGGCCTCCAGAACCAGTGGGACCCCAGCAGAATGAGGGCGGCAGTGGGCCGGGCCCCCCACCTATGTTCTGGCGCTCAGACTCACTCCCTCTTACCCCTTTCAGCTGTACCTGCCCAGTGGAACTTTCCCAGGACTAGAGGACACTGTCCCCTCCCTACCCAACACCCCACATCCTAGCTACCAGGTGAGCCGGCCCGCCCACCCTGCTGGGGGCTGGCGCCCCTTTACAGCTGTGGGAACAGGTGCTGGGAAAGGCCCTGTGGGGGACCCCACCTCTCCAGCAGGGAGGCAGACTGCCTGATGCCCCCCTCCCCCACCCCCTGCCCCCAATTCAGTCTCAGAGTCAGCCAGAGGAGGAGGAAGAGCCCGAGGAGGAGGAGGCCGAAGAGCTGGGCCATACGGAGACCTACTCGGACTACGTGCCCTCCAAGTGTGAGTGGAGCGGGGACCCCGCCCAGCCCCGCACCTGCGCCCCATCTTCCACTAATGCAGAGTGGACGCCACAGGTGTTGGGCTCAAACAGAGCCACTGAGCGTCTGTACCAGGAGGTACGGACCTGGAGGGTTTTCTGACCTCAGGTCTGTCTGCGGCAGAGTGTTGCTGAGGCCACTCAACCCCCCTGGCCTCAGTCCTCACCTGGCCCACTCAGACGCTGAAGTCTTAACCACGCCCACATACTGCTTCACCCTTCACCGAGCCCCCAGTTTATACTGGCAGAGTTTTGACCACGCCCACAAGGCATCACCACGCCCCTTATGGCCACGCCCCCAATCCTGGCCCCAGCCCTTTCTGACCTGAAGGCCTTGGGCACGCCCACACGCTGCATTGCTACGCCCCGGTGACCACGCCCCCTCGATCCTGGCCCGCCCATTGACCCATCTTCTGGCCCTCGCCCCTGCAGCCAAAATTGGGAAGCAGCACCCAGACCGCGTGGTGGAAACCAGCACGCTGTCCAGCGTCCCCCCGCCGGACATCACGTACACCCTTGCCCTGCCCACCTCGGACAATGGGGCCCTGTCAGCCCTGCAATTGGAGGCCATCACCTACGCCTGCCAGGTGCCCCGGGGTCTCTCCCGATCCCAGCCCACCGGAGGTCTTAGGGGAGCCCTGGGGAGCGGGGGCGTCAGGGGCAGCCCTTTTCCTGCCCCACACCCAAGGCGCTGACCTCCGTCGTTCGGCCCACAGCAACACGAAGTCCTGCTCCCCAGTGGGCAGCGGGCTGGCTTCCTCATCGGTGACGGGGCCGGCGTGGGCAAGGGCCGCACTGTGGCTGGGGTCATCCTGGAGAACTACCTGCGGGGCAGGAAGAAGTCCCTATGGTGAGCGAGCGCCCAGCTGCCTGTGGGAGGCGGTGCAGAGGGAAGGGCGTGCGCCGGGGCCCGGGGCCGTGACACCCACCGGTCACAACCCCCCAGGTTCAGCGTGTCCAACGACCTCAAGTACGATGCGGAGCGCGACCTGCGGGACATCGAGGCCCCCGGGATCGCTGTGCATGCGCTGAGCAAGGTGGGTGGGCGCGCTCTGCCCTCCCCCACCCCCCAGGAGAGGCCGGCCCGTTCCCACACCCGCGCCTCTCCCCCAGATCAAGTACGGCGACAACACTACCTCAGAGGGCGTCCTCTTCGCCACCTACTCCGCCCTGATCGGGGAGAGCCAGGCCGGCGGGCAGCATCGCACGCGCATCCGGCAGATCCTGGAGTGGTGTGGCGAGGCCTTCGATGGCGTGGTATCCTGACCAAGGAGGGGGCGAGGGCCAGGCCGGGAGGGCGAGGCTGTGGGGCGGGGCGCGGGGAGGGGAGCCTTTCAGGGGGGTCTGCAGGTGTGTCCCTGCCAGTAAAAGGAGGGGTCGCTGGGATTGGGCTGTGGTTGGAACATGGAGCCTTTGAGAGGGGCGAGGACTGGAAGGAATAAGTTCTAAGCACTGCAGGTGTGAACCCCCCCCCACCAAAAAAAGGCGCCTGGTACTGCTGGAGGGCGGGGCCTGGGTTAGGGCTTGGAGTCTGACAGGGGCGGGGCCTGGGAAGGGGGAGCCGCTAAGGTGGGCGGGGCCTGTGGTGGTGGGCGGGGCTTAGAAGGGGCGGGGCCTGCCCCAGCTACCTCTGTCCTGGAATTTCTCAGCGCCAAAGGCCTTCCCTTTGCAGGAATGTTCTGGGCCGAGGTTCACCCAAACTGAGGGTAGTTATCTGCTACTCGAGGTCTGGCAGGGCCTCCCGGCTCCAGTGAGCCTGGCTCGTGACCACAGACCCGGGGGCGGGGACCACCGTGCCACCGCGGGGCTCGGGGAAGTGCCTTCTGGCGGGGGTGGGGTGTGGGGGCTCAAGGGCGCCTGCCTGGCCCGTCCCACCCCACGCACCCTGGTCCACCCGATCAGGGTGGCCGCATACCCAGAGGGCCACGTGCCAGGTTCGCCTCCCTCTTGAATGAAAACTTGGTGTGCTGTGCCTCCTAACGGTTGGGGGCGGGAGTTTGTACTGCCCCTTGGGGAACTTTTCCTGTCCACTGCCCATGTGATGCAGATGACACACCCGTTGCCTGTGGAAGATTCTGGCTTCAGAACCCAGGGGTTTGCCCTTGGTGGGGTGCATCTGGGGGATACACTTAGCAGAGGATGATGCCCTGCACCCAGTTTTAAAGTGATTCCCCTGCCCTGCCCTCCTGCCATATGGTTTTCTATTCTCCTGCCCCGAATCCGAGGTATATTTACTTTTCTAGCCGCCGCTGTGGTCCCTGGGGAGATCACAGGGCTTCCCCTCATTTGTTTTTGTGCTTTATTTTGTTTTGGGGCCACACCTGGCAATGATTTGGGTTACTCCTGGTTTTGCACTCAGGAATCACTCCTAGTGGTGCTTTGGGGACCCTTTGGGGTGCCGGGTTGGCTCTGTGCAAGGCCAGCACCCTCCCTGCTTTCCGATCGCTCTGGCCCTGCCTCATTCATTCTTACAGAAGTGGGTCCCAGTTCCCAGCCTGTTCCCTGCTGCCCAAGAACAGATGACCGGCAGGTCGGCTGAGCCTTCACATGTGTGAGGTGCACCAGGACCATGTAGTTGAGGCCCTACATGGGTGCCCTCTGAAGCCCGGGAAGGCTCTGCTTCCGGGTGCCATGTTCTCAGCAAGGAACTTGGAAAATGGCTTTTAACTCTGTCTCCTTCTACTCTCTCAGCATCCCACACTTTCCCTGTTTCAGAACAGGCCCCAGGAGATATGATTTTCTGAAACTTGCAGTTTTTTGGGGGGGCCGTACCTGGCAATACCTATGGCTTCTCCAGTTCGGTGCTCTAGGGACTGTGTGATACCAAGAATCTTTTTATTTTTCTTCTTTTTGGGTCACACCCGGTGATGCACAAGGGTTACTCCTGGCTCTGCACTCAGGAATTACTCCTGGCGGTGCTCAGGGGATCCATCCCGGGTCGGCCGCGTGCAAGACCCTACCCATTGTGCTATTGCTCCAGCCCCTGGTACCAAGAATCTGACCCAGGTCTCCCACAGGCATGAGCTTGCTTCAGTCCTTTGAGCAATTTCCCCAGCCCCCCGCCAGGAGCCGCTCAAGGGTTACTCCTAGCTCCGTGCTCAGGGACTTTTAAATGAGATCGCCTATGGCCAGAGAGCTTCGATGTTGCCAGCTGACCCTGGTTTAGGCACCTGAGTTCCACGGGTGTTAGGCTTACTCCTGAACACACTGACCCCACAATGAGATCACCTGTGTGCTAGAGCGAAAGTACAGTGGGCAGGGCACTTGCCTTGCATGGGGCCACCCTGGGTTCGATCCCCAGCATCCCATAAGGTCCCCCAAGCACTGCCAGGAGTAATTCCTGAGTGCAGTGCCTCCTGGGTCTGAGCACTACGAGGTGTGACCCCCAAACTAACAACAACAGAGAGCAATGAGATGGCCTCCCTGCGACACTGAGCGCCGACCTGACAGCCCCCGACCTTTGCCTGGTCTCTTCCGCAGTATAGTTTTGTCCATGCACACTCCCTTGGCTTCTCCCACCCCTGGGTCCAGACCCCCCACCCCCCCCCCCCCGGCTCGGCCCACTTTCCAGTCCAGTCCTTAACCTGTGCTGCCCAGATCGTGTTCGACGAGTGTCACAAAGCCAAGAACGCCAGCTCCACCAAGATGGGCAAGGCCGTGCTGGACCTGCAGAGCAAACTCCCGCTGGCCAGGGTGGTGTACGCCAGCGCCACTGGTGAGGGGGGGAGCCGGGTGGGAGGCCACTGGCCGCATGCCAGCCAGCACCCCAGCTGCAGCCCCCGAGTACTTGCCCTTTCCCCTGCTGACCGCGTCCTGGGAGCCTGATGGCTCTGAAGAGTTGCCTGAGCCCACCCCTAACTGGTGGGCGGGGCTGACACAGGTTCCCGCCCCCTCTGCCCAGGCGCCCCTGTGTGGGCGGGGCTAACGGGTTCCCGCCCTCTCCAGGGTTCCCAGATCCTGGATGGGTGGAGCTGGCGGAGGTTCCCGCCCTCTGCCCAGGGGGGTCCCTGAGCCTGGGTGGGTGGGGCTAGCGGAGGTTCCTGCCCCTTTTCCCCAGGGGCCCCTGAGCCCCTCCGTTAAGGAGGTTTCTGCCCCCTAAACCCGGGGAGCTCTGTGCCCCGTAGGTGGGGCTAACCGATTCCCACCCCCTGTGCCCAGGTGCCTCTGAGCCCCGGAACATGATCTACATGAGCCGCCTGGGCATCTGGGGCGAGGGCACACCCTTCCGAACCTTCGACGAATTCCTGCACGCCATCGAGAAGAGGTGAGTGACGGAGACGGGGATCAGGGTGCGGGGCGTGGCCATCCGAGGGGAGAGGGGTCCGTGTCCCCCCTCCCCGCACCCCTTGCTGTCCCGGAACTTTTGCGTCCGCTGTCCTTGTCCTCTGGTGACAGCATGGCCCCTTCCCCAGCGCGGCGCCATCCCTGGGGTGGGGGGTCGGCCCTGCTATTCCTCCGCGCTGAGGCAGCTCCTCCCTGCTTCCCCCGTGTCCTTCCAGGGGTGTGGGCGCCATGGAGATCGTGGCCATGGACATGAAGGTGAGCGGCATGTACATCGCGCGCCAGCTCAGCTTCTCCGGCGTCACCTTCCGCATCGAGGAGATCCCGCTGCCACCCTCGTTCGAGCGCATCTACAACCGCGCCGCCCTGCTGGTGAGGAGCACTGTCCCAGGAGCCCTCCCGGGTCGGGCCCGGGGCCAGGGGGCACGCCCTGTGCCTTTCCTAGCCTGAGCCATGTCTCACAGTTCACCCAGTCTACCTGGAACATCTCTCCTTAAAGACAGAGGCTGGGGGTAGGGCTGGAGAGATAGCACAGCGGGTAGGACCTTTGCCTTGCACTCGGCCAACCCGGGTTCGGTTCCCAGCATCCCATAGGGTCCCCTGAACACCGCCAGGAGTAACTCCTGAGTGCAGAGCCAGGAGTAACCCCTGTGAAATGCCAGGTGTGACCCAAAAAGCAAAAAAAAAAAAAAAAAAAAAAAAGATGGGGTCGGCTGACCTGGGTCCTATCCCTGACACCTCCATTTGGTGCCCTGAGGACACTTGGGTTTGGCCCAAAAAAGAAAAAAGAAAATAAAAATCTTCCTGGGAAGTCTAGAACAGTAGTCTGCCTGACATACAGCCGACACCGGGTTTGATCCCTGGCACCTCAGAGGGTCTCCCACCAGGAGCGATCCCTGAGCTTTGCTGAGTGTGGTCCCTATCCCCAAGATAGTATGGGGCCAAGAAATCACGTGAGGGGTAAGCCCTGCTAAGCCCCGCCCCCTACCTCACTCTGCATATTCCCTGGAGCTCCACCAGGGGTCACTCCTGAGCCCAGAACCCGGCGTCGTCCCTGAGCACCACCCAAAAAGATATTACCCGGGCTGGCCAGGGAGAAGGCTCCAAGGGCCGAAGTTCAAGCCTCAGGGCCAGAGCCACAGGCAGGGCAGGCGCTTGCCTTATACATGGCTGACCTGGGGTCCGATTCCTGGCATCTTGTATAATGCCCCAAGCACCACCAGATGTAATTTCTGGAGCAAGCCAGGGGTACCGCCGGCCCAAACCCCCCAATGAAAAAGAAGATAAAAGCGCTTGCCTTGCACGCAGCTGACCTTAGCACCCCATCGAGTACCTCAAAGAGAGATCCCTGAACACAGATGAGGAATAAGCCCTGAGCACTGCCAGGGAAGAACAAAAAGTTGCTTCTGGGAGGTGTCTGAGAGCGCCAGTGCGGCCCGCCACCCTCCCCGCCCCCCATGCCCAACCATCCGAGACGGTGCCCAGGCAACCCTTTGATCTCACCCGGCCCTGAGGCTCTGCACTGCAGTGACCTGGCCCTGGCCCTTGTCTCCTTGCAGTGGGCCGAGGCCCTGGGCGTGTTCCAGCAGGCGGCCGACTGGATCGGCCTGGAGTCCCGCAAGTCGCTGTGGGGCCAGTTCTGGTCGGCGCACCAGCGCTTCTTCAAGTACTTGTGTGTCGCTGCCAAGGTGCAGCGGCTGGTGGCGTTGGCCCGCCAGGAGCTGGCCCGGGGCAAGGTGAGCAGCTGGCCTTCCTGCCCGGGGCGGGGCCGGGTGCCCCATCGTGCCGCAGGCAGGAAGAAGGCAAGAAACCCAGGCCACCCCTGCATCAGGGACCAGGGTGGGTGCCCAGAGCCGGGACCTGACTCGTGTGGCCGCCCCCACCCTGGTCCCTGCAGTGTGTGGTCATCGGGCTGCAGTCCACCGGCGAGGCGCGGACCCGTGAGGTGCTGGACGAGAAGGAGGGCCAGCTCGACTGCTTCGTCTCAGCCGCTGAGTGAGTGGCTCTGTGTCCCTGGCCACCTTCCCTGGGGACCAGCTGGCCGGGAAAGGCCCCCTCCGTCCAAGAGACGCCCCCCACCACCCTCATACAACCGGCCCTGCGACCTCGGTCAGCAGAGTTGGAGAGAGGATTTGGGGGGCCGGCCTGTGGGGTCCCCGAGACTCTCTGTTGAGGGCTGGGCACCCCCCAGCCACCGTGGGGAGTGTCCCAGTGTGGTTGTTTCCCCTCCCTTCTGGAAGCCCTCCCCCCATTCCTGTGTCCCCATCCCTGTCTGTCCCATCCCCGTGTGTCCATCCCCTACTGACTGTGCCCCTCTGCCCCTTCCAGAGGCGTCTTCCTGTCCCTCATTCAGAAGCACTTTCCCTCCACGAAAAGGAAGCGTGACCGAGGTGGCTGTAAGCGGAAACGTACGTGTGACCCCCCCCACCCCCACCCCTCCCTCGGATGTCCACACCCAATCTCTGCCCTTCCCAGACTGACTTGTAAATCACCCCCATACCTGCCCCACACCCCCCAGATGGGCAGGGGCAGAGCTCAGGCCCCCCACGTGGGGACGCTCACCTTTGGGGTACAGGGGGGGTTTGGGTATGTCCCACTCCCAGGAGAAGCACAGGGACTTGGCGACACTGAACCTGTGACCCCTGAGGCCTGAGGGCACCCAGCGGGGCCGCCCTGATCTCGGCGTCCCTGCAGGTCGGCCGCGGGGCCGCGGGACCAAGGCCACCCGGCTGGTGTGCGAGGTGGGCGGTGTGATCCGCGTGAGCGACGACAGCAGCACTGAGTCAGACGTGGCGCTGGACAGCGACTTCCACTCGTCCCCCGAGTCGCTGGTCGACGACGATGTTGTCATTGTGGACACCATTGGGCTCCCTGCCGATGACCGCGGTGAGTCCCCTGCCCCGTCCACGTACCCTCAGGGGACAGAACCTTCTAGATTCCTGCCCACCCCCTCTGAGGCACTGTCCAGGTGGTGGTGTGGGCCCCAACCTTCCGCCCCTTTGGGGTCATCCCAGCCTGTGCCGTTGCTGTTGGGAGCTGGTCTTGGGGAGCCCTGTACTAAAAGTGATTTCACCGGGTAACAGCCCACGGTGGGCTCCTGTTCCTTGTGCCCCGGGCCAGTGGGGCTGGGCCAGGCAGCTGGTGGGTCCCCTGAGCATCTCCACCTGGCCCCCCACAGGGCCCCTGCAGCAGCGGGACCCCCATGGCCCTGGTGTCCTGGAGCGGATAGAACAGCTGAAGCAGGACCTTCTGGACAAGGTGCGGGCGCTGGGCCGGGAGCTGCCGGTCAACACCCTGGACGAGCTCATTGACCAGCTCGGGGGCCCCGAGTGCGTGGCTGAGGTGAGCTCCGAGGGGGCGCCCCTCCGCTGTACACTTGACGACTGCCTCAAGGTGGGACCTCCCCCCTTGTGGGCTGGTCCCCTTACCCTGCTCTCCCGTGATCACAGATGACCGGCAGGAAGGGCCGCGTGGTGTCCAGGCCCGATGGGACGGTGACCTTCGAGTCCCGGGCAGAGCAAGGCCTGTCCATCGACCACGTGAACCTCAGGGAGAAGGAGCGGTTTATGAGCGGGGAGAAGGTACGTGGGGGTGAGCATAAAGGCCCCATGGGCAGGGAGGACACGTAGGGGACAGCGCCCACTGGGTCACTCCATACCCTTCAAGCCCCCATGCAGCCCCACGCTCCCCCGCCCCTACATACCAAGAGGATCATGACATCCCAGGACCCTGTGAGCACATGGGGCGGGAGGAGCGGGTGGCTCTCACCTCACCGGTCACCCCCCCTTTTGTGCCCCCCTAGCTCGTGGCCATCATTTCCGAGGCCACAAGCTCCGGTGTCTCCCTCCAAGCCGACCGCCGCGTCCAGAACCAGCGGCGCCGGGTCCACATGACACTGGAGCTGCCCTGGAGTGCGGACCGAGCCATCCAGCAGTTCGGTAACTGTGGGCCCTGCCCATTGGCCCTCCGCCCCGCCCATCACCCATTGGCCACGCCCACCACGCCCCACCCACTGACTTGCCCGTAGGCCTCCCATTGGCCCACCCCTCTACAGGCCCGCCTACTGACACGCCCACCTGGGTGGCTCCCACTAACTCCGCCCTCTGTGGCTCCGCCCACCGCCCTTAGGCCCCATCAATCCGCTCCCACTGATATGTCCATCTGGCCCTTCCCCCAGCCCAGCCCCTCCTTGTCCCCACCTTCCGCCACTAGCCCTTCCCATCAGCCCGCTCTATCCCTCCTCTCCCTCTCCGGGGGCCCTGGGGTCCACTCTGTCCCCTGGACCCTGACGTTCCCCTCACTCCCGCCTGCAGGCCGGACCCACCGGTCCAACCAGGTCTCGGCGCCCGAGTATGTCTTCCTCATCTCCGAGCTGGCCGGGGAGCGCAGGTTCGCCTCCATCGTGGCCAAGAGGCTGGAGAGCCTGGTGAGCTGGCGGGGCGAGCCGCGGGCTGGGTGCAGGAATCAGTGTGGGCCTCGGCTCACGGCCTCCGTCCTTCCGGGCAGGGGGCTTTGACCCACGGGGACCGCCGTGCCACCGAGTCGCGGGACCTCAGCAAGTACAACTTCGAGAACAAGGTGCGTGCGGTGGGCGGTTGGCTGGGAGGGGAGGGGCTGGGAGGGGCTGTTCTGGGATTGGGTGTGCGGCGGGGCCTGGGCAGGGGTGCCCCAGGCAGCATCCAAGTGACCCCCCACCTACGCCCGCCTGCTCCCTCCGTCAGTACGGCGCCCGGGCACTCAGCTGTATCCTGGCCACCATCCTGAACCACGCAGAGAACAAAGTGCCTCCACCCCAAGGCTACCCTGGAGGGGACACCGCCTTCTTCAAGGGTGAGCAGGAGTTGGGGTGTCTCCGGAGGCCAGCACAGTGCCGGTGCCAGCTTTCGCCTTGAAAGCACCCCCCCCCACACACACACACGGGCTCACCAGGGGACAAGGAGGACCCGTGTGAGCCTCTGTGTCCTCCACAGACATGAAGCAGGGCCTGCTCTCGGTGGGCATCGGGGGCCGGGAGTCCCGATCTGGAGGCCTGGATGTGGAAAAGGGTGAGTCTCCCCCCCCACACACTCACAGACACACAGACTCCCCCATGCCCTTGACCAGCCCATGCCTCCCAAGAGGGTCCCCATGTGTCCTAGGTGGGTCCTCACCCCCCCTTGGCTGACCCCAGGCCTCCCCAGGAGGGTCCCCTCATGCTTCTGAACCCCCGGCTCTGCCCCGTGGGTTCTCCTCACCTCTCCTTGGTGGCCCTCCCTACAAATCCCAGGCAGTGCCCCAACCCGCCCTGGGTGGCCAGCGGCTGTCTGGAGCCCCCCTTTGGGTCTCCCCAGACTGCTCTATCACCAAGTTCCTGAACCGTATCCTGGGGCTGGAGGTTCACAAGCAGAACGCGCTGTTCCGGTACTTCTCGGACACATTCGACCACCTGCTGCAGCTAGACAAGAAGGAGGGCAAATATGACATGGGCATCCTGGGTGAGGCACGGGGTTTCCGAGCGTGGCGCGCAGGGCTGGCAGCCCCTGGACCCCTGGCTGCCAGAGGGAGGGTGGCCCACTCGCTGTGCTGTGCCTGTGCAGAAAGTCCCCCCAGTGACTAGTGAGGCGGGCCTGTAGACTCTAGCCCACCTGTGTGTGCCGGGGGCCATAGAGCCTCCCTCTTGGGGTGCTGAGGACCCTGTTTTCAGGAAAACTTGGAACAGTGGGCAGCCGTGAGCCAGGCACTGAGGGTTCCTTAAGAACGGTGAAGGCCTCTCCCGCCCCCAGCTCCCCCTAAGGCCAGAGTGGGCGAAGCAGAGCTTGCTGCCCAGAGTCCACGGCTAAGTCTGGGCACACACTGGCGTCAGGGGCAGGCATGTGGGGACCCCCTCAGCCACCAGGTTGCAAGGCCTCTGTCATTCAGCGCCATGGGCCCCTCCTGCACTGGGCTCACAGCGGAGTACCGTTGGGGTACACCTGAGGACTAGGGATGACACAGGCCTGAACCTGGAGTCTTGGACTCTTACTTAGCCAAGCAGGGGCCTCAGTCTAGGCCCAGCTGACCAACACCCCTTCCCCCATCCTCTTCCCAGACCTGGCTCCGGGCATCGACGAGATCTATAAGGAGAGCCAGCAGGTGTTCCTGACGCCCGGGCACCCGCAGGACGGCCAGGTGGTCTTCTACAAGGTGAGGCCGCTGGCCCTACCTGAGAACAGTGTGTCCTGCTTGGCCCCGGCCCCACCTTCCCGCCCACCTGTAGGCCACGCCCCGGCCACGCCTTCCCGCCCACCTCTAGGCCACGCCTTCCTGCCTAACTCAGGCTAACTTCTGGCCCCACCTCCTTATTAGCCAGGCCACGCCCACATCTAGGCCACGCCCCGATACTTCCCCACACGCCTAGGTCCCGCCTTGGACACGCCTCCACCCAGCTTGGGCCACGCCCAATTCCTCAGTCCTGCCAACTTAGGCCACACCTCTGGCCCCACCTCCGGGCTGCCCCGGGACCCGCCTTCCTGCCCACCTCTAGGCCCCGCCCCACGCCGCCTCCCGGCGGGCGGGGGCCCTCCTTGACTGCGCGTTCCCTGGCAGATCAGCGTGGACCGCGGCCTGAAATGGGACGATGCGTTCGCCAAATCCCTGGGACTGACTGGCGCCTGTGAAGGCTTCTACCTCTCCTACAAGGTGGGCGCCCCAGCCCTCCGGGGCCGCACCCCCAGGAGGGGGTGGGGGGGCCCCACGAGCCAGAGAGGCAGCGGCGGGGGGGTGGGGCCCGGGGTGTCCCGCGCGCGCGCGCCGGGCAGCCCCGTCACCCGCGGCCCCTCCCCCGGCGCAGGTGCGCGGGAACCAGCCGAGCTGCCTCCTGGCCGAGCAGAGCCGCGGCAAGCACTTCACCGTGTACAAGCCCAACATCGGCCGCCAGAGCCAGCCCGAGACCTGGGACAGCCTGTGCCGCCGTTTCCGCCAGGTGCGCCCGCCCGGCGGGCAGCGGTGGGCAGCACGCGGGAGGGGGGGGCGCAGGGGAGGCCCGTCCGCGTGACTCCCGAGGCCGTGCGGTCCCCCGCAGGTGACGGCAGAGGAAGCCAGGGAGCACTGGGAGCACATCTACGCCTTCTCTCTGGAGCACTGCAGCCACATGGCGTGGTGAGCGCCCTGCAGGGTACCAGCGGGGGTGGGGGGCAGTGTGGGGGCCGTCCCGGGACTCGCGGGTAGGGCTCCCCGAGCTCATCCTCGGGAGGACCCGAGCCGGGGCCACCCAGGGTGGCGGGGCAGGGGGGGACGCCGCCTTGGAGCCTGGCTCGAGCGTCCCCTCCGGCCGCAGGAACCGGCAGTGCCGCCTGGTGCAGGAGGGCAAGGACTGCCAGCAGGGCCAGCGGCTGCGGCACCACTACATGCTGTGCGGGGCGCTGCTGCGCGTGTGGGGCCGCGTGGCCGCCGTGATGGCCGACGTGACCAACAGCAGCCACCTGCAGATCGTGCGCCTCAAGACCAAGGACAAGAAGAAGCAAGTCGGTGAGCGGCGGCGGCGGCGGCGGCGTGGGTAGGGGGTGGCCAGCGCGGGCGGGCGATGGGTGCTGATCCCGCACCCCGCACCCCGCACCCCACAGGCATCAAGATCCCCGAGTGCTGCGTGCGCCGCGTCCTGCAAGAGCTGCGCCTCATGGACGCCGACGTGAAGCGCAAGAACGCGCGGGGCCAGAGCTGTCCGGCGCCGCCCGCCCTGCGCCCGCTCACGCTGCCCAGCGGCCCCGGCGAGGTGCTGGACCTCACCTACAGCCCCCCGGCCCAGGCCTTCCCGCCACCCACGCCCTTCGCCTTCCCGCCGCCGCTCCCCGGGGAGCCGGCCGCCGCCGCCGCGCCGCTGCTGGGGCTGCCCGGCCCCGACGTGCTGGGGGACCCCTCGGCGCTGGTCACCCAGGTCTGCGACATCAACTACAAGGAGGTGCTGGAGGACATGCTGCGCTCGCTCCACACCGTGCCCCCCGCCGAGCCCCCCGGGCCGCTGGGCGTGGGGGGCGCCGCGGAGGGGGGCGGCGGCGGGGGCCCCGAGCGCCAGAGCGTCATTCAGTTCAGCCCCCACTTCCCCAACTCCTAGGCCCGGGCGGGCGGCCGACCCCCCCAAGCAAGCATGCCCCATGGACGGGCCAGGTGGGCCCGCCGGGCCGCGCCTCCCTCCTCCGAAGAAGCGGGTGGTGAGCGGGGCCAGGACCCCGCGACTACTGAGGAAGTGGGGCCAGGCGCCCCGAGGCCCCATCAGTGCCTTTGCTGTCAGGTAGGAGTGGCCCCGACAGTGATGCTGCGGGCCGGGCTCAGGGCCCCGGGGACCTGGACCAAGGCTGGGGGACCCGCCGCTGCCCTTCAGGCCTGAGCAGGGGCTCCGCCCAGTCCCCTTAAATCCACAAGACTGGGTGACCCCAAGGGCTGGAAACTCAGGAAACCCCAGGTGCTCAGGGCCCCGCCTTCAGTCGGGGGCTCGGTGGGGCGACCCCCCCCAGTAATATATGCAATCCCCCCTCCCTGCTCTCTGCTCCCTAAATTATTACCCAGCTGCCTTGCCCAGGCCCCGGCAGGATGGCCTGCTGGGGGTGGGGGTGGGGCACCCCGATTTCTATGTATTTATGACTTCAGGTGTACATATGTAAAGAAATCTTTTTTAAATATATGTGCCTTTTCGCTACGTCCCGGCCTCTCTTTCCCCACAACGGCCACAGGTGCAGCGTGAAAGGAGGGTGCAGGTTCCCTACCCGTGCTGCAATCAGGCCACTTCGTGGCAGCCACACCCTGCGGGGCGCACAGGGTCCACTGTGGAGGCGCCAACTCCCAGCCTACCGGCTTCCAGCAGTTCCACTAAAGGCCCTTGGGCAATATCCTTCTGGAAACAGTCCTGCACCCCAACTGGGCCTTTTGCCCTGAAGGAGGGGACAGGACAGCTGTTACAACCCTTGAGGTGAGCCTGGCTCCTCCCCCAGCAGCTGTTGTGGGGGGAGACCCCCCTTCCTGATCTCAGCCCACCCTCCCCCACCCTGTGGAGCTGTAAACAGCACCCCGAGTCCCCAGAGGTGGCCCTGGCTCACAGTTCATCCCGCCTCCTCCTGGCTGGACGCCCAGCACCCACACACCCTGGGCAGAGGACTGAGCTCCAGGCAACAAAGAGGGATTATCTCCTCCTGGGTCAACTAGGGCTACAGATTAGAACCCTGAAACTCTCTCCATGTAAAGACTGCCCTCTGGAACCCTGAACCCCAGCCACAGGAGACCCTACCCCAATGCTTCCGCCCCGCCGCCCCCCTCTACCCCGGGAAGAGCAGGTGGTGGCCAATTTGTATGTTTTATTCCAAGAAGGCAGCGGGGGTGGGGGGGCACCGAGCCTTGAGCTGGGCCTTGGGGCCTTCCTCCGGCAAGGGGGTGCACGCCGGGTTCTCGGGTCTGCCCCACCAGCGGACTGGTTTGCAGGCAGACCGTCATGGGCGCCGGGTGGAAGGCTCCGAGGGGCACAGTTGGGGGGCTCAGTGTGGGGGCAAAGATCGATGCAGTTATAGGTAGCAAGGCAAGTCCTTCTCGATCACCAGGGGCTCCTCCATGGGGCCGTAGCGCTTCACCACACAGCCGTTCTTGTCAATGAGGAACTGTGGAGAGGGGGTCCCACTTGCTGCCGCTGCAAAACCATAACAGGTCCCCCACCCCCACCCCACCGGCCAGTCTGGGCAGCCGCCCCCGCCCCCAGCCCGCTGCCCCCTTACCTTGGTGAAGTTCCATTTGATGGCACTAGGAAAGAAACCAGAGCCAGTGAGGCACGGCGTGCTGATCAGAGCCCACCCCTGCCCCTGGCCCTCCCGTGGGGGGGGGGGGGGGAACCCCCACTCACTTTCCCAGAATGCCCCTGCCCTTGGGCTGGGCTTTCATCCACTTCCACAGCGGGTGGGCATCGTCCCCATTTACACAGATCTTGCTGAACATATCGAATTTGACGTTATAGCCTGCAGCGAACTCCTTGATCTCTGCATTATTCCCTGGCTCCTGCAAAGTGGTAGGGAGGCAGGGGTCGAGGGGTGCCCAGAGGAAGAGACCTGGACCTTGGCCCTCACCAGCCTTAGTCCTGCCCACCTCAAGGTTCTTTTTTTTGGTGGGGGGGGGGCAATCTCACCTGCTTGCCAAACTGGTTGCAAGGAAAGGCCAGGATCCGTAAACCGCACTCAGCATACCGGGCGTGCAGGTCGACAAGCTGAGTGTAGTTTACTTCGGTCTTGCCTCATTGCGAGGCCACGTTGGTGACGATGCACACGTAGCCCCTGGAAGCCGGAGTGAGGGGCTCAGGCTAGGTCCTGCCGGGCAGCCCGCCCGCCCACCCACGGCGACAGCCGCGCCCCCAAGCCAGCCCCCAAGGTCCGCGCACCGGTACTTGTCCAGATTCACCATGCGCCCGTCTATGTCCTTGGCTGAGAATTCGTGCATGGAGGTAGCACAGCGCCAGTCATCTCGGGACGCGCACTGCAAGCAAAAGGGGATGCTGAGACCTCGGGAGGAAGGGATGCGGGGTGGGGGGGAGGGCACCAGCCCAGCCCGGCGGGATCCCTAGACAGGACGGGCGCGCAGCACGCCTCATGGACACACGCCCCCACTGCGTCCCTGGGCGCACGGAGTGGAGGCGGGGAGGCATCGGAGAAAGCAAGCGGGATCCCGCGCGGGTTCCGGGCCGGCCAGGCGCCCCACGGGGCGGCTCGGCCTGCCTCGGACTGCTGCGACGACCCCGAGCTGTCCCGATACGGCTCCTGCCCGCCGCGAGCTGTCCTGCGCCGGCGCACTGGGCCCTTCCGCTGCCCGCAACCTCTTCGCCGCCGCCGCCGCCGCCGCTGCCGCTGCCTCCTGCTCGGCGACCGGCGGCGGCGGCGGGACCTCCCGCCGCACCCCCGGGAGCCCGCGGCTTCGCGGGACATGCCCGCCCGTCTCCGGCCCTGTTTCTGCCCACCCGCGCGCGGCTCCCGGGTTGCCAGGGGGCCCGTCACCCGGGCGCCCAGGCCGCCCTCTGTGACGCCACCGCACAGAGCAGAGCGCACCGGGGCGCACTGGGCGGGGGAGGGGCGGGGACGCCCCGCGGCGCGTGACCCCGGTGTCCAGCGCCCCCCCCCATCGGGGAAGCCGAGGGCAAAGGGCGCCATCCAGCTGCCCCGAGGCGGCCCACCCGAGGGCCCCCTCCCCCATCGCCCAACCCCCTTAGCTCCGCGCTTCCCGGAGTCGCGCGCCCACCCCCCCCCGTCCCTCCCCAACGCTGACCCCGACGGCAGCGGAGGGGGGGCGGGGGGCCCCGAGCGCGCACCGCTCATCGCGTGCGACCTTTCCCGCGCGCCCAACGGCCCCGGCCCGACCCGGCGTCGCACTCACCATGGTGCTGGCCAGGCCGGGCACGGTCAAAGCTCCGCACAGCAGCGCCGGCTTCAGCAAGCGGCAGAAACGGCTGAAACTCATCGCGGCGGCTGCGGGGGGTACCCGGAGCAGCGGCTCCTCCCCTCTCCGAGCCGGCCAATGGACGAGCGCCGGCGAGCCGCTCCTCCCCGCCCTCGACCACGCCCACCTCTGCTCTCATTGGTCAGCCTCCCGGGCGCTTGTTAGACGTACCGGCGGCAGCCAATGGGAGGCTATAGGGGCGGGGCCGGGGCGGGGCCGTCCCGTGGCTTTGTTGTCGAGAGGGAGTGCGCATGCGCGCTGGCGGCCAGCCGGCCACTGTCCCCTACCGTGAGATCCGGGACAGTTAGACGGGGGTTGCAAGTTGCGGGATAACTCGAGGCGATGACCGGTCATCGCGTGGGGGGCGGGGCGCGGAGGCGCGGAAAGTCACGCTAGCTTACGACAAGCGGGAGGGGGGCGTGATTTCCTTGGGCACCTCAATAAAGTTGGGATGGGAACAAATCCAGTTCCCCAGGCTGGGTTTGGACGCTGGGCCCTTAATGTTCACTCGGGTTGGCAGCGGCGCTCTAAGGGGCGCCTCAGCGAGACACGGTGCCGGGTCGCGGGTGTCCTTGGAAGACGTCCCCTCCTCCGCCCCCCACCACCCCTGGGTGCAGACCGCAGTTAGTTGCCACCAGTTAGCGCGCGGTGGCCTGCGCGTCCCCAGAGCTGGCAAGGCAGGGATGGGTATGGAAACGTTTAACGTGTAAACCGTGACTCCGTCCCACCAGGGCGCTGGGCCCGGCGTTTCCAAAGAAAAACACCTAAACCCGAGGGGCTTCTCCCACCTAGCCCCAAGAGGCAAAGCGCACGACTTCAGCGCTCAGGCACTTTGCCCCAGACTGTGCTCTGGACACGAGTATTAGGCAGTTGGAGCCCAGCCCCGCCTCATTCCTGGGAACTGACTCACGGGATTCCACGGGGGCTGACCCCTGCCCCCGGCCAACAATGCCCGTGTCTTGCCCTTCAGAGCCCCCACCCACCAGTTCAGTTCTGCAGAGCCTGGTGCCCGGGTCCGCCTTGGATATGGAGCAAGGAGCCCACGCCGGTTGCTCCATTCCCTAATTGTACCAGGGCGGTTGGTTGGTGCTGCTTCTCCCTACGGCCTCGTCTCAGTGGGGTCCCCCCCACCCCAGAACCTGCGTTCCCCTCCCTGCTCCGCGGTAGCACAGCTCAGCTGTTTTGCCCCCGTGAGGATCCAGCATCGTGACATGGTCACAAGGGAGCCGCCCAGATGACTATTTCGGGGGGGGGGGGGGGGGGCGGGGGCAGAAAAACAACAGTTCAGGGTGACGCCCCTTGCGTGGGTGGGAGTGGGGATGAGATTAAGGCAATCTTCCCCTTTTTTCCTCACCCCATGAGGCCCTATTAGATAAGAATGGGGTGTGGAAGTCTGGTCGGTCTCCAAAACCAGGAACTATACCCCAGGCTCCAGGTTTCTCCCATCTTCTTGACTTGGGGTCACACCAAGTGATGTTTGGGACTTTCTCCTGGCTCTGCTCTCGGGGGTCACTCATGGTGAGGCTTGGGTGACCATATGACTGAGGAGTGAGCCCGGGTCAGCCACATGCAAGGCTAATGTCTTCCCTGCTGTACTATCTCTCTGTCTCCCCTGGTCCTCCCATATCTGGGCCAGAGGGATTTCCTGTTCACACACACAAAATTGCTGGGCCCTCCCTCGCCTCCCCCCTGGGACTCCACTTCTCCAAGCACCCAAAATCCTGCCTCTTCCCTGTCTTGTCTCCCAGCCTAAAAGCCACTCCAGATCCCCCTGCCCTTTGGCTTGGGTCTCCGGTGTCCCCCACATTACTCCAGTCAACCCCTCTTAAATTTTTCGTGCTCCCTTATTGAGGTCCAAGTACTCCCTGGAGCAAGAGTCTAGCCTGGTGCTGGTCGATGCCTCCCTCCTTGCATCTGCAGAGGCCTGCCCTTGGCACCAGGGATGGGGACCCTCCTCTTTTCTCCCTGTTTGGGAGTGGCCTGGGCCACACCCACAGTGACAGTGGGGGTACTCTTGGCTCAGAGCTCAGGGGTAGTGCTCAGAGATCAGTGATGCCGGGGATCGAACTGGGATCGGTCTCACGTAAACCATCCCTGCCGTGTTCTCTCTGCTCCCTTTGCTGCATCTCGGGGTCAGTTGCCTTACAGAGCGGGCATCGGCTCCCACTTGTTCTGCAAGGTCTGGGGGAGGGAGATACCCTGAGGCACGCAGGGAATGAGCTGCCAGGCAGGATGGACCTTGACATTTCATTGTCCCACTGTGCCCCCTGCCCTCCTTCCTCCCACCAGCTCCTATCTCCCATTCTGACCTCCTCCTCCCCTTGGCTCAGTGACCTCATCCAGGGAGGCCTCCTGGGAGGCCAGGCTCCTCCCCATCTATCACCTGGTGAACTCAGGTGAAGACTCCACTCTGGTTCTCCCTCCCAGTCTGACTCTCACCCCCACATCAGATAGATTATCTACACATTCTATGGGTACAGTCTTTTTTTTTTTTTTTTTTTTTTTTTGCTTTTTGGGTAAAACCCAGCGATGCACAGGGGTTACTTCTGGCTCTGCACTCAGGAATTACTCCTGGCAGTGCTCAGAGGACCATATGGGATGCTGGGAATTGAACCCTGGTCTGCCGCGTGCAAGGCAAAAATGCCCTACCCTCTGTGCAAACGTTCCAGCCCCATCTGTGGGTACAGTCTTGAGCACCCACCTGCTCCCTCCTCATCTCTGCCCTCTCCAGCCCCCCTCACCCTCTTTATCTCCAACCTGGGAAATGCTTAAAAGGATTTCAGAAAGGGGCTGGAGCAATAGTACAGTGGGCAGGGCGTTTGCCTTGCACGCCGACGACTGGGGTTCGATTCCCAGCAGCATCCCATATGGTCCCCTGAGTACTGCCAGGGGTAATTCCTGAGTGCATGAGCCAGGAGTAACCCCTGTGCATCCCCGGGTGTGACCCAAAAAGAAAAAAAAAATAGGATTTCAGAAAAGCACAAGGTGGGGGCGGGTCAGAGCAATAGTACAGGGGGAAAGGCAATTTGCCTTGCACACAGCTGGCCCGGGTTCGATCCCTGATATCTCATATGTTTCCCTAAGCACTGCCTGGTATGACCCAAAAAGAAAAAAAAAAAAAAGGATGGGCAGAGTGTTGGGCGGTGCTGCCCCCCCCCCCTCCCCCGCCACCCAAGAAAACACTGACAACCTTTTTGTGGCTTCCCAGGAACTGCTCCTTAATCCTCTCTGACCCCGTCTCCTCCTCCATGCCCTCAAGGGCAAAGTCCAGCCCAACCCCCACCGGGAAACCCTCTGACCTACTTCTCCCTACTCTACCTGTTCCTTCTTTGGATTTCCTCCTCTTATTTCCCCTCCGCTGGCCAAAACCTCCCACCTCCTTCAGCCTGCTCTGACCCTTTTCCACCAACCGTCAGATTTTCAGATACTTGATCACTTGCCTGATGACATTCAGTATCTCCTCCCTTAATTTGTCCCTGCAGTGTAGAGTTAGGCTTTGGTTCATTGTTTGTGTGTTGCTCAGGAAATATTAACCGGGGCAAAGGAATATGTTATTGAACAAGTTACTGCTTCCATTGGGCGGATGTTGGTATCTGGTGGATGCCAGCAGAGTCTAGGGTTCATGCAGTGTCTTGGAGGGGCTGCGGGATCACCAGGCAGAGGCTGGGCTGGGACTAGATCGCAGAAAGAGAAATGAGATCATCTGATAAGCACCGAGCCTTCTACCGAACTCCTCCCAAGAAAAAACATCCTTTCGTTCTGAGCTAATCCTGTTAAATGGGGACACTTTATTTCCAAAGTACAAATGGGAAAGAGGGAGAGGAACCCCTGGCCCCTGTAATATGAGGCACAAATATTTAAGTCAAAGCGCTCAGTCGACTCAACTGCCCACGGAGGCTAGAGAACTCACCCTGCCGAGACCTCAGTTTCCCCACCCACAGGAATTCTAAGTAGCCACCAGGAGGCCGGTGTTGAAGGGAAACTACAAATCCCAAGAGGCCTTGCGCCCAAAGCCACGCGAGAACACCGGGGTGGGCGCGGGAGTGGGCGGGGCCTGTCTCAGCGCGCAGCCAACCGCCGCTCGCGGGAGCGAGCTCGGGCTGCCCTCGGCGCTGCCGCCCCAGACGTTTGCAGCTTTTCCGGCGTTCGCTGAGGACAGCCCCGCGCAGAGGGGGCCTGCGAAGGGGGCCTGCCTGAAAGCCCGGCGCAGGCGCAGTGGTCGTGAGATCTTTCTAGGCGCCGGCGGCCCCGAGAGCCGAGCACCGCCGCGATGGATGACGAGGAGGAGACGTACCGGCTGTGGAAGATTCGCAAGACCATCATGCAGGTGGGCGATGCGCGGGGCGCCCCGTTTGCCGGGGCGCGGTGGGGTCGCGCTTTTGGCGAGGACCGGGGGCCCCGGGAGCTGCGTGGACCGCGTGGGGGCGGGGTCTCACGCACCTCCCCGACAGGATCACGCTGGATTTTCTTCTTTTTGCTTTTCGGGTCACACCTGGCGATGCACAGGGGTTACTCTTGGCTCATGCACTCAGGAGTTACCCCTGGCGGTGCTCAGGGGAACCTATGGGATGCTGGGAATCGAACCCGGGTCGGCCGCGTGCAAGGCAAACGCCCTCCCCGCTGTGCTCTCTCTCCGGCCCCTCTCTGCACATTTTTTTTTTTTTTGCTTTTCGGGTCACACCCAGCGATGCACAGGGGTGACTCCTGGCTCAGCACTCAGGAATCATTCCTGGCGGTGCTCAGGGAACCACATGGGATGCTGGGAATCGAACCCGGGTCGGCCGCGTGCGAGGCAAACGCCCTCCCCGCTGTGCGATCGCTCCAACCCCACGCTGGATTTTCTTGGGAAACTTCAAATAGTTTCTTCTCTTCTTGGGGGAGTCACATCCAGCTCAGGTGCTGGGGCCGAGTCCTGGGTCTGGGGGCGCGCGGGGGACCACGCGGAGTTCCGGGGACCGAACCCGAGGAGCCCGCGTAGGAGCAGACGCCCTACTCGCTGCGCTATCGCTCCGGCTTTTTGTTTTTGTTTTGTTTTGGGGTCACACCTTGCGTTGCTCGGGGCTTAACTCCTGTGCTCGGAGGCACTATGGGATGCCGGGATCGAGCCCGAGGGACCTTGCAAGGCAAACGCCCTCCCCGCTGGACTGTTGCTCCGGCCTCTATCCTTGGTAAATGGTATCTGGCCACACTTACTACCTTACAACCTCAGAGCTGAGAGTTTGGGAACCGGGTCGTCTGCCTCTTGACCTCTGGGGACGCTGGGCTCTCTGGTGTGGTGCTATAAGCTGTTTTTGCTTTTTTAAAATTTTTATTTATTTTATTTTGCTTTTTGGGTCACACCCAGCGATGCACAGGGGTGACTCCTGGCTCTGCACTCAGGAATCACCCCTGGCGGTGCTCAGGGGACCATATGGGATGCTGAGAATCGAACCCGGGTCGGCCGTGTGCAAGGCAAACGCCCTAACCGCTGTGCTATTGCTCCAGCCCCTGCTACAAGCTGTTTTAATGGGGGAATCAGTAGTGACACCCCTCCCCAGAAGCTTTTTTTTTTTTCCCTTTTTGGGTCACACCCGGGGATGCTCAGGGGTGACTCCTGGTTCTGCACTCAGGAATCACTCCTGGTGGTACTTGGGAGACCATATGGAATCCCGGGATCGAACCAGGGTCCGCCGCATGCAAGGCAAACATTCTACCTACCGGCTGTATTATCACTTTGGGGCGCCCCCTCCCAACACCCCCACACACCCCGGACCCAGGCACCACCATCACCACCACCACTACCAGCCTCCCAGGGTTCTTGCCCTGCTTTGGCGGGCATTGCCGCCACATTCTGCCCGACGGCTTTGCTTATCGACTCTCCATAGACCAAACCCGCCTGGCCCAGCCCCAGGTGAACAGAGTGGAACTGAAGCTTGTTTTCAGCTGAGGAGTCAGAAAGTAAGACAGACGAGAAAAAAGTCTGGGCTCAGGGCTGCCCTCTGCATTCAGTGTTTTTTTCTTGGAACAAGGAGTCGTTGCAGGAATTGAGGAGGAGATGTTCTCGCGCGAACTGCCAGTCTGTGCTAATCTAACGCAGACAAACTTCAGGATGTGAGACCGGAGAGGTAGTACAGTGGTTAGAGCATTTGCCTTGCATGAGGCCGACCTGAGTTCGATCTCTGGCATCCCAAATGCTACCCCCTTACCGCCCCAGCACTGCCAGGAGTAACCCCAGAGTATCGCTGGGTGTGGCCCGGAAAGTTCAAAAAAAAAGAGAGAAAGAAAGAAACTATTATGACATGTCTTCCAAGGGACAAACGTTTTTGGGGGAGTGGGCATTTCTTTTATGTATTTCTTTTTTTTGCTTTTCGGGTCACACCCGGCGATGCACAGGGGTTACTCCTGGCTCTGCACTCAGGAGTTACTCCTGGCGGTGCTCAGGGGACCATATGGGATGCTGGGAATCGAACCCGGGTCGGCCGCGTGCAAGGCAAATGCCCTCCCCGCTGTGCTATCGCTCCAGCCCCTCTGTATTTATTTTTTACCATACTCAGTGATGCGGGCTGGAGAGATAGCACAGCGGTGGGGCTTTTGCCTTGCATGCGGCCGACCTGGGTTCGATTCCTCCGCCCCTCTCGGAGAGCCTGGCAAGCTTCCCGCGACGTATTGGATATGCCAAACACAGTAACAAGACTCACAGTGTTACTGGGCCTGCCCGAGCAAATGGATGAACAACGGGAGGACAGTGACAGCCACAGTGACCCAGTGATGCTCAGGCTTCCTCCCCGCTCTGCACTCAGGCGGTCACTGCTCGCAGACTCTGGGACCTTATGGTGCCCGGAGAGGAACCTGGGTCGGTCCCATGCAAACAAGGGCCCTACCGCCTGCGCCACCTCTCTCCTGCTTCAGGTCTTGCGGGGTGGGGGTACTCTCCTGGCGGGACTCGGACCACATGGGGTGCAAGGCAAGAGCCTTAGCTGCTGGGATCCCTCTCGGCCCCCTCCGCCTGGCTTAACCCTTTGTGCCTAGCAAGGGCCTGAACGGTGGGGGGCTTCAGCTGACAGGGTTCCCCACTTGCCCAGTGGGGAAGGGGGGTGGGTGGCTCCGGAGAGAGTAGACGATGGGGGGTGGGGCGCAGGGAGCCCCAGTTTGGTGCCTGCCATGTCCTCTTCCCCAGTCCAGCTGGTCCTGGATGTCGGGGAGCGGGCGGGCTCAGAGTGTGCCCCGTCTTTGTCCCCCGGCTCCTTCCTGCAGCTGTGTCATGACCGGGGCTACCTGGTGACCCAGGACGAGCTGGACCAGACGCTGGATGAATTCAAGGCGCAGTTCGGGGACAAGCCGAGCGAGGGGCGGCCGCGGCGCACGGACCTCACCGTGCTGGTGGCCCACAATGACGACCCCACCGACCAGATGTTCGTCTTCTTCCCCGGTGAGGCCCCCCAGTCCGCACCCCGAACCGGCCAGCCCAGGGACGCTCACCTTTTCTGTCCTGCTCTTGGATACGATTGACCCCGACCCCCCCCTGCCAGTGCCTTTTCTGGGTCCCCTGCCCTGTTCCTCGCCTGGGCCACTCTGCCAGTCGCCCTGCCGGCCCCCCTTCTCGTGGGCGACACTCTCTTTCTGGGGGGTCCAAGCCGGCTCCTCCCAGAGCTCCTCTGAGGGGGCCAAACTCCTCAGGGGTGTCCCAGCGCTCTGGACCCCTAAGTCCGTGCCTGCTCCCCACAGCCGCAAAGGGACGGGCCTGGGGACCGGCTGTCACCGGCACGGCAGGGACACGGATAGCCCGTGTGTCCTTTGGTTTTGGTGCCACACCCAGCGATGCTCTGGGGTTGCTCCTGGCTCTGTGCTCAAGAGTCGCTTCTCGCGGTGCCTGGGGGACCCTGTAAGGTGTGGGGAAGCGAACCCGGATTGATGATGTGCACAGCCAGCGCCCTCCCTGCTGGACTGTCGCTCCGGCCGGACCCTGTGGTGGTTTTATGGAAAGGTCCTCGTGGGATTGGAGAGAGAGTGTGGGGGGCGGGGGGCTGCCCTGCACTTGAGTCCCCCCGACAGCCGCCCAACCCTGCATCATGAACAAGGTCCCGGAGGGCAGAGACACAGGTCAAAGGGTCGGAGCACTTCATGGAGCCCCCCAAGCAACAGAGCGTGGCTGACTCAAAACATAAACAGGGAAACGAGGGACCCCCACGCTGACCAAGCCCTGGCCAGAGTCCACTGTGCTCTCTGGTCTCTGCGGGGGGTCTGGGGTATCACTGCCCCTGACAGCAGAGGGAGGATGGGAGAGCAACGGGAATAGACCAGACAGACACACACACCCCCACCCACCCCCCACCCCCGCTGGCTACAGGAAATATGTCGTTCATCGACTCCCGTCCCTGGCGCAGGGGTGAGGCAGGTGCACTCTGCAGGCCCCATCGGCGAGCTCAGGCCCGCCCTGGCCTCCTGGCGCTCTCGGGGGGCGGGGTGGTACACGCAGCAGTGCTTCAGGGCTGCTCACGTGTTGCCTGGGGGACCCTGCGGTGCCGAGGATCACACCAGGGTGAGGGGCCGGGGCATGTGGTTCCTGAGTGATGAGCTGCGTGTGGCCTCCAAGCCTCAGTGACAGGCCAGCGGGGCGGCCACTTGCTCTGCACTTGCCCACCTGGGTTCAAGTCCCAGCACCCCGGAGGGTCCACCGAGCCCTCTGGGAGTGATCCCTGAGCACCCCCGGGTGTGGCCCCAGAACAAACTGGGGGAGAGCAAGTAGCGCAGCCCCGCCCTCTGCGCCCCGCCCCCCACGTTCTGCTGGGACCTTGCCCCAGGCCATCACTCCTGGGGTCTGCCCAGCGCTAGGGCAGCTGCCCGGGTCAGGCCCGTTCGGAGTCCACGTGGGGGTGGCAGGGGTGTCAGAGCTGCGGGGTCCGGGGCGCCCAGCCCAGGGCTCTCCGAGCTCCTCCAGCTGCCCCGTTCCCAAGCTGAGCCTCCCCCGTGTGCCCGCAGAGGAGCCCAAGGTGGGCATCAAGACCATCAAGGTCTACTGCCAGCGCATGCAGGAGGAGAACATCACCCGCGCCCTCATCGTGGTGCAGCAGGGCATGACGCCCTCCGCCAAGCAGGTGCCCGCCCTCCTCGCCAGGCCCCACCCCCACCCCTCACGACCTGCTGCCCCTCTCGGTGACTGGGCCCTCGCGAGCCCCCAGGCCCAGCCAGGCTCCCCCCACTCTGGCCTGTGGAAAGGGGGGGCTCTCCATGGGGGAGGCCGGGAAGGGGTGCAGCTCCCTGACTCGCCCCCGGCCAGGGCTGCAGGTGCGGGACCGGGTGGGGGACCAGGGACGCGGGGGTCTGACGCAGGCTTGTCTCTGGCAGTCCTGGGGGCGTGGGGTCCGGGGGACTGACGCGTGTGTCTCCGCAGTCCCTGGTCGACATGGCCCCCAAGTACATCCTGGAGCAGTTCCTGCAGCAAGAGCTACTCATCAACATCACGGAGCACGAGGTGGGTCTGGGGTGCAGCGATGGGGGCGCTGCGGGGAGCAGAGCCAAGCCCCCCAGGTGGTGCCCTGGGGAGGGGGGCTCCACGGGCGGTTCCAGGCCCACAGAGCATGTGGGATGCGGGGTTGCCCCTGGGTTCTCCCCCGGGTTCAGCGACACTCCCCTGCTCCCGCCTGGTGGGTGGCTGCACCCCCTTCCTTGTGGGGTTCCGGGAGCACAGCGGGTGTCCTCTTGGCAGCTGGTCCCAGAGCACGTGGTCATGACCAAGGAGGAGGTGACGGAGCTGCTGGCCCGGTAGTATCCTTTGTGCTGCACCCCCCCCCCCCCCGCCGTCCCGCACCCAGATCCCCCACCCGTATCCCACATCCCTGTCCCCTCCTCCCGTCTTGCACCCCCAGAGGCCCCCTGCCCTCTAGCTCGAGGCCTTTTCCTGACCAGCACCCCAGTAAGCTCCGTGAGAACCAACTGCCCAGAATCCAAGCCGGGGACCCCGTGGCACGCTACTTCGGCATAAAGCGGGGCCAGGTAAGAAGCCCCCACCCTACCCCCGTTTTCCCCAGTGGGGCAGACAAGCCCTGCAGTGTGGGGCCAGGGTGCGGGGGTCCCCAAGGCCCCCCAAGGTGGGCATCAAGACTCAGGGTACATGTTTGTCCCAGGTGGTGAAGATCATCCGGCCCAGCGAGACCGCCGGCAGGTACATCACGTACCGCCTGGTACAGTAGCTGCCCCCGAGAGGGACCGAGGGACAGCGAGAATCTGCTTCTGCTCCGGGTCCCCACTGTGTCTGCCCGAGCCCCGTGTGACCTCGGGGTGCACCTCAGGCCCAGTTCAGCTCTGCCGCCCGCCGCATCTCCAGTTGGGAGACCCCGATGCTGGAGTGAGCAGGACAGGCCGCCGTCCGTGGACTTTGGGGGGCTCAGAATGTGGGGGCCTTCGTAAGGAGACACGGGATGTGCTTACTGCAACAGTCCGGATAGTTCGCCTTCCTCATTCTTCCCAGTGGGGTCTGAACTCCCCCTGCCCCCCTGCACAGGCCAGCGCCCTGCCCAGAATTTGGGGCATCTCCCTGTCCAGTTTCAAAGGGGGGACCCCTTGGATTCCGAGGACACTGGGGTGTGGGAAGCTGCCCATGAAATTCTCATGCTGGCTAATGTCTGTGCCCAACGGCTGCTCTGGCTTCTGCCTCAGTTTCCCCCAAGGCTTGCTGCCTCAGTTCTGATCTTGGCTGCTTGTGTGAAGGTCACGGCCCTGCGGATGGCGGGTTTCATGTTCCGTGTATTTTACCAGAGTAAAAATCCTTCTGGCTTTTGAGTATTTAAGTCATACCAGTGATTCTGAAGGAGGGGGCAGAGAGTCGGCACCACAGCTGGGGGTGCTCAGGGATCATCCCTGACTCTGCTGGGGGGCCCTGTGAGGTGCCGGGATGGAACTGGACTCGGGCCATGTGCCTGATCCTCTCTCTGGCCTCTTGTGTTTTGGGGCCATCCCTGGAGGTGCCCAGTTCTTACTCCTGGCTCTGTGCTCAGGGCTCGCTCCTGGCAGGCTTGGGGACCATCTGGGGTAGCAGGGGTCAAACGGGTCAGCTGTGTGCAAGGCCAGTGCCCTCCCTGCTGTGTTGCCCCTCTGGCCTCCTTGATTTCCCCCCAGCCTTTTTGTCTGGTGCTGCCTTAGGGCCCCAGGATGCCTGATCTGCTGAGCGCCTGGCCTGTGAATGGATCTCAGAATCAGTTCCCAGCTCCTAGCAGCGCCATTGCTTGTGGTTGGGTAGCCTTTGGGACCCCTGCGGCTCCCTGTGTGAAAGGTGGTTGCGGGGGGGGGGTGTGTGTGTGCGCGTGTGCGTGTTTCACACAGGGGCTGTAGGGACAGAGCCCCCCTCGGCCTCTGAGCAGTCCTGCTTACTCAGCTTGTCACGTGCCAAGGGTCTGGGGTGTGTCTTGTTCTGATATCTGGGAGTGAGCAGAGGGCCTGGCCACACTGCCCCTGCACCTGGATCACACCGCACCTGTAGCTGGACCTACCTGAGCCACTGATTCTGGGGGCACACCTCTGCCCGGGCATCTAGGGGAGCTCTACAAAACCACGATGTGCTTGTTTGTTTTGCTTTTTGGGTCACACCCAGCTATACTCAGGGATTACTCCTGGCGGTGCTCAGGGGACCCTAGGGATGCTGGGATTCAAACCCGGGTCGGCCGCCGTGCAAGGCAAACGCCCTACCCCCTGTGCTATCGCTCCAGCCCCACGATGAGCTTGTTTGTCAGCCGCTGGGCATCTCAGGCAGGCCAGCCTCGGCTCCCCCCACCCCCCCACCCCGGAGCAGCCTGTGGGTCCTGAGGGCTGGGCCCAAGCAGGAAGGGGTAGCCTCACCCCCTCCTCCTGGCGGCTTCCTCAGGCCCGGGCACAATCTCCCTGAGTTCTGCGTGGCTGTGGGTCTCCTTGCTGCCCGTGGGACCAAGGCTGCCTTCTGGAGGGCAGCCGCTTCCTGAGGCAGCTCATTCTAGGAAGCCCAGAAACGATCGCCGGGATAACAGGAGCACAATAATGGGAGCACAGTGACCACCCTCTAGAGCCTTAACTTTATTTAGAGTAAAAGAAAGCTGAGAAAAGCAAGCTAAGAACCACCCCTGATCATCAAAAGCCCAAGATGACTCTGGTGTTCCGGGCTGCTGAGGCGGCCGCGCTTCCCGCCTGGTTTCCCGAGAAAGACAAAGACGGGACAAGAGAGGACGAGAGACCAGGACAGAGCAGGGGCCCGGGGTGGCTGGGCCCCAGCGGCCACTCAGTTGGGCATGAACCCAGGACACGCCTGGGCCAGAACCCACCTAGACAAACTGCGGCTGCCTGTCCAGGCCGCCGGCCACGGCCACCCGGCCCCCGCGCACCCTCACGGCGGGCAGCCTCGTGGGCGGCTGCTTGTTGTTGGACTGGTTGGAGTTGTACGTGGACAGCCCGGCCCAGAGCCCACGCTCGGCCCCCCGCCTCGGCCCCCGGGTCCCCGAGTGGCGTCTCGCTGTCCCCCACTTCCGTGCCCGCCCGCGTCTCCAGGAAGCTGAGGTGCTGGAGCGCACTGTCCACGGAGGAGTCCAGCGGGTCCGGGGTCTCGTCCAGTTCTGAGTCTGAGTCGTTGGAGGCGACGCGAGATTCTGGGGAGTCACATGAAGACAGACACGTAGCTCAATTGATCGATCGCAGGGGTCCCGGGGCCCTTGTGGGCCTCCACAGACCCCCTCATCCCCTGCCCAAAGCACATCTCGTGTTGGTAACAGGTAACAAATGACCACAACTGGGCAGCTGGGAAGACACTCGCCCCGGGTCGTGCAGTTTCAGGGCACTTCAGTGCAGTCCCCAGACTTCCTCCCGTCAACTACCATCTCCCAGGTTGGCTCTGAAGGTCAGGGCAGACGTGAGCCTGCAAACACTTCTGCCCTCTGCCCACCCCTGCGTCCCACAGATAAGCCACTGTTCCCTCCTGCGCCCCTCCCTGGCCCGCAGAGCAAAGCCGCTGGGGTCCACTGACCTTGACCTGCATCCTCGGCCTCCTCGCTGGACTCCGGGTATGACACTTGCACCACCACTTCTGCCCGCTGGCTGGCTGGCCCGTCCTGCGGGGACAGCTTCGGGGGGGAAGGGGAGTCAGGGTGGAGCCATGGGGACAGATCTGTCTTCCTGACTAATCGTTTGCAAACCCTAAAATCTTTTGGGGGTGGGGGCAGTGATAGTACAGCTGACAGGGCACTTGTGGGTTCTTTTCCCCCCCCCCCCCCTTTTTTTCTGAGCCTCACCTAGTAGTGCTCAGGGCTGATGACTGACTCTGAGCTCAGGGATCACTCCTGGTGCTCATGGGGGACCTTATGGGGTGGGATCAAACCCAGTTTGGCTGCATACAAGGCAAACGACCCTCCCTGCTGCACTATGGCTCCGGCAGGATACTTGTCTAGCATGCAGGCTCGATCCCGAGCACGCCATGGGGTGTCTCCTGAGCCCCACCAAGAGTGATCCCTGAGCGGAGTCAGGAATTAGTCCTGACCACCTCCAGGTATGCCGCCACCACCACCACCAAACCCCCCCCCCCAGAACTTGCTATTGGTTAGCTTGAGGGTACAAAACGGCCACCCGTCCCCACGTCCCTTTATCCAACGTATTTCCTTGGAACTAGGGACCCGGCATCCCCAAACGTAGCAGTACTAGGAGGCCCCTCAGCCAGCAAGAACGACTTGGGGAAGAGGGGCTTTGGAAATGGACACCCCACCAGGACAGTGGGGACTGAGGGCCAGAACCCAGCTGAGTGACCCTCAGGCCAGACAACGGGAGGTGAGAGCAGCTGGAGACGGGGTGGGTCAAAGGCAAGGGAGGCCCTGACACAGTCAGAGGTAAACCTGCAGGATGTGGGCACTACTGGGGGACAGCACCCCACACTGAGCCTGGCCCAAAACACATCTCCAGGGACTGGAGTGATAGGAGAGCAGAGAGGATGTTAGCCTTGCACACGGCCGACCCCAGTTCGATCCCCGGCATCCCATATGGACCCCTGAGCACCGCTAGGAGTAATTCCTGAGGGCAGAGCTAGGAGTAACCCCTGAGCACTGCTGGGTGTGCCCCCCAAACAAACAAAACATCTCCAAGGGACGGGAGAGATAGTACAGCAAGCAGAGTTGCTTTGCCTGTGTCTGACCTGATTAAATCCTTGGCACCTCACAGGGCCCCCCGCCCATCCTCACCAGGAGTGATCCCTGAGTGCAGGGCACCGCCAAGTATGGCCCATAAACCAAAATAAAACCTCCCATCCACCATCCCCAAAACAGCCAGACGCTAGAACCTGCACCCCATCCCCCAAGAGCACGGTCCTAGGGTCCACCTGCCTCCACAGGGCCCCCAGGTACCTCTTCTGGCTCCTCTTCAAAGACCAGGCCATACTGGGCAATGAGGGTCTCCACGATGCGGGCCTGGTGGGGATAATCCACCAGGGATGAGAGGGACACGGTGGCCTCTGTGGGGCGTGGCCGCAGCAGTGTGGGTCCAAACACGATGCCCAGGTTCCCGGGGGTCATCTTGTTGTCCTGCTCCACCTCCACAATCCTAGCGGATCCAAGGGTGCAGGAAGCAGGTGTGAACGCCCTCCGGTCCCCCGCCCCCCGCACCCCTCCCTCAGACCCAGCCCAGCCAGCCCGCACCTGCGCAGATGGCGCAGAAGATACTGTAGGGTGGCACGATTCTCACGCGGCAGGTCCCGCAAGAGCTCCCGCAGCCGGCTGGCCATGGCCACCGCTGCAGCCTCAGTCTCGGCCGCATCCAGCCGGCCCCGGGAGGCCGCCTTGAGCTCGGCTTCCGCCTTCAGACTGTCCTTGGCCAGCCCCACAAGCTCGTGGTAGAAGCGGAATGAAATGAGCGGCTCGGGCAGCTGTGGAGGACAGGGCAGGTGGACAGTCAGTGGACGGGGCCAGGTCCCTAAGGGTCTTACTCTGTCCTGGCTACTGCCAGACACTGATGCCATCGGTCTGCCCCAGTCCCGCCCCCACCAATGCTCCCACGCATAGAAAGCCTGTCCAAGCTAAGCACCAAGCTTCACCCAGTTATAAAACCCCACCCACTCTGGCCCCGCCCACGACAAAGCCCCGCCCACCCCAACAGGAGTTGTGCCCATCATAAAGCCCCACCCACTCTGGCCCCGCCCTAGACAAAACCCCGCCCACCCGATTAGTCCCGCCCCTAGCTAAAGTCCCACCCACTCTAGCCCCGCCCACCCCAACATGCGTTCTGCCCCACGTATAAAGCCCCACCCACTCTGGCCCTGCCCCAGGTAAAACCCCGCCTACCCAATTAGTTCCGCCCCCGGCATAAAGCCCCACCCACTCTGGCCCCGCCCTAGACAAAACCCCGCCCACCTCTGCATGAGTTCTGCCCCCGGCACAAAGCTCCACCCACTCTGGCCCTGCCCTAGACAAAACCCCGCCCACCCGATTAGTCCTGCCCCTGGCATAAAGTCCCACCTACTCTAGCCCCGCCCACCCCAACATGAGTTCCGCCCCAGGTATAAAGCCCCACCCACTCTGGCCCTGCCCAGGTAAAACCCCGCCTACCCCATTAGTTCCGCCCCCCCCCCCCCGATAAAGCCCCACCCACTCTGGCCCTGCTTTATGCAAAGCCCCGCCCACACCAACAGGAGTTCCGCCCCCCGGCATAAAGCCCCACCCACTCTGGCCCTGCTTTAGACAGAGCCCCACCCACCCTGGCCCCGCCCTAGGCAAAGCCCCACCCACTCTGGCCCTGCTTTAGGCAAAGCCCCGTTCAGTCCCAGGTATAAAGCCCCACCCACTCTAGACAAAGCCCCGCCCACAGCAAATATAAGCTGTCTCAGCCCTAAAGCCTTAGTTCTTGGCCACTACCTTGGTAGTCAGTCCCACCCCCAGTCGATGTTGGCCCCTTCCCACTCCCCTTCTCCAGCAGCAGCTAGCCCCCACCTCCCCTCTGCACCTGGCGCAGGTAGAGCTTGAGGACATTGCTGATGTCGTGGGGCGGGGCCTGTGACAGCTCCACCAGCTCCTTGCCGTTCTCAAAGGCCTGGCACAGCTTCTCCACACGGGTCTTCACCCCGTTGACCCGGTAGATGCCCTATGGGGACACACATTCTGCCTCAGCCCACACCCCCGCATGGTGACTCCGCCGGCCAGGGACGCCCACCGGCCCCGCGCAGGTCACCTTGGTGTGCAGTGCGCGCCGCTCGATCTCACAGATGCACTTCTTGATGATGAAGGGCACGCCGTCGGAGGTGTTGCGGGCTGCCTGGCTGAAGTCTTGGCCGAAGAGCTGCAGGCGGCCCTGCAGTTTCTTGTGGCCGCACTGGATGGCCAGCGTCTCCAGACACTTCTTGTGGCAGGCCAGACAGCACTGGGGGAGGGGCATGAAGGAAGAGATTGTCCCGAACCCCCAGCTAGGGGACTCACACATACCTGTACACATCACATGCACCCTGTATACACCTCCTACTTACTTCACATGCACCACACATACACACCATTTATAGCTCTTATTCACCTTGTACACACCTTATATACCCTAACCCTAACCCCATACATACCCCATATACACCTTACATCAAGCATATAGACCATTTACACCTCATATGCACCATATACACCCGATATGCACCTCACGTACACCTTATATACTTCATACACGCCCCATACACATCTCACATACACACCACATAAAACTTGGGTTTATATGGTGGGTATGTGAGATACACACATATACCTACCATACACACCTCACATACCTACCATATACACAACATGTACACCACGCATGCACCTCAAATACACCTCACACACCACCCATACGTATATATCTCATATGCACCTCACATACACACCCTATACACACCATTTACACCTCACACACCCCATACACACCTCATATACACATATGCACCTCATATACACATCATACACACCCCATATACACCTTAAACACACCATACACACCTCATACATATATGCATACCATAATGAACAGCCCACACATATCACACACATTCATCTCATGGAGCCAGCACACACCACACAATGCCCTTTGTATACAAATACCTGTACACGGTGTTTGTACATCCACATCTGTACACAGTGACATCGCATATACACACCTTAACAGCCTTAAACCACAGAAGCACACCCTTCAAACCACATACACTGAAAACACACCCTCCCAGACCATCCACACCTCATCTGTACGTGTGCACACACACTGCATACGCCCTCGACCTCAGACACAACCCCTCACCCTCTGCACTCGGCACCCACAGGACCCTGCCCACCAGCCCACTGCCCGGCTCCCCCAAGAGCACCCCCCCACCTGCAGCCTTTTGCTCTGGCAGCACCCACCATCCTCCCGGAGACCTTGACGGTCCCCAACTGCCCCAGAGGGCCCCCCTCGCACAGAGCCACGCACCTCCTCGCACTCGGCGCCCTGGAAGTAGACGTAGCTGTTACACTCCCGGCACTTGGCCGGCGTCCGCAGCTTCCGGAGCCGGTGCGTGCGTGCTGCCTTGGACAGACCCACGTGGCGGAAGGGACCGCTGGGCACGGGCACGGGCAGCTCGGGGGCCATGGCGCTGAGGTCCTCTGTGGGGAGGGAAGGGTCAGCCTCACCAGGCGCGCGGGGGGCCAGGCCAACTCCCCCCATTTACAGTGGGGGGCATCTTACCCTGTTCGAAGGTGGCAGCCCCGGGACCACCTTCCTGCTCCGCCAGCTCCTCGCTGGAGGACATGGTACCGCTGGACGATGTTCGCTCGAACTTCTTAAAGTCTCCTTTTATTGAACAGGGATGGCCTCACTGAGTCTTGGGGGTCCAAGGGGGACACGCCCCCACCTGGACTCCCCCAGCTGGGGGTACGGTGGCCCACTATTCACCTGAGCCAGTGCTGGGGTCCAGGCCACTCTCTGGGTCTGACACGGAGCTGGGCCAAGACTTATGTACCTTGTGGCCGCGTTCACCTGCAGAGGGGTCAGCGCCGGTGAGGCAAAGCAGTTTAAGTCAGGGAGGGCAGGTCTGCCCACCCCGCCCGCCCCCAGCCCACCGCGGACTACTCACTTCTGGGCTCCTTGGCTTGCACCCCTTCCTCTGGTGGGGTGCCCGCTGCCTCGGCCCCCACAGCTTCCCCTCCGCTGAAGCTCTCTTTGCGGACGTGCATGACTGGAGACCTGCGGGGACCGAGAGGCAGGAGGGGAGGCAGGCTAGGATCGGGGTCCCTGAAAGCTGCTCACACACCCCTCCGCCCCTCCCCTGTTGATTGGGTGGGTTCTTGTTCTCCCGGCGCGGGCGCCGAAGCAGATGCAGTACCAGGAGTTGGTGGGGATGTGGGGCTCGAAGTCGTAATGCACGTAGGGCTCCTCGCCTCGCTGAAGCTGGCGCACGTGCGAGGCGTACTGCTGGCCCGGGTCGTACAGCTTGCTGCTCTCACACAGCATCTGGAAGTGCACGGGCAGCGGCGCCGTCTGCATCTGCATCATCTGGTAGTAGGAGATGGTCACCTGCAGGCACGCGCACAGTAACCACGGGCTCAGGAGGCGGGGCCTCTGGAAACCCCGCCCACTTGCGATGACCACACCCACTCATCACAACCACGCCCATTACAGCAAGCCGATGCCACGCGCACCCGCTGGTGCCACGCCCACCCGCTGATGCCACGCCCACCACAGCAAGCTGATGCCACGCCCACCTGCTGGCACCCTGCCCACTAGCAGACAGCGCTGGTGCAATGCTCCCTCCTGCCCACACTGCCCTCTCTCCCTCATCCCCTGAGCACCCCCCTCCCCCCCAGCACATGCACCGATTTGATGGTCTGGTCACTCTGCCGGATGACCTCCTGGATCTGCCGCAGCACCGTCACCTTGGTGTCCTCCAGTTCCTGCTTCTGTGTCTTTGCATCAGCTACGCAGGTGCGGTAGGTGGCCATGGCTTCCTCTGCCTGGGGTGGGGGACGTGGCGGTGGGGTCCAGGGAGGTCTCAGCCCCGGGCCATGCGCTGACCCAGGTTTAGCCCTCATGAGGAAGTCCCGAGGGGCAGAAAAGCAGAGAGAAGGTATCTGGGGCTTGTTTTTTTGTTTTTTTTCCATTTTTGGGTCATTCTTGGCGATGCTCAGGGGTTATTCCTGGCTCTGCACTCAGGAATTACTCCTGGCGGTGCTTGGGGGACGATATGGGATGCTGGGAGTCGAACCCAGCCACGTGCAAGGCAAACGCTCTACCCACTGTGCTATCGCTCCAGCTCCTCCGAGGTTTGTTTTTGCACCAAGCTACAACTGGGTGACACTATGACCAGGGGTGGAACCCAGGGCAGCCCACAGCCAGGCAGGTGCTGTGACGCTGAGCCCCACGGCCTGGCCTCACCTTGTTCTTGGCCTCCTCCTCCAGGCGCCGCCGCTTGTCCAGGGCCTTCGAGACGGTGCCGCCGGCCCCGGGCCCAGAGCCAGCCTGTTCCTCCTCCGCCTTGGCCACCAAGGAGCGAGCCTTGTCATGGTCCTCGCAGCGCTGCATGTAGCCCTGTTTGGCCTTGCGCAGATTCGACTCTGCCTCTTGCTGCAGGAGGGAGGCAGGTGGCTTGGGGCATCCTCCCTCCCCCCACTATGAGTCACCCCATTGTGGTCCCAGAGCCAAGTGCAGAAGACTAAGGGGCGACATCTACAGTAATCCCTCCCCATCTTGCTGGTGTGCATGTGCGTGCATGTGACCAGCCCATGAAGTCGGGGTAGTCTGAACCCTGACGTAACCGCCAGTTTCATTATCCGCTGACGGGAGTGGTGGGGACGCAAGTCGCGGTCTCTCTTTCTCTCTCACTTCCCTTGTTCTACATGCAAGAACAGAGGCGGCCCGGGCAGGAAGTCGAGCGTCTCAGAGCCCTCTGGGGTGGCAGGAAGAGCCAGTGAGCTTCCGGCAACCACACCCCGCAAGCCACACCGAGGTAAACAAAGACGACAACCACGATGTGCATTCCCAAGCTGAGAAAGAGGAGGCCCAGAAGGCCCTTCCATTGCACCCCCAACCCCAGAGCCCAAAAACAAGAAGTCTGCTGAGAATCGGTGTTCTGGGGGCTGGCGAGACAACGACAGTCAGTGCTTGTGTCATCGGCGGTGAACCCGAGTTTGATCCCTAGAACTGCATATATTCTGGATGTGCCCCCCCAAAAAAGGGAAGAAACCACTGTCCAATCCCAAGTGAGGAAAAGAACCACCCACCCCATTATTTGTCTTTTTTTTTTTTTTGCTTTTTGGTTCACGCCCGGCCGTGCCCAGGAGTTACTCCTAGCTTTGCACTCAGGAATTATTCCTGGCGGTGCTCAGTCAGGGGACTATATGGGATGCTGGGAATCGAACCAGGATCAGCCGCATGCAAGGCAAACGCTCAACCCGCTGTGCTATTGCTCCAGCCCCTATCTGTCTTTTCTTGGGGGGGAGTCACATCTGGTGGTGCTCAGGGTTTATTCCAAGCTGTGCTCAGGGATCACTCCTGGCGGAGCTCAGGGGAGTGATCTGAGGTGCCGGGGATGGAATGATGGTTGGCTACGCACAAGGCAAATGCCTTCCCTGCTGTACCATCTCATCGTCTTCCCAGCATTCACTTTTGGGGAACAGCTCTAAGATAAATGCTGGGTCACAGAGCGGAGGGACGATGACAAGCTAGCTTGTCCCGGCCTGGTGTTTGCAAGAGGGAAGCCAAAAACAAAAGTGCCTCTGAGGGCCAGGGAGGTGGCTCAATGGGCAGAGCACAAGCATGTGGGAGGCCCGAGTTGAGCCTCAGCATCATATGGTTCCCGGGGCACTGCCAGGAATTACCCTGAGCACAGGACCAAGAGCACCACCCAGTGTGGCCCCAAAACTTTTTTGTTTTTGGTTCACACCTGCCAATCCTTAGGGTTTACCCAACTGCAATCAGGGGTCACTCCTGGAAGTGCTTGGGGACACTATGGGATGTCAGGGATTGAACCCGGGTCAGCCATGTGCAAGGCAAGTGCTCTTCCTGCTATACAATCTCTCCATCTCACCCAAACTTTTTTTGGGGGGATTATGATTTTTTTTTGTCTTTTTTGGTCACACCAGGCAATGCTCGGGGGTTACTTCTGGCTCTATATACAGGAATTACTCCTGGTGGTGCTCGGGGTACCATACGGGATACCAGGAATTGAACCTGGGTCTGCTGAATCAAGGCAAATGCCCTCCCCGCTGTACTACCGCTCTAGGACCACCCCCCCCAAATTTAAGGGACTTGAAAGATAACACGAAACTTGCCTTGCACCTAGCTGATCCAGGTTCAATCCCTGTCACCCCATGGGGTCCCCAAGCACCTGCAGGAGTGACCCATGAGCACTTCCAGATGTGGCCCCCCACCTCCAAAATTGTCACTGTCACTTTCCTCCTGTTGTTCATTGATTTGCTCAAGCGGGCCCAGTAACATTTCCATTTTTGAGACTCGTTACTGTGTTTGGCATGTTGAATATGTCACGGGTAGCTTCACAGGCTTTGCCATGCATGTGAGATACTCTCAGTAGCTTTCCAGGCTCTCCGAGAGGGGTGGAGGAATCAAACCTGGGTTGGTCGGGTCGGCCACATGCAAGGCAAATGCCCTACTGCTGTGCTATCGCTCCAGCCTCCTGCCCCAACCAAAACAACAAATTGCTATTTGGAGGCCAGAGAGATCTCTGCACATAGGAGTTCTGGGTTTGAGTCCTGTACCTGCATGCTCCCTGAGCACGGCCCGAAGCAAAACACCCCACCCCCAGCACGGAGCCAAGAGTGACAACTCCCAAGCTCTACTGAGTGTAGCCCCAAAGCGAACATCAAAAGGAGCTCGGACCACCTGCTTTCCAAGCAGGAGGCCCGGAGTTGCATCCCTGGGCACACCCACCTGTGTCCGGCACAATCTCTGCGCTATTTTTGTTTGGTTTTTGTCCCACACCCATCGTACTCAGGGTTGACTCAGGGCTATGCGCTCGGGGATCACTCCTGGCAGTGCTTGGGGGGGGGGGGGGGACCCTCAGCGGTGCCGGGGACTGAATCTGGGTCCGTGGCGTGCAAGGCCAGCATCCTCCCCGGGGTGCTATCTTGCCAGCCCTGATCTGTTTCCTGCGACCCACTAGGGACTGCGACAGCTGCAGCAAAAGGAGAAAAGAGAGAGAACAACCAAGCAGAGAGAGGAGGACGGAGGAGGCCCGCGTAGGGGAGCACAAGGATCTGCCTATTCTGGGCCCCGGGGTGAAGTGGATCTGGGGGGAACCCCACTAATATTATCTCCAGAGCAGGGGTGAAGTTCCCAGGGCTGTGCCGACCCCCCAGAAGGTGGGCAGGAAGCAGCAGAAAAAGGCATGTTCGGTCCACCCAGGGCTGACACCATCCCACCCCACGCCCCAGCCCTGCTCCTGAACACAGGTGGACCCCTCCTCTTTTTTTCTTTTGCTTTCTTTCTTTTTTTTTTTGCGTCACACCCAGTGATGCACAGGGGTTACTCCTGGCTCACGCACTCAGGAATTACTCCTGGCAGTGCTCGGGGGACCCTATGGGATGCTGGGAATCGAACCCGGGTCCACCGCGTGCAAAGCAAGCACCCCACCCACTGTGCTATCGCTCCAGCCCCTCCCCCCTTTTTTCTTAAGCCACACTTGGCAGTGCTCAGGGTTTCCTCCCGGCTCTGTGCTCAGGGCTCATCCCTGGTGGGGCTCGAGGGATCCTATGGGGTGCCAGGGATCGAAACCAGATCTGCCAAGTGCAACACACACTTCCTCCCCGCTGTGCTGTCAACCTGAGATCACAGGGCCCTTCTTGTCCCAGTGGAGCCAATCAGGAGCTCCAGGGAGTGGTTCTCTTTTTTTTTTTGGTTTTTGGGTCACACCCGGTGATGCTCGGGGGTTACTCCTGGCTCTGCACTCAGGAATCACCCCTGGCGGTGCTCGGGGGACCCTATGGGATGCTGGGAATTGAACCGGGGTCGGCCGCGTGCAAGGCAGACGCCCTACCCGCTGTGCTATCGCTCCAGCCCTCAGGGTTTGGTTCTTGCAGACGGATGTCCCCAGCAATCACAGGAGAGGGGCGCAGGGGATTATGGGGTCCTGGGTGGGGTCCCGGGTGGGGTCCAGTCCCCACGCCCACATACCAGCTTCCTCTGGGCACGGTGCCACATCTCCTTAATCTCCTTTCTGCGCTTTTCATGTTCCAGCCTCCGCAGGTTCAAGGGCTGCAGGAGAAGGGCCGTGAGAGAGGAGATCCCATCTCCCCACGCGCCCCCCACCTCCACACCTCCACTTCGATAGGTGGGGGTCGGCTTCGAGCTCCCCCTGCGCCCTGCTCCCCAGCCACACCTACCTGGATAAAAGTCTGCGTTTGTAGCGTGCTCACCGCCTGCACGAGGCCGTGGCCAAACTCCAGGTCCTGCTCCAGGGCCAGCGAGTAGATGGACAGAAGTGGCATGTGGGGCTGGGGAGGGGCGGAGTCGGGGGTCACAGGAGGTCACGGAAGGCGCCAGGTGTGGGGGTCCCGAGTCCCCGGGAACCAGCCCCCAGCTACGGCAGCCCCCAGGCCCCACCTCCTGCGTGATGCCCTGTCGGCAGTTTTGAACGATCTTCTGCAGGCCTTTGGCGAACTCCATCTCTGCAGAGGGGGCAGTGGGGGTGGGTGTGAGTGCAGGCACGCGGGGGGCAGGGGGCTGAGACGCCCCCACAGCCCCGCCCTGCGCGGACCGGCGCTCACCCAGCACGGTGCGCTTTTCCAGGTAGCCGATGAGATCCTTCATGTACTTGGCCATGTTCTTGGAGTACTGCAGCGCCGCCTCCACGCCGCCCTCACAGCGCTGCAGCAGCATGTCCACCTCTTCCGGGGGCGGGCAGCCTGGGGGCGGGGCCTGGTCAGCACCGCCCACCGCCACGCCCATCGCCACGCCCATCCATCAGATGGGGGGGGGCCGCTTACCTGGTTCCCAGTCCTCCGTGCCCGCTGGGGTGCTGCTGTCGCCCCCCTGTCTGCACAGGTTCTCCATGGACTGAATGGGAGGGGACAGGGGTGCTGAGGGACACCCCAGTCCCGGGTCCGGAAATGGGGGAGGGGCTGGGGGAGAGGGAGGCAGGGCCGGGCTCGGCAGAAGTAGCGGTGACAGGCAAGCTTCAGGCCCCAAGTTGGACCCCTGGCTGTGCCCACATGTCTCACTCACACACACACACACACACACACACACACCCCAACTCTGGAAACACACACATACACCCCAACCCTGGAAACACACACACACCCCAACCTTGGAAACACACACACACACACACCCTTCAATTTCAGAAACACACACATGCACACACACACCCCAACCCCAGAAATACACACACACGTGCGTACACACCCACCCCAACCTTGGAAATACACACACACACACACACACACACAAAACCCTGGAAACACACACACACGCACACACACATACACATACCCCCCAACCCTGGAAACACACACGCGCACACACACACCCCAACTCTGGAAACACACACATACACCCCAACCCTGGACACACACACACGCACACACACACCTCAACCTCGGGAATACACACACACACGTGCACACAGACACACACACCAACCCTGGAAACACACACACACCTCAACCTCGGAAACACACACACACGCACACACACACCCCAACCCCAGAAATACACACACACATGCGCGTACACACACACATACACACACCCAACCCTGGAAACACACACACACACATACACACATACACCCCCAACCCTGGAAACACACATACACGCACACACACATACACCCCAACCCTGAAAACACACACACGCACATGCACACACACACCCCAACCCCGGGAATACACACACACACGTGCACACAGACACACACCAACCCTGGAAACACACACACACACACCCCAACCCTGGAAATACACACCCACACCGCAACCTCAGAAACACACACCCTAACCCCAGAAACACACACACAAGCCTGAGACATCCCCGGCCCCGGCATCGCCAGTGAAGCGTGTAGGATGGAACCCACGTTACAGCAAAAGTGATTCAGCAGGAGAGAGTAAGGAGGGCAAGGGGGAAGAAGCGGGGTCACGGCACGGGCTGGTCCTTGCTCACCTGGCTCGGGTCCCCAGGAGGGACCGACAGGAGGGTGCTAACGTCCACTTCACCCAAGATGAACTCGGACACGCTGGGGGAGACCAAGGACGTGGGGGCTTCAGAGACCTGTGGGCGTACCCCCTCCCTACACTGCCCCGCAGACCCCCAGGCTCACGTGCCGCTGAAGGTGACGGCAACGGCCTCCAGAGCCTTCTCGAACTCCTGCTTGTCCGATTCATTGTTGCACTCGTAATGGAAAGCTGGGGGGGCAGAGGCAGAAGTGGGTGGGTGGGGGGCCATGCCCCTGCCACTTCGCGTGTGTCAAACTCCTATGCACCCTCCTGAACCCACTTCTTAAATGCCCCCCCCTTCAGGAAGCCCTCCCCAACTGACCTTTGGTCTTGGCAATGAGATTGCAGGCAGCTGTAAGGGTCTCCACGGTGTTCAGCAGCGGGTTCTTGACTACCACCTGGCGTAACACCCGCAGAGCCTCACCCAGGCACTCATGGGCCAGCGGCCGGCGGGCCTCCAGGAGTTCTGCCCGGAAGAGGACGTATGAATGAGCCCAACCTCAGGCAAGACCCACTTGGCCCTCCTCAGAGCTCTAGTCTCTAGGTGGGGAAACTGAGGCAGAGGAGGCTAAGGGAGTTGGGGGAAGGGGAGCAGCCACTGTCTCTCAATGGGGCTGGGTCTCTTCCTTCCTGCTCAGCAAGCAAACGCAAGCTTGGGCTTAAAGTGGCAGGCCCGGTGTCTCCTCCTCCATGCAGCACTTCAGGTGCTTTCCTGCCCAGGGCTGCTCTAGCCTGAGGACAGTGGGGAGCTACAGAAGCTTCTAGAGTAGTGGAAAGAGCAGATCTGGATCTCGGATGCTGACTTTATTCCAGTGATTGAACATGGGGCCCTGTGCACGCCAGGCACAAGCTCAAGCCCTTTGAGCCATCTCCCTGGCCCTCACGGTTACTTTGATTGATTGGTTTGGTAGTACCTGGGGGAGCGGATGGGGTACCAGGGATCGAACCTGGGTCCGTCAAAGGCAAGGCAAGTGCCCTCCCTACCCACTGCACATAGCTCTGGCCCCTTTATAAAAAAATTTTTGTTTGGGGGCCACACCTGGTGGTGCTCTGGGGTTACTCCTGAGTCTGCACTCAGGAATCACTGGTGGTGCTAGGGAGTCTATGTGGGATGCCAGGAATCGAACCTGGGTTGGCCACGTGCTAGGAAAACACCTTACCTGCTATACTACTTCTTAGCCCCAATTTTAAAGTGTTTCTAACAAAGGTCTTTGCAAATGGAACGTTAGCGCCATGGGGATCCTGGGGGACATAACTCAGCCATCCAGCACTGGCTTTTATAAGTGTGAGAACAGGATTCCAATTCCATGCACACCACACACACAGACACAGACACACACACACACACACTGAGATGAAGAGACAGCTCAAAGCACTAAGCATCAGCGGGTAGGGCATTTGCCTTGCACGCGGCCGACCCAGGTTCGATTCCCAACATCCCATATGGTCCCCCGGGCACCGCCAGGAGTCATTGCTGAGTGCAGAGCCAGGAGGAACCCCTGAGCATCGCCGGGTGTGACCCCCCAAAAAAAAAGCACTAAGTATGCCCTTCGCAAGCTAGATTCTGGGTTTCCGATACCTGAAGCACAACTAAGAATTAGCCCTAGGGCCCAGAATACTCCCTAGCATACAGCAAGGTGCAGCCCAACAGCACCCCCCCAATAAAAGATACCCAGGGGCTGGAGCGATAGCACAGCGGGTAGGGCGTTTGCCTTGCACGCAGCCAACATGACCGACTCAGGTTCGATTCCCAGCATCCCATATGGTCCCCGAGCACCGCTAGAAGTCATTCCTGAGTGCATGAGCCAGGAGTAACCCCTGAGCATCGCCGGGTGTGACCCAAAAAGCAAAAAAAAAAAAAAAAACCACTAATAAAAGATACCCAGCACCCTAAATTGGTAGGGCTAAGAACCAGAGCCAGGGCTGGAGAGATAGCACAGCGGGGAGGGCGTTTGCCTTGCACGCGGCTGACCCGGGTTCGATTCCCAGCATCCCTTATAGTCCCCTGAGCACCACCAGGGTTCCTGATTCCTGAGTGCAGAGCCAGGAGTAACCCCTGTGCATTGCCAGGTGTGACCCCAAAAGAAAAAAAAAAAGAACCAGAGCCACCCAGACCCAGGCATGCCTTGCGGGGGTTCTGTACCTGGTGCAGAAGCTAACTGTGGCCCAACACTGCTGGGGAGGACCCTTCAAGGGTTGTCAGGTGAGGAGTCCCCCGCCTGGACGCCCCTGGCAGCCGCGGGCTTCCCAGATTCCCGGGGAGGCGGGAAGAGCCGCGCAGCCGCCGGGGCGGGGCCTGGGCTGGCCACGCCCCCTCCCCGGGCATTCCAGCGCGCACGGTGGTCCTCACGTCCCCTCGCCCCGCGCCGGCGATTTCACCCCTCACCCCCCCAGCTGGAAGGCTGGACACCGGCAGGACCCCCGCCGCCGAGACCTGCTCAGCTTGCGTCCCCAGCGGGCCGGTAAGGGCCGTGTCCTCCCAGCCGGGGTGGGGGGACCCCCGCGCACCCCGTTTCCTCCTCCTCCTCCTCTCACCTGGGCGCCCCGCGCCGCAGCGCAGCGGGACGGGGTCCAGGGTGCGGTGCACCACCCCGCAGATGCACATGGTGGCGGGAAGGCCCGGGCCCCGAAGCGACCCGACTGACTTGCCTGGTCTGGGGGTCTCGGCTAGTGGCCAAACCGGCTCCGTCCGGTCTGCAGGCCCCGCCCCCTCCCCGCCCGCTGGGGTGACGCGATCCACCCCCTGACTCTGGACCTCGGAGTCTGTGACCCGGGGCTCTGACGGAACGCCCGGGCTGGTGCAGAGCGGCTCTTCGGGGAAACTGAGACCCAAGGCTGGAGCACCAGGCGCAGAGCGGCGGGGTACACCTCACCCCTACTTCCCCCCACTCTCAAGTGAGAGGGGCTCCCCAGGTGTGCTGTGGACCTCCCATATCTAGGGGTTGTGTGAGCTGAACCACTTTTCCTGGCTTTTACATTTTTTTTCCCTCCCGGTTTTGGGGACACACCCAGCAGCGATGCTCAGGGGTTATTCCTGGCTCTGTACTTAGGAATTACTCGTGGAGGTGCCCGGGGGGACCTTATGGGGGATGCTGGGAACTGAACCAGTGTTGGCTGCATGCAAGACAAGCATCTCCCTCCAGCGTCAGGGCTTCTTTTTCTTTTTTCCTTTTTTTGCTTTTTAGTTCACACGCAGCGATGCTCAGGGATCACTTCCGGCAATGCTTGGGGTTGGGGGGGGGACCATCTGGGATGTTGGGGACATCAGCAGGGTCGTCAGCCTTCAAGGCAAGCCCTGCCTACCTGCTGTACTATCCCTCTCGCCCCTTCTGGGTCTTCTATGGTTGTTTTAAGATTTTTGGTTCACACCCAGCGGAGTTACTCCTGACCTTGCACTCAGGGATCACTCCCAGCAGGCTCGGGGGACCCTCTGGGGTGCTGGGGATCGAACCCGAGTCGAAAGTGTGCAAGGCAAGTGCCCTCCCTGCTATGCTATCGCTCTAGCCCCAGAATCACTTTCCTGAGAGGACGCTTGAGGCTTAGAGGGGGAGGTGACCCCACTGAGAACTGGCCCCAGCATCCCTGAGTCACCACCAACCCCCCACCCCTCTGGCCCCAAAGCCTACAGGGACCCACAGGGCTCCGCCCTGCTCAAGGCTGACCTCCAAGGAAGCTCGGAGGATCAGATCGGAAGGGAACAGAGATTAGAGTTTCCCCAGGAAACACCAGGCCCCCGCCCCAGGGACCAGATAACCCCCGGGGCTCCCACCTCCAACCACAGGCTCCCCATTGGCGCCCCGAAGGCGCAGAGGCGGCCAGACAGGCTTGAAGGGGCTCTGTATCCCGCCTACAGGAGCCGGGTCTGGCCACCACCCTGGGCCTGGACGTGGGTTTGTTCACGTGTAAAACAGGTGTTGGGGGGGAGGGAAGGGGATGGATAGCACCACTTGGCACCAGCCTGGCACTGGGTTTTGCCAGAGGCGCGAGCACAGGCGGCCTCCGAGGTGCTGCATCTGTGGGCCGAGGTGCCCGCCCCGCTGCCAAGGACAAACAGGAAGCAGATGAAAATAACTCAGCAGGAAGCTGGGCTGTCAGGCCCTGGGCAGGGAAATAGGAACCACCCGGCTGAAGACTGTCCCCTCCCACCCAGTGTGCCCCCCCCTCCCCTCAGACCCCACTCCCTGCCTCATCTGCCTGCAAGGCATTCCCGCCCTGCCCTCCCACCTCTCAAGGCCCCCCCCCATTGCCCTGAGAATAACACCAAAGGGCCTGTCCTCTGTTCCACACATACCCCTACACTCCAGCAACGCCCCAAAACACCAGCCTTCTGCCCCACGCATCTTGTTCTTCCTTGTGTTTCTGAACCCATTCACACCACATTCCTTTGGTCCCCTAAGTCTGTGCCCGCCGGAGACCACCAAACTCCTACACATCCCTCAAAACCCAGCTGCCACAGCTGGGTTTTTTTTTTGTTTGGTCTTTTGGGGTCACGCCCGGTGATGCTCAGTTGTTACTCCTGGCTCTGCACTCAGGAATTACTCCTGGCGGTGCTCAGGGGACTATACCGGATGCTGGGAATCGAACCTGGGTTGGCTATGTGCAAGGCAAACACCTTACCCGCTCTATTATCACTCCAGCCCCTGTCATGGCTTCTTAGGATTTTTTTTTTAATTTTAGGATGTTTTTGCTTGGGGTGGGGCACACTCAGCAGTGTTGGGGGCCGGGGGGGACACTGGGGTGGCGGGGATAGACCCGGGGTCGACTGCATGCAAGGCAAGTGCCCTACCTGCTGTACTGTCTCTCCAGCTTCTGTCCTGCATGGCTGCTCCCACCCACCCACCCACCCCCTGGGCCTCCTCCCTTGGGGCCTGGGGTATCCGAGCCTCACCCAGCCTCTGCCCCAAGCCTCACCATCGCGCAGAACACACTCCTTAAGCTTGTCCAGGCCCTCGGCGAAGCGAGCCACATCGGCCAGCAGGTGGGAGACATCCTCTGTGGCGTCCGGGCCGGGGCCCTCGGCCAGGGACTCGGACGGGCTGGCAGACGAGATGGGGCTGCGGTAGCCCCGGGCCAGCGCCCAGGAAGTGGCACCAGACAGGGGGAAGCCGGCCGCGCTGGCATGGCGGCTCAGGCTCGTGGGCCGCTTGAGGGTGCCCGTGGCCTTGGCAGCGGAGACGGTGCCTGGAGCATCTAGACCAGGTCCCAGGGACGAAGCATCGGACCCTTCCTTCCGAGGCAGCTCCTGGGGGGGGGCGGGGGGCGGGAGAGGGGTGGGGAGCTGATACAGCAGGTGCAGCCAGCGGCCTTGCCTCAGTTTCCCCCAAAGTGAAAGAGGATCCGAGAGGGTCTTTGGCTCTGGATGGCGGTGAAGGTCAAGGGTCAAAGGTCGCGGGGCTGAGATTTGGGGCCGCCCCTCCCCTCCCTCTTACTCAACAGCCTCTTTCCTTCCCCCCCCTCAGCAGCCCCACCAAATTTTCACAAACAACGGTCTGCCTAAACCACAGGCCTGGGGGTGTGGCCTGCGGGCTGCAGGGAGGAGGGGGTACCGACTTCCTGGTGGGGGGATGGAAGGAACCAACAGGGTCACTGGCCCAGGTAGACCCCTCAGGCTGTTTTAGAAAGACAGTCTGGGGCTGGAGCGATTGCACAGCAGCGGGGAGGGCGTTTGCCTTGCACACGGCCGACCCGGGGTTCGATTCCCAGCAACCCATGTGGTCCCGCCAGGAGTAACTCCTGAGTGCAGAGCCCTGTGCATCGCCGGGCGTGACCCAAAAAAAAGCAAAAAAAAAAAAAAGAAGAAAAAGAAAAAAGACAGCCTACCCAAAGGGTTTCCTAAATGCCCCCAGATTTGCAGACACCCCCACGCCTGTGGACCCCCGCACCGTTGACCCTCAGGAGAGGGGCCAGGGCCCAGAGCTTGGCACGAGGGATCCCGTTAGACGTCCCGGGTCCCAGCTGCGCCCCTGCAGCCTATTAAGCTCACGAGGGACATGGCGCCCACCTGCTAGGGGCGCCCGTTCCTGCGCCCCTCGAACGCAGACCCCCCCTCCCGGGGCCCCCCACCCCTGGGCGCTGCGCCGGGCTCCTCACCACCCATTCTCGGGGAGGGGTGGGGATGCCCCTGGCCCATCGCGGGGTGGGGTGGGGGAAGGGAAGGGAAGTGGACCGCACCGACGCTCCGAGCGACCCGCCCTGAGGATTCCTACCAGGAGCACGACGCTGGGGTCCCCGCCTGGCAGAGCGGACCGGTAGGGGCTGTAGCTGGCGCGCGCCCCCCGCCGCTGCTGCCGCCGCCGCCCCAGCATGGCGCTGTCGGTCCCCGGGCACAGGGCGCGCCCCCGTCGACCCCGGGCCTCCTCCGCCTGCTGGGCCGCGGGGAGACGCGCACTCACCCCGGCGAGCTGCGGGCTGGGGCTTCCCGCCCGGTTCTTTTTCGAGATGGAAGGGGTTTTTATGAGCTCCCGCTTCTTCCTGGAGAACATGGTGCGGCCCGGGGCCCTGGGCAGGCCCGACGGGGCGGGCAGCCCGGGGATGGGGGGCCGGGGGGGAGGGCGCTCTCAGCCCCGCGGCTCTAGGCGCTGGCCCCCGGGGGACCACATAGCCGCCGCGACCCCCCTCTCCAGCTGTCAGGCTCCACGTGCCGGGGCCCGGCCGTCCAGGGCGCTTCTCCGCCCCCAGCCCCAGGGAAAACAAGGCCTGGGGTGGGGGAGGCGGCCAGGCCGACCTGGCCTCAGCCTGCCTCTCCGCGGAGTGGGCTTAATTCAGCCAGGGGTCCCGGGCCCCGCCTCCCCGGCGCCCCGCCTCCCGCTTCCGCTTTCGGGAGCCCCGAGCGCGCGCGCGCCAGTTAGACGGGGCGTCCCCGCCTGGCACGGGGCCGCGCGCACGGGGCGCTCTCGGGGTGCGCCCGCCGCTCCGGGGGATGGAGGGGCACACCCAGCCCGCACGCGCGCGCCCCGCGTGCACCCCGCGACCCGCAGGGACGCGGGGCCCGGGACGACACGTGCTCGGACGCCACGAAGCGCTGCGGAAGCCCACGCGCCCCACCCCGAACCCCGGACGCGGCCCTCCCGCCCGAGGGCACCCCGGCCGAGACCTCAGGGCCTTGGCCCGGCGTCGCGGGGCTCCCCACCCCCACCCTGCATTCCAGAGACGCCCGTGCCGCCCCGCTAGACCCCCCGACCGCCACCGGATGGCGGCTCTGGATGGTGGAGCTGATAACCGCCCCGCGCGCGCGCCGCCGCCGCGGGGTCCCCGGGTATCAGCTGCGCGCAGACCCCGCCTTCTCCTCCCCCCTAGACGCCCGCTTGCTTCTTCTCTTGCCTCGTCCGCCCCCAGCACTTCCCCATGCCGGTGCTGGAACGCACCTACCCTCAATTCCCAACACCAGCCCCACCCCAGCACCCCGCTTTCCTCAACTGACCTCCATCGGGAGCGTCGTGGGATGTCCATGGCAGAGCGTGCCCAGGCTGCAGGCCCCGGTGCCAACGCCGGTTCTCCAGGCCCGGGACCACCCGCACACCCAGCCCACCAGCCCCTTAAGGAACCCTCGCCGGCCGCTCATTGCCCCCTGGGGAACAGAGGGAAGGGACTGCGGCTGGCCGGGCTGGCTGGCTGGCTGGAGGGTGGCCTTCTTCACCTGGTCTGGAGGCCGGAGCTGGGGGCCACCTGTGCTGGGGCGCCTCGGAGCGGCCCCGGACATTCCGGAGCCCTGACCTCATGCCCACTTCACGCTCATGGAGCACAGGCCCCGCCCGCCCTTCGGCGCCAGACCCACGTGGGCACTCAGGGGCAGCCACTGGAGCACCCACGCAGCCCACTCCAGGGGCCTTCACACCTCGGGGAGATCCAGGTCTCTATGCCCTACAACTTTGGGGTGTCCACACCCTTTGCCCCACCCCCCATCCTGGGCACACTCAGGGCAAGATGATACTCAGGGCCTGGAGCAGGTGGGGTGCTTGCTTTGCACGCGGCTGATCCCGGTTCGAATCCTAGCACTGGATCCCCTGAATTCTGCCAGTGGACATCCCGGAGCACCAAGCCACAGGTTAAGCCCTGAGCACCACTGGGTGTGCCCCCACCCCCTAAAAAAAATCTATATGCAAATTCTTGCATATGTGGCACAGCTGGTTAACACGGGCACACGGTTTTCCAGACTTTATTTCCTGAGACACCCCCACCCCAGCGCTAGGCCAGCCCCCAGCCCTGGGAGAAAGGGTTTCAAAGCACCGTCTCCACCTCTGAGCGGTCATCCAGGAACTGGGTGATGAATTTGGGGCGCTGGGGACCTGGGGCCTCGTCCTCCCCCGCTTCTCCCTCCTGGTCATCCTCTTTCCCCTGATCTTCAGAGAAATACAGGAAGACCTAGAGGGGGGTCCCGCCGCGAGGAGAACAGAGAAAGAGAGAGAGAGAGAGGTCAGCGTGCGGGTCCCCAGCATCGCCACGCGCCTCGGTCCCCTACCCCTCCCCGGCCTCCCCCTGCAGCCGCGGCCACCTCCTCCAGGGTGGTCTGGCTCACGGAGAAGTCCTCCACGCCGCACTGGGCACCGCGGGCCGCCAGTTCGCCAAAGACGTGCGCCAGGGTGCAGCGCCCTCCCAGCGGCAGCTGGAAGCTCAGGCGGCCACCGTGGGCTTCGCGCAGCTGGGCCCCCGGGAAGGCCTCCGCCACGAAGGCCTGGGCTCCGTCCGACCGCGCCGCGGGGACCCGCAGCGTCAGCGTGTAGCCGGATCCGAACCTGGGGGTGAGCAAGCGCGGGGCTCGGGGGCGCGGCCCTCTCCGGCTGTGTGGGGGGGGGCGTGCCTGCAGGGAACCTGCGCCCAGGGAGGGAGCCCCGTCCCTAACACCATATCCCCGCCCACTCCCCCCGCCCGCACTCCGGGGTCTCTAAACCCGCTTCGGGGTCTCTAGCCCCGCCCCCAGTTCAAATCCCAGGCCTGTCCACCGGCCACGCGTCTTCTCTAGTTAGCGCCAACGGGCTGGAGCGCATCCCGCCGGCTTTTCCTACCCGCTCCTGCACTGGACCATGCAGGAAGAGTCCCCAGCTCACCTGTTCTTATTTTATTTTATTTATTTATTTATTTTTGCTTTTGGGGCCACACCCAGCGATGCTCAGGGGTTCCTCCTGGCTCTGCGCTCAGGAATCACTCCTGGCTGGCATTGCTTGGGGGACCATATGGGATGCCGGGGATCGAACCCGGGTCAGCCACGTGCAAGCGATACGCCCCACCCGCTGTGCTATAGCTCCGGCCCCGCTCACCTGTTTTTAAGGTGCTGCACGCTACCCAGGCAGCGGAACCTCCCGTTCACCATGATGGCCAGGCGCGTGCAAAGGGCCTCACACTCCTCCATGCTGTTGGGGAACCAAGCGACCCCGTGAGCGCTCCCCAGTTCCTGTATCCACCATCCCTGGGCCAGGACGCTGCGCAGGTCTCCAGGTCCGGCCCACCCTCTGCTCCTGGGGTCCTCGATCTCCGCTCTGGCCGCCTTCCCACTGGGGTCAGCACCGCACACCCCATGGGTCCGCTCTGCTCCACCTGGACGTGGACGAAGGGACCGTGCGGGGCATCGGGTGCAGGGTGGCGGGGAGCGAGTGCCCTACCTGTGCGAGGTGAGCACCACGGAGCGGCCCTCTCGGACCACCGACAGAAGGCTGTTCCAGAGGAAACGCCGTGCACCTGGGTCCATGCCGGTGGTCGGCTCATCCTGGGAGGGGTGCAGCGGTCAAGCCCAGGCTCCGCCCCCTTTTTTTTTTTTTTTTCTTTTCGGGTCACACCTGGCGATGCTCAGGTGTTACTCCTGGCTTTGCACTCAGGAAATCACTCCTGGCGGCGCTCAGGGGACCATGTGGGATGCTGGGAATCGAACTCGGGCCCTCCACGTGCAAGGCAAACGCCCTACCTGCTGTGCTATCACTTCAGCCCCTCCGCCCCTTCTTAGTCCCACCCATGACAGCGAGGCCCCACCCTTCCCAAGCACCACCCCTACCAGAATAGGCCCCGCCCTCCCTCTTGCCACCACCCCTGCCAGCACAGGCCACGCCCCTCCTCACTTAGCCCCACCCCAACCAGCACAGGCCACGCCCTCCACCCTTGCCACAGGCCCCGCCCCTACATCTTAGACTTGGTGTTGCCAGCAAGGCCACACCCTCCCTCTTGGCCCCACCCCTGCCACCATGGGCCCGCCCCTCCCTCTTAGCCCCACCCATGTCGGTACAGGCCCCGCCCCTATCCCCACCCACCAGTATCAGCCCCGCCCCCTTAAGCCCCACTCTGCCAGCACAGGTCCATCCAGCCCCTTCCTCTTGGGCCCATCTTCCCCAGCAAGATCACGTCCCCCGCAACCCCCCACTCGCCAGCACAGGCCCTGTCCCCGCACCAGGAAGATCACGGCAGGCTCTCCCACCAGCGCCACCGCTGTGGCCAGCTTCCGCTTGTTGCCCCCACTGTAGGTGCCTGCGGGCCGGTCTGCATACTGCTGGAGACCCAGGCGCACCAGTCCGCGGCTTGCTGTCTGCAGGGCGAGCCAGGGAGAGCCACAGTTACGGGGTGGGGGTGGGGGGCAGGATTGTAGGGGGGCAGAGAAGGGGCAGATGGGATGAGAGGGGGAAAGGCCGGAGAGACACATCCCAAACACTGCTGGCGTGCCCACTTCGGCTTGCAAATATACTAAAACCGGGACGGAACACTGCTGGGTGTAGCGCTGGGGAAGCAAGCCAAGCCCCAAATGAGCAAGAACAGTGAGCCAGGGTGTGAGTGACAGGTTGGCCAGACTGAAACTCTGGGGCATCGGGCAGCGTGGGGGCGGAGTCAGCACCACGTGGGCGTGGCAACACGCAGGGGCGGGGCCCTCCTAATGGGCGTGGTTTCTTGAAAGGGGCGGGGCCTAAGCGGGGACCTTACAGACCCGCTGAAGGGCTGGCAGGGTCTGGGGTCCAGGGGAGGGGAGGAGCTGTGAGCAGGCTTAGGAGAATGGGCTGGGCAAGGATGAGACATGGGGGATCACCTGGGCCACCTGGGCCTCGGGGATACCACGCAGACGTGCAAACAGCTGCAGGTGCTCCCGCGCAGTGAGTTGCGGGAAGATGGCATCGAACTGCGGGCAGTAGCCCATGTGGAGGTGGGCAGCCGTGGGATCCTTGGCCACACTGGGGAGAGAGATGAGGGGCGGGGTCCCTGGTCATCCTGGGGACGGAATCAGGGCTCCCCAGCCCCGAGTGTCCCCCCACCCCCACCCCCCACACACAACCAGCTACTCAGGGACAGGCGCTGTCCATGCGGCAGTTCACGGGGCTCAGGGCCAGCGTGCCCCCACCAGGCTGGCACAGTGGGAAGCGGGGAGCATCCTCCCTGGCCCAGGGCCCTCTCACCTGTGACCTGCCAGCACAGCCTCACCCCTGCTGGGCAGCATGTCCCCCGTCACCATGCGGAATGTGGTGGTTTTGCCAGCTCCGTTTACACCCAGAAGTCCGAAACACTGGGTGGGTGGGAGGCACACAGACCGGGGCTCAGCAGTGCCACTATGTCCCCACTGACGGCTGCAGCAAGGGGTTCTGGCAGTAGATGCGGGGTGGGCAGGGGGTGGCCGGGTGTGGGAAGGCACAAAGTTGTTGCTTACGTGGGGCCGAGTGAGGGGACAGAAGAGAGAGCGACTGCATTGCACACGGCCAACCTGGGTTCAATCCCCAGCCCCCTGCGCCCCACCGCCAGGAGAGATCCCTGAGCACAGAGCCAGGAGGAAGCACTGAGCACCCCTGGGCGCAGCCCAGAAACCAAAAAACTAGAATTCTGCTATTAGCGCACAGGTGGGGTTCAACAGAGGCCAGGAAGGCCCAAGGGGGCCGACGTTCACTCCCCAGTTCCAGGCCCACCGCTCCGAACTCACCTCACCAGGGGGGATCCCCAGGCACAGACGGTTGACGGCTGGGGTTCTCTGCCCGCGGTATACCTGGAAGAGGGAGGGTCCTTGAGAAGCACGGTTGAGGCGTGGGGGAGGGAGCCCCACCTGGCACTCTGCACCCACCTTAGTCAGGTCTTTGAGCACCAACACATCCCCCTCAGCTGCCCCTTGGGTCACCCGCTGCCGCTCACGAGCCACGTCCTCGTCCTCCTTCCCCAGGGGCGGCAGCGGTCTGGGCTTGGGTCTGAGGACAGAACACGTGATTGGTTGGTTTTGTGGTTGTTGTTCATACCTGGCAGTTCTCAGGGCTGACTCCTGGCTATGTGCTCAGGGCTGACTCCTGGCTATGTGCTCAGGGCTGACTCCTGGCTATGTGCTCAGGGCTGACTCCTGGCTATGTGCTCAGGGCTGACTCCTGGCTATGTGCTCAGGGCTGACTCCTGGCTATGTGCTCAGGGCTGACTCCTGGCTATGTGCTCAGGGCTGACTCCTGGTGGGGGTCGGGGAACCCTACGGGAGACTGGGATTGAAATAGTGTCACAGAGGCTGGAGCGATAGCACAGCCGGTAGGGCATTTGCCTTGCACACGGCTGACCCCAGTTCGATTCCCAGCATCCTGTACAGTCCCACGAGCACGGCCAAGATTAATTTCTGAGCACATGAGCCAGGAGTAACCCCTGTGCATTGCCGGGTATGACTCAAAAAATATTAATAATAACAAACACTTTTTTAAAAATTGGGGCTGGAGAGAGAGCACAGCAGGTAGGGCGTTTGCCTTGAATGCAGCCGACCCGGGTTTGACTCTCAGCATCCCATATGGTCCCTCGAGCACTGCCAGGAGTAATTCCTGAGTGCAGAACCAAGAATAACCTCTGCATTGCCAGGCGTGACCCAAAAAACAATAATAATAATAATAATTGCACTGCACTGTCCTCCCATTGTTCATCGATTTGCTCGAGCGGGCCCACTAACGTCTCCAATTGGGGCTGGAGCGATAGCACAGCGGGTAGGGCATTTGCCTTGAACGCAGCTGACCCAGGTTCGATTCCCAGCATCCCGTATGGTTCCCCAAGCACTGCCAGGAGTAACTCCTGAGTGCAGAGCCAAGAGTAACCCCTGTGCATCACCAGGTGTGGCCCAAAAATTTAAAAAGAATTTTTTCTAAATGAAATTGTGTCAGGCGCGTGCCAGGCAAACATCCTCCCCACTGCCCAATCACACTGCTCCACTGTTTCCCCCCCACCCCGCCATACACACACACACACACACACACTCCCCACCATCCCCACTGACTGTGGCCAGAGGCAGTCCCGGTGTTGCAGTAGGAGCGTGACGAGGAGGAAGAGAGGCCCCTGCACCAACATGGCTAGAAGGTTCTTGCCAGTCACATCCCAGCGCAGTGGGGATTGGAAAGTGTCTTCTCCTGCAGAGAGACAGAAGGGGCCTGGGTCCTTGGTGTCCCGGATACCAGCCCTCTCCTCAGTCAGGCGGCTTGGAGATTTCCTTATTTGTCTGTTTGTTTTCATTTTGACTGGGGCCACTCCTGACAGTGTGCAGAGTTGACTCCTGGCTCTGTGCTCAGGGATCCCTTATGGCAGGGCTCAAGGAGCCCTTTGCAGTGCTGGGGATTGAATCTGGGTGGGCAGCATGCAAGGCAGGAGCCCTACCCCCCTGTCCTCCCACTCCCCCCCCCCCCCGGTACTACTGCTTGGGCCCCTGCTTTGAATTCTTAAGGAAAAATAACTCAGAATTGGATAGGCCAGGGGGGAAGTGTGTTCGCCTTGCATGCGGCCGACCCAGGTTCGATCCCCAGCATCCCATATGGTCCCCCAGCACCGCCAGGAATAATTTCTGAGTGCAGAGCCAGGAATAACCCCTGTGCATTGCTGGGTGTGACCCAAAAAGCAAAATAAAAATTAAAAAAAAGAAGTGGATAGGCCGGTCAGCTAGGGTCTGATGGGAACAAAACAGTACTATCACCTCCTCCCTTAATTTGAGCTTCAGACATCTGTGACCCAAGATGAAATTAAGCTTGATGAATGTTTCACTGCACATCTGATGGGGGTGGGGGGGGACATCTAACAGAGTCTTGAAAAGTACTTCCTGCACTAGAGGGAAATTCTCACCCAGATATTCAAAAACATCGGCCATGGCCTGGTTCCGCACCATGTCGATGAGACCCCGTCCCAGGCAGAAGTGGGGGAAGATCAGGAAGACCCGTTTCAAGATCCGGTTCACGTTCTGCAGGTTCTGCTCAGGGTCAGGAAGAGGGATGTAGATCAGGGGGCCAAGACCAAGGCTCTCGGGCGGCCTCAGTACTGGTGGGGTGGGGCAGCTTGTCCTGTGTGTGGGGGCGGGGGGCGGCGAGGGCTCCAACCTCCTCCGATAAGAGCTCCAGCACGAAGGTGGCCATGCTGCCGTTGATGCCGATGAAGAGGTTGATGCAGGTGAGTGCCACGTATGCTGTGCTGGGCTCGGTGAAGAAGAAGGAGGCTGGGTACATGAGGGGCGTGATCGACCAGCTGTGGGCGGCAGAAGTGCCAGGTGACCCTGCAGGCCAGGGCCCGAGATGCAAGCATCCTCCTCCTCCCTTCCTTCTGTGTGGGCGGCCTCTTGGTGGGAATCAGGACAAGATGAACTTTTTTTTCTTTTTTTGGGTCACACCCGGCGATGCCCAGGGGTTACTCCTGGCTCATGCACTCAGGAGATACTCCTGGCGGTGCTCGGGGAACCATATGGGATGCTGGGAATCGAACCCGGGTTGGCTGCATGCAAGGCAGATGCCCTACCCGCTGTACTATCACTCCAACCCCAAGATCTGTCACTGTCACTGTTACTGTCCTCCCGTTGTTCATCAATTTGCTCGAGCAGGCCCAGTAACATTGTGAGACTTGTTACTGTGTTTGGCATATCGAATACATCACGGGTAGCTTGCCAGGCTTTGCCGTGCGGGCGAGATACTCTCGGTAGCTTGCCGGGCTCTCCGAGAGGGGTAGAGGAATCGAACTTGGGTTGGCCATGTTGGCCGCTTGCAAGGAAAACGTCCTACCCACTGTGCAGCACAGCAGTAGGGCATTTGCCTTTTGTGCAGCCAGCCTGGCCGAGCCGGGTTCGATTCCTCCACCCCTCTCAGAGAGCCCGGCAAGCTACCAAGAGTATCTCGCCCGCACGGCAAAGCCTGGCAAGCTACCCATGATGGATTTAATATGCCAAACACAGTAACAACAAGTCTCAAAATGGAGACATTACTGGGCCCACTCGAGCAAACCCCAAGATGAACATTTTTAATCCTTGTTAAATTTTTGGACCACACCCGGCAGCGCTCAGGACTTACTTCCTGTCTCTGTGCTCAGAGATCACTCCTGGCAGGGCTGAGGGGTGGGGGGGCGCCCTATGATCCTGTGCCAGCTCTGCTGCAGGCAAAGCAAATGCCTCCTTGTTGTACTATGGGCTTCAGTTTCCAAGATAAGTTTGCTTTACTTATTGATTTTTTTTTTTTTTTGGTCTTTGGGCCAACCTGATGGTACTCAGGGCTGACTCCTTTCTGTGAGCCCAGGAATCACTTCAGGAAGGCTTGGAACACCTTATGGGGTGCCAGGGATTGGCCTGGCATGTGCAAGGCAAGTGCCTACCTGCTGTACTATTGTTCTGGCCCCCAAAATGAGCTTTTTTTTTTTTTTAATTTAACTAGTGTGTGACCTATGGAGCACAACCAGGGGTGCTCAGGGCTGACTCCTGGCTTTGTGCTCAGAGATCAGATCTGGCGCTGCTTGGGGGACCCTATGGGATGCTGAAGATCGAACCTGGGTTGGCCATCTGCAAGGCAAGTGCCTTCCCTGCTGCACTATTGCACCGGCCCCCCAGGTGAGCTCTTAAGGTCACTTTGACACACCACCACAATACCTCCCACCTGGGGCCCATGAGCCCCTCCAGACACAGCCCCTGGACTGTGAGGGGCCGGCTCACCCATACAGAAGCAGCAGCAGCACCAGGGCCAGCAGGTTGGGGGGCGCCACGTAGGCCTTCCGCTGGAAGGCCAGAAAGATGACCACCACAATGCACGCCGACACCAAGTAGTTACACTGCATGGGGGAATCAGGGACCCCGTCAGAGCGCAGGCATGGGCAGGGCCTCTGCACCCTTGCGTCTCACCCCGACCTCCCTGCATTATACTAGGAGGCCTTGTACTGATCTGGTTTGGTTTGGGGGGGCCACTCCCGGGGGTGCTCAGGGCTGATTCCTGGCTCTGCACTCAGGGCCCACTCCTGGGGGTGCTCGGGAGGCCCAATGTGACGCAAAGCCAGCGCTCTCTCAGCTGTACTATCGCTTCAGCCCCTTGATTTTGTTTCTGTTTGGGGCCACACCTGGCAGTGCTCAGGGCTGACTCTTGGTTCCATACTCAGGGATCACTCTTGGCAGGGACCGAAGGACCCTATGGGACACTGGGGATTGAACCCAGGTCAGCTGCTTGCAAGGCCAGTGCCCTCCCTACTGTACTGTCTCTCCAGCCCATTGATTTTGTTTTCCTTTGGGCCACATCCAGCAGCGCTGAGGGATGACTCCTGCCTCTGTGCTCAGCAGTCATCCTGGAGGTGCTTGAGGGACCCTAAGGGGTGCCAGGGATTAAACCCGGGGCAGCTGCGTGCAAGGCAAGCACCTTCCCCACTGTCTTATCGTTCCAGCCCCCCAGGAGGCCTCGATTTTGGACAGGAGGCCTCCCCTAGTTCCTAAGACATCACCCCCCCACCCCGTGCCAGGTGAATCCCCACCTGAAGGGTTAAGAAGGGGCAGAGGTGAGTGGTGGCTGACGGCCCCCACCCCCCCACCCCCGTCCAGGCAGTCCACGCACCATGTCCCAGAGGAAGTTGCTGAACCAGTAGAGGGTGGGGGGCAGCCCCCCCATGAACTGCAGGTGTTTGGCTCCAGTGGTGCGTTCCTCAATGAGGACAAGGGTGAAGCTGGCCGGGACAAAGGACATGGCGAAGACCACACAGATGGACACCAGCACATCCACAGAGGAGGCTACCCTGGGTGGGGGGCGAGGGCACGAGGCATTGTCAGGTCAACCTGGGCAGGAGCGGCAGCACAGGGGAGGGCGCCAGCCTCACACGTGGCCGACCCAGGTTCGATCCCCAGCATCCCAGACGTTCCCCAGAGCCCCCGGCCAGGAGTGACCCCTGAGCACAGAGCCAGGAGTCAGCCCTGAGCACTGCCAGGTGTGTCGGCAAAACGAAACCAAGGGAGACACTGAGGCTGGGCAGAGGGACTCACAGAGCGGCCTCGGACATCTGTGTCTTGGTGAGGTTCAGGGGGTGGTTGACGGTGGTGATGCTGCGGGCGCGGCGGGTGGAATCGGGGGGCAGGTGGGCATGGAGGAGGGCGTTGTTGGCCCGGTTCACAAAGGCCACCATGGCGTGCCAGCCTTTGTTGTTGAACCAGACCTGGGGGTGGGGTTAAAAGCAAGGGGTCAGGGGGCCAGAGCCATAAGTCAGTGGAAAGGGCTTTTGCCTTGCAGGCGGCTGACCCAGGTTCAATCCTTGGCATCCCATAGGGTCCCCAAAACCCCACCAAGAGTGATTCCCGAGCATCCTCCCAGGATGGGAGAAACACGCTGAAAGTAGACTATGGACTGAACATGATTGCCACTCAATGCCTCTTTTGCAAACCACAACACCCAAAAGGAGAGAGAGAACAAAAGGGGAATGCCCTGCCACAGAGGCGGGGGGGGGGGGGATGGGGGGAGGGATACTGGGACCCGTGGTGATGGAAAATGGGCACTGGTGGAGGGATGGGTATTTGATCATTGTATAATTGAAACCCAAGCACAAAAATTTGTAAGTCTACAACTGTACCTCATGGTGTTTCACTAATAAAAATTAAACTAAAATTAAAAAAAAAAAAGAGTGATTCCTGAGCATAGAGCCAGGAGTCAGCCCTGAGCATCTCCAGGTGTGGCCCCCCCCAAAACAAATAAAAGCAAAGGGTAAGAGCAAGGGGACCCTCCCCCAACTCTCCTACCTCAGTCTCCCTGACCACCTGGCAGCCCGTTCCTCCCGCCCCCCCTGCCTCTGGGCCTCACCTTGAGGTTATTCCAGGTTTCCCAGTGGCGAACCCACTCTGAAAGTTTCTGCAGGATGCGGGCCAGGGGCTCGTCCATTTGGAGGTTCATCAGCACCTTCAGCCTCTCCAGTGAGTCAATGACTCCTTGTCCTGATGGTTGGCTCAGGTCTGGGCCCCCCAGTGAGAAACCTCCATACCTGTAGCGGGGCCAGGGTGGGACAGCAGAGGAGAAAGAAAAGTAGATGGGGGCTGGAGCGATAGCGCAGTGAGAAGGGCTTTTGCCTTGCACACGGTTGACCCGGGTTCAATCCCAGGCCATATGGTCCCCTGAGCACTGCCAGGAGTGACCCCCAAGTGCAAAGCCAGGAGTATCCCTTGAGTAGCACCAGGTGTGACCCAAAAAGCAAAAGGGAAAAAAAGGGTGGATGAGGGGCTGGAGCGATAGCACAGTGGGTAGGGCGTTTGCCTTGCACGCGGCCGACCCGGGTTCGATTCCCAGCATCCCATATGGTCCCCCAAGCACCACCAGGAGTAATTCCTGAGTGCAGAGCCAGGAGTTAGCCCCTGTGCATTGCCGGGTGTGACCCAAAAAGCAAAAAAAGAAAAGGGTAGATGGGAAAGCCCGGCCCCCGCCTCCCAGTAGGTCTCTGGGGTGGGGTGCAGACAAGGCAACTAGGCAGGGACCCTCCACTTACCTGACCTCATTCACCCATTTCTTGGTCTTCAAGCTGAAACAGATGAACAGAAAGACAGAGAGCGTATGAGGGACGCTTGGAAATCTAGTGTGATGGACCAGAGACAAAGTACAGCTTGTCCTGCATATGGCAGACCCCCATTCGATCCCTGGCATCCCAAAGGATCCCCCATGCACCACCAGGAGTGATCTTGGAGCACAGAATTGGAAGTCAGCCCTGAACACCGCCAGGTGTGGCATCCAAACCGGACAAGAAAAAGCCCAGCATGAGAGAGAGAGAGAGACAGAGACAGAGACAGAGAGACAGAGAGAGAGAGTCAGGCCCACAGCACCCCAGCATCACACCAGGCTCTCCCATCAATGGGCTGCGCCCAACAGCGCCCCCTGGCGTTGCTCACCCCGGGCGCACCAGGCCAGGGTAAGTCTTCACCAGGTAATCGGACAGGTTCCGGCCCGTGAGATTCTGCACAATTTCTCCGGAGCGGGTCAGCACCTGGGGCGGCGGAGGCCACCCGGCCTCCACTGGACAGTCAGGCAGTAGACGGCGGGCCCCGGGCCGGCTGCACTGACAGGCTGGCGAAGGAGACCCGAGCGTCCCGTTGCCCCTGGACACGCCGAGCGTCGCATCTTCAGGAAACTTGGGTCTGGAGAATTGGCGGGTGGAGGGCTGTGTTTGCACGTGGGCCTCCAGGGCCGGGGTGCAGGGGTGGGAAGGGCAGGACTGTGGGCGCCCACGGCGTGGATGCAGGGGTTCCTCCAAACACCCAGTGAGGGGACATTGTGGGGGGCCGTGCGGGGGCGGGGGCTTCCTCACCCGTTGCTCATGTTCCTTCCCAGATCTGGATTCTCCCATCCGGCTTCTTCCAGCACCTTCTGAAGCAGGAGACTCCGTTCGGGGTCCCCTGGAGTGTCATCACTGCACAGGGGTGGCGGGGAGTCAGGTGGGCCTCCCACCCTGCGACTCCAGACCGCTCCCTCCCCCCACACACACACACTGGCACCCGGTGTGGCCCCTCGCCAGCCCTGACCTGAAGAAGGTCGTCTGGGGGCTGTACATGCTGGTGTTGAGGTCCAGTTCTGGGTAGTACTTGAACGGCGGAACGATCAGGCTGAAGGCCAGGGCTAGGCCCACAAAGAGGGCCGGGAGGATGATCTGCGGGGGACCCAGGGGACCCAGACAACCGGTTCATGGGGGCTCAGCACCCCCTTGACCTGCTCTGGCTCTGCCAACCCTCCAGGATTTCCCTGGGTGCCCAGCAGAGGAAATCAAAGTTGGCTGGGGTAGGGCTCAGAGCTGGCCGTCCCAGGGCTGGAGCGATAGCACAGCGGGTGGGGCGTTTGCCTTGGACGCGGCCGACCCGGGTTCAATTCCCAGCATCCCATATGGTCCCCTGAGCACCACCAGGAGTGATTCCTGAGTTCAAAGCCAGGAGTAACTCCTGTGCATCATCAGGTGTGACCCCAAAAAAAAATACTATATGGGGGCTGGAGTGATAGTACAGCGGGTAGGGCATTTGCCTTGCACGCGGCCGACCCGGGTTCGATTCCCAGCATCCCATACCGTCCCCTGAGCAACGCCAGGAGTGATTCCTGAGTTCAAAGCCAGGAGGAACCCCTGAGCATCGCCGGGTGTGACCCAAGAACAAAAAGAAAAAAAAAACTGGCAGTCCCGGGTTGAATTAGGCTGCCTCGGGCAGGCACAGTCAGTGGGGAGGACTGGTCCCCTAGGAATCCCCCTTCCCCAGGGGCGTGCCCCCCCACCTGGGCAAATATGCTTCTTCGGCTACGGCAGGCCAGTAAGAAGCGTTTGAGAAACAGCGCCTGGAGCTGCTGGAGGATCAGTGTGCGCCCCCGGACCCGGCTTGGCGTACTGGGCTCCGGATCCTGCAGGGCCTGCGTCTCCAGCGCGGCCCCTGGGTTGGTGGACAGAGAGGAGGGTCAGGAGGGTGTCCGGGGTAGGTGGGGAGGGTTCAGGGCAGGAATGGGGAGCTCACCCAGTTCTCCGTTCTCCAGGGCTGACTGCTTGGGTACCACCTTGGCCTTGAACCACGTGACCAGGTCTGATGGTACGATGCCTGCGTTTGGGGGCTGCTTGCTGCTACCATCTAAAAAAAAAAAAAAGGGTCCATCAGGGGCCAGAGCGATAGCACAGAGGGTAGGGTATTTGCCTTGCATACGGCCGACCCAGGTTCGATTCCCAGCATCCCATAGGGTCCCCCGAGCACCGCCAGGAGTGATTCCTGAATGCAGAGCCAGGAGTAACCCCTGAGCATCCTCAGCTGTGCCCGCCCCCTGCAAAAAAAAAAAATCAAAAAGTAAAAATAAATTAAAATGTGTATCAGGGAGATCTCACAGAAGGTTAATGAACTTGCCTCACACCCCAGCGGTTTCAGTTAAAAACACCCCCATCACACAGGGCCCTCGCACACCACACACACAGAGCACAGAGCCAGGAATAGCCCCTGCGCACCATCAGGTGTGACCCCAAGACCCCCCTCAATAATTAAAATTATAAATATTATAAATAAATCAGGGATCAAGCACCCGGGGGAATGTAGTGAGAACAAGGGGAAGAGGCTAGAGCCATAGGACAGCGGGGAAGGCATCTGCCTTGCATATGGCCGACCTGGGGTCGATCCCTGGCATCCCATAGGGTCCCCCGACTACCGCCAGGAGTAATTCCTGAGAGCCAGGAGTAACCCCTGAACATCACCGGGTGTGACCCCCATCCCAAAAAAAAAGGAAAAAAAAAGTAAGCTCTGGCCATCTGCTGATATGGCCCCAAAACAAATTTAAAAATCAGGGGCTGGAGCAATAGCACAGCGGGTAGGGCGTTTGCCTTGCACGCGGCTGACCCGGGTTCGATTCCTAGTATCCCATATGGTCCCCTGAGCACCGCCAGGGGTAATTCCTGAGCACAGAGCCAGGAGTGAGCCCTGTGCATTGCCGGGTGTGACCCAAAAAGAAAGAAAAAATCAGGTCAAGGGGCTGGAGAGATAGCACAGCGGGTAGTGCATTTGCCTTGCACGTGGCCGACCCAAATCCGATTCCCAGCATCCCATATGGTCCCCTGAGCACCGCCAGGAGTAACTCCTGAGTGCATGAGCCAGGAGTAACCCCTGTGCATCGCCAGGTGTGACCCCCCAAAAAAGAAAATCAGGTTGAAAGGTCAAGGTTTGGCTAGGTCACACCTAGTTGGCTGGGGGTAGGGGGGCCAGAATTTGGCTGGGGTGGGGGGAGGACATTAACTGGCAGGCAGTCAACCTAGGTTTGATCCCCAGCACCCCATTGGGTTCCCTGAGCACAGAGCCAAGAGTGATCCCTGAGCATAGAGCCAGGACGCAGCCCTGAGACCACCAGGTGTGAGCCTAAACAAACCAACAACAGCAAAGAACATGGAGGGTCATTAAGATAGGGGAGGATCCATGATGCTAATATTAGTTGGAAATGTCACTTTAGATGTTAATGTTACTGAATGTCACCTGCCCACACGGCAGAGTCTGGCAAACTCCCCGTGGCGTACCCAATATGCCAAATACCAGGGTCTGGTACCCAAATGAAGGGTCTCATTCTCCTAACTCTGAAAGAGCCTTGAATATGGCAATTTTTAAAAAAAAAATCTCAGGGCTAGGACGAAGGAGATGTTACTGGGGCCTGCTCGAGGCAACCGACGAATAACAGGATGGTTGTGAATGATTGATTGTGATTGTCACTTTAGACAAGAACTGAGTGTTGAAAGTAGGGGAAGGGATATGCATGATAACTTTTCAGCATCTGTCTTGCAAACCGTAATGCCTCAAATGAGAGAGAAAAGGAGAAAGAGAGAGAGAAAAGAGAAAAGACAGGTGCCTGCCATAGAGGCAGGAGGGGGTGAGGGGTGGTTTGAAGGGATGGGAGAGAAACAGGGGACACTGGTGCTGGGAAATGACACTGGTGGAGGGATGGGTGTTGGAACACTGTATGACTGAAACTCAATCATGAACAGTTTTGTAGTGCTCTATCTCACGGTGATTCAATAAAAACAAAAGAAATGTTTATACACCCAGAATTTACTGGATGGGCAACAGTCAGCGAGCGGACAGGGCGCTTATTTCGCTGAGCCAGCCCCCAGGTTTGGTTCCCAGAACCATATATGGTCCCCCAGTCCCACCAGGAGCTGGGTGTATGGCCCTCAAGCACAAACAATTTAGTGTAAAGTCACATTCGGAACTGGGTGGGCGGGGCTGAGAGGTGGGGCTTAGAGACAGGGCACCCGCTCTGAAACCTGGGTCCTGGGTCTGCTCCCTGTCTTGTCAAGTGAATACAAGGAAATGACCATCAGGGGGCAGGCGGGAAGGGCGCTGGCCTTGTACGCAGTGCACTCCCCCCCTGCCCCCCCCCCCCCGCCCCGGTTCAATCTCCGACACCCCATAGAGTCCCTGAGCACTGCCAGGAGTGATTCCTGACTGTAGAGCCAGGAGTAACCCGTGAGCATTGCCGTTTATGGTCCAAATTAAAAAATAAATAAATCGATCATTGTATAATCGAAACCCAAGCACAAAAAATTGTAAATCTACAACTGTACCTCATGGTGTTTCACTAAAAATAAAAAATAAATTAAAAAAAAGAATAAATAAATAAATAAATAAATCAAACACACACACACACACACACACACACACACACACACACAGAGACTGGGTTTGATCCCCTGAGCACATCAGGGGAAGTGATCCCTGAGTACTGAGCCAGGAGAAGTGCAAGGTGTGACCCAGAAAAGCATAAGAAAAAAAAAAAATAAGGTGGGGCTGGAGCAATAGCACAGCGGGTAGGGCATTGGCCTTGCATGTGGCGGACCCGGGTTCGATTCCCAGCATCCCATAGGGTCCCCTGAGCACCGCCAGGAGTAATTCCTGAGTGCATGAGCCAGGAGGAACCCCTGTGCATCACCGGGTATGACCCAAAAAGAAAAAAAAAAAAGATGGGTCAGAGAAATAATTCAGTGGAGGTGGGAGTGCGGCGGGGGTTCTTATCTTGCATGTGGTCAATGCAGACTTGATCCTTGATCCCCAGCACCCCACAGGGTTCCCGAGCTCTGCCAGGAGTGATCTCTGAGCACAAAACCAGCCCTGAGCACTGCCGGGTGGGGCCCCCATCCAGAGAGAGTGGCCAGGGTGGGGGTTAAACCTGCAGCTTCCAGCTCCGGATTCGTGTCTCCCGCACTTTCTTCTATCACCTTCAGGAAGATCTGCAGAGAAAAATGCAGGGACTTGGGGGCCTGGGCACCAACAGAGGGAGCTGGGGACTCCAGAGGCTCCCCCCATGCCCTTCACACACTACGGGTCCCCTTAGCGGCCCCTCACCCCCACCCAAACCCCACTTCCTCCCGGGAATGCCCTGGGAAGCAGGTCCCTCTCCACACTTCTCCTCCAGGCAGCCCTCCCAGATCTGCCTCACCTCCTCCATGCTAGTATCGGAGATCCCATAGCTAGAGAGCCCCAGCTCCCGCAGATGCAGGTCCAGGTCCTGGAAGAGCGCGGCGAAGCTGCCATCCTGGGCACCCGCGTAGGGCAAGGTCAGCACCAGCTCGTGAGGCAGCACCTCCACCAGCTGCCCCCCTGGCACCCAGCGCTGCACCAAGGCCAGTAGCTGGGAAGCACCTGGATGAACAACAGAACATCAGGGGATCCCCCTGCCTATTCCTGCCTCCCTCCATCTCTCTCTCTCTCTTTCTCTCTCTCTCTCCCTCTCTCTCTCTCTCTCTTTCATTTATTTATTGGCTTTTTGGGTCACACCCGGCAATTCTCGGGGCTAACTCCTGACTCTGCCCTCAGCAATCACTCTGCTTTTATTTGGTTTTTTTGGGGTGACACCTGGCGACGCACAGGGGTTACTCCTGGGTCTGCACTCAGGAATTACCCCTGGCGGTGCTTAGAGGACCCTATGGGATGCTGGGAATTGAACCCAGGTTGGCCATGTGCAAGGCAAACGCCCTCCCCGCTGTACTATCGCTCCAGCCCTCACGTATTTCTAAGTAAATTCATTTTTTTCTTTTTTTTTTTTTTGCTTTTGGGGTCACACTTGGTGATGCTCAGGGGTTACTCTTGGCTCTGCACTCAGGAATTACTTCTGATGGTGCTTGGGGGACCATATGGGAAGCTGGGAATTGAACCCAGGTCAGCCGCGTGCAAGGCAAACGCCCTACCCGCTGTGCTATCACTCCAGCCCTCACATATTTCTAAGTAAATTAATTTCTTTCTTTTCTTTTTTTTTTTTTTGCCTTGGGGGGTCACACTCGGTGATGCTCAGGGGTTACTCCTGGCTCTGCACTCAGAAATTACTTCTGATGGTGCTTGGGGGACCCTATGGGATGCTGGGGATCGAACCCGGGTCAGCCACCTGCTGTCTTATCGCCCGCCCACCAGCCCCACCTCTACTGAGCCCAGGCGGACCCTGGCCGGCCGTGCTGTCCACGTGGTCTGGTGTCCCTGCCTGCCCAGCATCCACATGCTCCTTCACGTCGGCAATGTCCTGTGGGCAGAGACAAGTGACCGTGATGGCCACTGGGGCTGGGCAGGGCAATGCGGGCCACGGGTCAGAGGTCAGCGCCAGCCCTTACCTTCTGGCTGCCGGCCAGGGGCTGGGCCGCCTTCACCAGGGTCAGGTAGTAGCCAGAGCCCAGATGCCGGCGCAGGAAGAGCGGGGAGCCGCAGCAGCACAGGCGGCCGGCTGCCATGATGGCCACACGGTCCCCCAGGAGCTCCGCCTCGTCCAGGTGGTGCGTGGAGAGGATCAGTGCGCGACCTGGACAGGAGACCCCACGGACACCAGCTCAGTCCAACCCCAGCGTGGAGGGTGCAAGCCCTGTCTGGAGCGCAAACTCCTATTCATCCCCCAAAGCCTTTCCAGTTCCCTTGTGCAGAATGCCGGGCGTTGTCAGGCCGCCCCAACCGTCTCTCACCTTCTCGGTATTTGAGCAAAAGCTCCCAGATGCTGCGGCGGGAAGCAGGGTCCACACCGGCTGTGGGTTCATCCAGGAAAACCACCTTGGAGCCGCCCACGAAGGCAATGGCCACGGAAAGCTTACGCTGCATCCCTCCTGGAGGGGGGTATGGGGGACACGGTCATTGGGATGGATGTTTCCCGCCTCTGTGCTATACTCTCCATTGTCACTCTCACTGTTCTCCCGTTGTTCATCAATTTGCTGGAGCGGGCCCAGTAACGTCTCTATTGTGACACTTGTTACTGTGTCTGGCATATCGAATACGTCACGGGGAGCTTGCCAGGCTTTGCCGTGCGGGCAAGATACTCTCGGTAGCTTGCCGGGCTCTCCGAGAGGGGTGCAGGAATCGAACCCGGCTCGGCCAGGTCGACCGCATGCAAGGCAAACGCCCTACCCACTTTGCTATCGCTCCTGGGCAGGACACTCTCCACAGCCCCTTTTATTTAATTTTTAAACATTTCTTTGCCTTTTGGGGCCATATCTGTCGATGCTCAGGGGTTACTTCTGGCTCTGTACACAGGGATCACTCCTGGTATGGATCAGGGGACCCTATGGGATGCTGGGGATCGAACCTGTGTTGGTCTCATGCAAGGCAAACTCCTTCTCTACTGTACATTCACTCCAGTCCCATGTGTTTTGTTTTGGGGCCACCCCAGGCAATGCTCAGGGCTTACTCCTGGTTTTGTGCTCAGGGATCACTCCTGGCAGGCTCAGGGGACTATATGGGATGCTGGGAATCAAACATGGGTAGGCCACATGCAAGGCACGTGCCCTATCTCTAGGCTCTATGTGTGTGTGTGTGTGTGTGTGTGAGTGTGTGTGTGTTTGTGTGTGTGTGTGTGTGTATAAGTGACACCCAACAGTGCTCAGGGCTTACTCCTGGCTCTATGTCCAGGAATCACTCCTGGCAGTGCTCAGGGGCCCCTATAGGATGCCAGGGGATTGAACCTGGGTTAGTCACATGCAAAACAAATGCCCTCACCACTGTACTATAATTCTGGCCCTCACACCCCATCTGACTCCTCTTGCTCCCTCTCCAGATCTGTGGCTTCTCCTGTTTCCCACGCACCTTGGGGCTCAGGGCCCTGGCCCTCATCTCAGCTTCCTCTCATCTATCCACTCCCCAGGCGGGGCTCACCTGAGAGGTGGCGCGTCTCTGTGTTGTACTTGAGTGTCAGCCCCACGTCCCCCAGCAGACGGCTCTGCTCCAGGCGCAAAGTGGAAGCGCTCAGACCCTTCAACCGCCCATAGAACCAAACGTGCTCAGCCACCGTCAGCCTGCAAGTACCAGAAGGGAAGGGTGGGCGCTGGAATGAAAAGAGTGCCCTTCACCCCTCCGGCACTGCCCCCCCCTCACCCCTGGGGACACACCTGTCAAAGAGAACATTGTATTGTGGGCAGATGCCCAGGTACGGACGGATGGCCTCCATGCTGGACTGAATATCGTGCCCCAAGATGAAGGCAGAGCCCCCCGTGGGCGGAAAGAGGCCGGTCAGGATGGACCTGGAGGGTACCAGGGATTTCAGAGTCCTTTTGTTTTGTTTGGGAACCACACCTGACTCTGCTCAAGGTTTACTCCTGGCTCTGTGCTCAGGGAGCACTACTGGTGGGGTTCAGATCCCCTATGGGGTACCGGGGATCAAAGCCAGGTCAGCCACATGCAAGGCAAGCACCCTCCCTGCTGTGCTATTTCTCTGGAACCAGACAACAGTTTTTTTTTTTTTCTTTTTGGGTCACACCCGGCGATGCTCAGGAGTTACTTCTGGCCCTGTACTCAGGAATCACTCCTGGCAGTGCTCGGGGGACCATATGGGATGCTGGGAGTCGAACCCGGGTCGGCTGCGTGCAAGGCAAACACCCTACCCGCTGTGCTATCACTCCAGCCCCCAGACAACAGTTTTTGTTGGTTTTTGATCTTGGACCACACCTCACGATGCTCAAGGGTAACACCTGGCTCTGAGCTCAGAAATTACTCCTGGCAGTGCTCAGGGATTATAAGGGATGCCAAGGATTGAACCCGGGGAGATCACGTTGCAGGTAGCGCCCTCCTGGCTGTGCCTCCTGGTACCAGATAACAGTTACTAGCGCTCCTCATGTTCACAAGGGAAGTGGGGCGGGGCGGGGGGTACAGCTCACATCGTGGTGGTCTTGCCGGCCCCGTTGTGGCCCAAGAAGGCAGTGATGTGGCCGCAGTAGAAGTCCAGGCTGAGGCCTCGCAGGGCGGGCTGGGGGTTACCAGGAAAGCGCTTTTCCAGGCCTCGGATGGAGACCCCCGCCGTCAGATCTGGTGGTGCCTCCTCCATCAGCACTGGAAGCAGGAAGCGCGGGCTCAGCCTTAGGACCCCTGAGTGTTGGGCTGTGTTGACGGGAAACAGTGGGGCTGGGTCCCTGGGACACCGGGAAGCTGGAGGGGCACCGAGGGTCATGACTAGGGGACTGGGAGGCAGCAGAGCCTGTTAAGTCTCACGGGGGACCTCACCCTGCTGGTCCTGCGTTATAGGAGGTGGGGCGAGAATCTTGGGGGACCGAGGCCCAAACCAGTAGCTCCTCCGGAATGGAAAGTTCCACGGCTCGGGGATCCCATACTGGCCTGAGGGAAGAGACACTGTTACCCCTGGAGCCCATCCCCAAGGGACTGCACCAACAAGGCTTTGGGCTTCACACCTGGGATGGGACACCCAAGAGAGGAGATGCCCAGAGCGCCCAGGCCCCGCCCCTTAAGGACAGCCCCCAGTGCGCATGTGCCAGAAAGCACCCGCCCCCCCATCCCTCGCATCCAATGGTTGAAGAGTCTGCCCCATATGGCCCCGCCTCCAACCTCAGGACCGCCCATTACCCTGCCTTCTGCGCTAGACCACGCCCCCATTTCAGACCACGCCCTCGGCACGCCTCTTTTAGGCCACGCCTCTCACCCTGCCTCCACATCAGTCCCTCTGTTCCACTTACAGCTGCTCTGGTGCTGTTAAGAGGGTCCTGAATCTCTCTCTCTCTCTCTCTCTCTTTTTTTTGTACAGGGCGTTGCACAGGGGTTACTCCTGGCTCATGCACTCAGGAGTTACTCCTGGTGGTGCTCGGGGGAATCCTATGGGATGCTGGGAATCGAACCCGGGTCGACTGAGTGCAAGGCAAACGCCCTACCCGCGGTGCTATCGCTCCAACCCCGGCTGCTGAATCTCTTACTCTTCCGTCTTACCTGGGTACACAGCCTCCAGGTACCAAGTGAGCAGGCTGTAGAGCAGAGCGTCGAAGACCAAAAGGAGCGAGACCTCGCCCAGGCTGAAGACATCGCCAGCAGGGCCCGTGCCAAGGTTGCGCCACTGCGCGCCCGTCCCCTGCTCCTCCAGCAGCGCGAGGCTCTCGCAGCCGAATCCAAAGGCGACGGGGGACAGGAGGCTCTGTGGGTGCGGATCAGGGCGTTAGTGAGCGCCCGCAGCACAGTGCTCCCCCCAGCTCTGGCCAGCCGTGCCCTCACCGTAGCCACGTGGACGCCCGGGGGCAACTGGTCCCGCCAGGCCACCAGCAAGACGTAAGGCAGATAGAGCACGAAGTAGGCGAGGCCTCCGCAGGCCGCCGCCAGGTTGGCTTGGGAGAAGAAGACGCTCAGCAAGAAACTCTGGATCACCGTGGCCAGCGCGAAGGACGCGAAGAACAGGAAGAGAACCACTGGGTGGCTGTATGGGAGAATGTCCCCCAGCTGCGGGAGGCAAAGGGAGCTCGGATCCGCTGCTTCTGGGATTTGCACGGAGGGGCAGCCAGCACCCACCCCGAGGCCCTGTGGCTGACCCAGGAACGCCCACCTTGAGCACCAGCACAAGCAGCGCAGCGCTGATAAGGAAAGGCACGATACAACTGAGGAACCAGCCAAGCCACAGCACCCCGCGGCTCAGCCCCATGGCACGCATCGTATCACGCAGCCGTTTCTCCTTCTCCCGCACCACGGCCTTCACGGTTATCGCCACTGAATAGATCCAGGCCAGCGTCAGGAAGAGTGGCAATGATCGGCCCAGCACGCTCAGGAACCTGAGGCAGGGGGCAGGGGGAAGGGGGATGAGGGGTGAAGACTCTGTGCATTCCCCAATCAGCACTAGGAAGCGGGGTGTGGTGCTCTGGGAGATCCCAAGTGTCAGCCGGCCGGAAACTCAGAACATTTCTCCCTGTACCCTGCACCTGGGCTGGAGCTATAGCATAGCGGTAGGGCGTTTGCCTTGTGCGCGGCCGGCCTGGCTGAGCCAGGTTCGATTCCTCCGCCCCTCTCGGAGAGCCCGGCAAGCTACCGAGAGTATCTCGCCCGCGCAGAAAGCTTGGCAAGCTCCCCGTGACATATTCAATATGCCAAACACAGTAACAAGAAGTCTCACCATGGAGACGTTACTGGGCCTGCTCAAGCAAATCAATGAACAACGGTGCCCAGCCCACACTGCAACAAAGTTCTGAATTGGAGCCCACAGGCGAAGGGACGGTTTGGGGAGGAAACCCGGGAGCTAAGGAGAGCAAGGGCAGGCGCGCTCACGTATCGTCCACGTAGCACGGGTAGGGCATCTGCTGCACGTAGAGGCTGGTGCGGGGCACTGCACCACTGAGGACGCGCACGGCTGCGCGCTCCAGCAGGTCTTGCAGGTACACGAAGCCGCCCCACACGTAGCGCAGGTCTGTCAACGGATCAGCGGCGGGGCCAGGGTCCCAAAACCTGCCAGTGAGCGTAGTAGTGAGCGTCTGGAAGGAGCATCTGGAAGGATGGGCTGTGCGCCTCAACTGTTAGCTCCACCCCCCCACCCTGCTCCCCATTGCGCCTGTTCCCCATCCCCATCCCATCACCTGGCCTGAAAGTTTCCCTCCTCAAATACCCAGGATCACCCAGGACCTCAACCCAGGCTTTGGCCTGGCCCACCAAACCCAGGTGGTATATCTGAGTTAAGTCTCAAATAGACTGGTTCGTCTCTGGCCCCGCCTACCTGACCAGACCCCGCCCTCCCCACCTTGACTGGCACAGCCGGGGGGCGTGTCCTTGAGAGTGCTCTGGCCCCGCCCACATGGTCACAGGCCCCACCCACAGCAGGCGGTGCAGCTGGTTATTAGCCTATTCTGTCTCCAAAGAGCCGGACGCCCTCGGCCCCGCCCACCAAATTTTGTCCCCGCCCACAATGGGCAGGGCTCGTCATTTCCTGGTTGCGGATAGGTGGAAAGCTCTCTCTGGTCCCACCCCTCCACGCTCGTGGCCCCGCCCCCACCTGGTCCGGATCTTATGGGTTTCTGTGACTTCATCGATGTTCATTCGGATCTTGATGCGCAGGCGGTCGGGGTCCTGGGATTCCTCCAATCCCAGAAAGACGACACCGGCCCAGAAGCTGTGCTCAGTGAGCAGCTTCAGGGCCCGCCCTACCAGGGCCTCTTCTGTCGGCACCGCCTCCAGCTTGTCCGGGATCATGCACTAGGGGAGCGACCTGCGAGTGGGTCTCAGGAACCCCGAGTCCCCCACACCCCAGGGCTAGAAGGCACTTTCCCGCCTCCAGGCCCAGGGCTGGGGTGGCCCCATCAGACCCCTACCTCTAACGCAGGATGGTGTCCTTTCCCTCATGACGTTGCTCTGAGCCCCTCACCTCTGCCACTAGGCCTAGCGTGCCCATCATTTGCTCCAAATCCGCGCGGGCGTCCAGCCAACTGTACCCGCCCCTGGAAGGGTCCAGAAAGTCATGAAGGGCCTTCTCCATGTCCTTGCCTCCAGGTCCGGGCTGCCCACTGTCTTTGTTCTGCATTTTCAGGAGCTTCTGTGGGGAAGAGGGAGGGAAAGCAAAGAGGGGGGAATTGGGGCTGGAGCAATAGCACAGCGGGTAGGGCGTCTGCCTTGCACGCGGCCAACCCGGGTTCGATTCCCAGCATCCCATAGGGTCCCCTGAGCACCGCCAGGAGTAACTCCTGAGTTACTGAGATGCCAGGGGTAACCCCTGTGCATCGCCAGGTGTGACCCAAAATGGTCAGGGTCATGGTCACGGTCCTCCCGTTATTCATCGATTTGCTCGAGCGGGCCCAGTAACGTCTCCATTGGAGACTTTGTTGTTACTGTGTTTGGCATATCGAATACATCACGGGTAGCTTGACCCAAAATAAAAGCAAAAAAAAAAAAAATGGGGGGGGAGTTGCATTCCAGGATTCCAGGTCCCCCTCTCCTTCCACCCTTGGGGCATGTCCTCACCGCGGAGGTCCCATGCCCCCTCCACACCCTGTCCCAGGAGATATTGCCTTGCCCAATGCCCCACAGCGGGTGAGGTGCTGTGGAGGGCGGCTGCCAACCTCCAGGCCCCACCTGCAGTAAAGCCACATTGGCACTGTCATTCAGGAAGTTGAAGGCCTGGGGTCCCAGGGACTGCCACACCTCCTGGATGTCCTTCAACAGAGCCATCTCCTGGAAGGTCTGGTTCACCTGCAGGCGGCAGATACCAAGCACCAAGCTACAGGGAGGGCCGGGGCGCTGGCACTCACTCAACGGGCTGCAGCCCAGGCTTGCATGTGGGAGCCCCGGATTCCATCCCTGGCATCGCATGGGCCCCCCCAGCCCTGCTTTCCTGATGCCAAGTCGTTCTCCCCGGGAAGCACTGGCCTTGCCTCACCTACCTGGGCCATGAGTTGCCTCGTGAAGGCTGTGTCTGGCGTGAAAAGCACTTTTCCCAGAACCAACGGCTTTAGACGCCTCCAAAAAATGCTGAACAATATATCTCCCTCCATGGTCTGTAACAGCTTCTCACAGGCAGGGCCTGGGGCGGGGGTCGGAGGGGGGGGTGTGGAGGGCAGTGGGAGAGACATGCCATTTGATCCTGCCCCCACGAACACCCTCCCAGACCCAGCTGGGGCCACCTGTGCCGGCACTCACTCAGGTTCTTGTCCGGGGCCACCAGCGCTGGCTCCGGCTTTATGTCTTTTGTGTCACTGTCTTCATACCAGCTCAGAGAGAGCCCCCTGGGGCTGCCTGGCCCCTTGGCACTGCAGAGGGCTACGGACATGACCTCTAGGACTCCATTTTTTTGTGGAGACTTCTGGAGCAGGGTCCTTAGTTCCAGCAGGCTGGGCAGCGTTAGGACCTGGTGGGAGGGAGGTGGTCGTGTTAAAATCAGTATGAGCCTGGACACGCCCCCACCAGAAGCGTCTGCACATTCTCTTTCAGTTTTTTTTTTTTTTTTTTTTTGCTTTTTGGGTCACACCCGGCGATGCTCAGGGGTTACTCCTGGCTCATGCACTCAGGAATCACTCCTGGCGGTGCTCGGGGGACCATATGGGATGCTGGGAATCGAACCTGTGTTGGCCATGTTGGCTGCGTGCAAGGCAAATGCCCTACCCGCTGTGCTATCACTCCAGCCCCTCAGTTTTGTTTTTTTGGGTCACAGCTGGTGGTGCTCAGGACTTACTCCCGGCTCTGCTCAAGGATCACTCCTGACTTGGGGGACCCTGTACTAGGGTGCATCAAACCCGGGTCAGCCACATCCAAGACAAGCCCCCTCTCCGCTGTGCTATGGCTCACACCCCCAACACCTATTTTGAGGAGGCCATCCATGCAATGTTCAGAAGGTCAAAGTTCAACGCGAGAGCCCAAGGAAGCGCTATTGCTTGAGCCCTGCAGTGCTGGGGACCCCCACCAGCCAGGAGGTCACCCCAACGGAGCTCATCCAGAGGTACCTCTGATGACGTTCGGGGGATGGTATCGTGCAGCGGATCTAACTCTGGTCCAGCCTGCACTGTAACCCCCGTACTAGCGCTCCAGCCCCAATGAGACACTTTTTGGGTGGAGTTTGGGTCACACCTGGTGATGCTCAAGGGTTCCTCCTGGCTCTGCACTCAGGTATTACTCCTGGTGGTGCTTGGGGGACCTACGGAATGCCGGGGATCAAACCTGGGTCGTCCAGGTGCAAGGCAAAAGCCCTTCCACTGTCCTATTGTTCTAGCTCCCCAATCAGATACTTTTTTTTGCTTTTTGCTTTTCGGGTCACACCCGGCGATGCTCAGGGGTTACTCCTGGCTCTACACTCAGGAATCGCTCCTGGCGGTGCTCATATGGGGTGCTGGGAATCGAACCTGTGTCGGTCATATTGGCTGCGTGCAAGGCAAATGCCCTACCCGCTGTGCTATCCCTCCAGCCCCTCAGATACTTTTAAACCTCTTGGCTGACGGTGCCCCTGGGTCAAACAACACTTACCTCCTGTAACAGGTCTGTTGCTTCCTCCACAAAATCACCCATGGCCTCCTGTGCTAGACCCAGCGTGGCATTCTGGGGAGAAAGATAGGAAGGATCTTGGCTGAGGTCTCACTGGTTTTTTTTGGGGGGAGGGGCTTTTTGATGCCAGGAAATTTCCAACAGCATGGCTGCCGGATCATGCTCAAACACATGTGTGTCACGGGGGATTCAAACTCATGACCATCCGCTTGCAGGGTTGTTGCAGAACAGGCGCTTCAAGCCACCAAGGTTTTTTTTTTTTTTCAGTGAATCACCATGAGGTACAGTTACAGACTTACAAACTTTCGTGCGTGCGTTTCAGTCATACAATAATCAAGTATCCATCCCTCCACCAGTGCCCATTTCCCACCAATGGTCCCAGCATCCCTCCCACCAGTTTTTTTATTTTATTTTTATTTTTTTGCTTTTTGGGTCACACCCTGCGATGCACAGGGGTTACTTCTGGCTCTGCACTCAGGAATTACTCTTGGCGGTGCTAGGGGGGACCATATGGGATGCTGGGGATTGAACCCGTGTCAGCAGCGTGCAAGGCAAATGCCCAACCCACTGTACTATCACTTCGGCCCCCAAGTCACCAAGTTTTTGTCAGATACAGACCCCACTGAACATAAAGGGAAACAGGGAATGTGTTCAAGGTCCCGCAAACTCCACCATCACCCCAGTAGGGCCTGCTGGATCAGGATAGACTAAGAATGGTCACTCCAGGAATCTAACCAAAGACTGTAGGCTGGAGAGAGGACAGCGGGGTGGGCGCTGGCCTCGCACACGACTGACCAGGGTACAATCCCTGGCATCCCGATGGTTACCCCCAAACTCACCAGAAGCTGAGCACAGAACCAGGAGTTGGCCCTGAATACTGCTGGGTGTGGTCTTGAAACCAAACCAAAACCAACAAAAAGATTGAATGGTAGAACTTAGAGCCCTGGGAGAGGAAGGTATCTGGCCCAGAATTTAGGACCCAGGATCCACCTCACCTCTTGCAGTAATGTGTCCAATAGTTTCTTAAATTGGGCTGGATTCTCCTTCAGTTGGTGCTGTACCTGAGGCCAGGCTGCTGAAGAACGCAGAGAAGGGGGTGTCAGGCAATCGTTGGCCTGAAATTCCTTGTCACACACCCACTACACATGGTTGGGCCAAAGCCAGGTAAGTTGAGGCCCTAGACTCAGCCTTGTGTGCCCAAGGAGTTGCCCTTCTCACTGGCATTAAGCGTGGGCATCAATTTTCCTAGGCTGTCCAGCATCCTGTGGGTACTGGGGCGCTCCAAGACACTCAGGATGTCTGCGACGAACCTGGAGACCCTGGTGACAGAGGGGGAGAGGGGCCAGGAGGCGGGGCTTGCTCCGGGGCCACGCCCACCTCCCCTGATCACGCCCACCTCCCCACCACCACCACCACCACCACCACCACCACCACAACAGCCCGGCCTTTGGACCCGCCTAGCACCCTTGAGCAGTCCAATAACTTAGCCATGCCCAGCTCTCAGCTACGCCCAGCGCCCATCCCCTGCCGGCTCACAGGGAGTCATTGAAGTTGCTCACGACCCCGGGCTCCTCGCCTGGGGTGGACACCGGGAAGCAGGTGTTGTTGGCGCTGCAGATAAGCCCCTGGAGCCAACGGAAGATGCCCGCAGAGGGCAGCGGCTTGTTGTTAAAATGGCCTGCAGGGGGATACTGGGTGTGAGGGTCGTGCCTGAGACCCCTGTTCCCCCGTTTCCCGTATTTTGCGGAGTGTTTACTGAGCCATTGATTGGGGGCTCCGCCCCCTCCGTGTGATCTCCAGCGGTAGGATGACGCGAGCGCAACCCCCCAAACACACACACACACACACACACACACACACACACACACACTCTAGGTGGAGGAGGGAAGCTTACATTCATGCTGCTCCACTGGCAGGTGAGACTGGCGCACAGCCACCAGGATGAAGAAGAGAAAAAGGGGCCACAACAGCTCCACGAGAAGCTGGATCTGGGGGTGCAGAACGGTGGAGGCTCGCGGAGGGCGTGGAACTTGGAAGCCCTCCCCGTCCTGCCCTACCCTTGGGGCAATTACCGGCTGCCTCTTGCGATACAGCAAATTCTTCCACAGCAGCAGCTTGAGCTGCGTCCAGAAGGCCATGGTGGGAATGCACTGGAGAAAGGAACCAGAGGTCCGGCGAGGCACCTGCTGTGTGGCTGCTGGCAACGGTCTGTCCCTTTCTGAACCTCATTCCTCTCCCCTCCCGCCGGCCGCGCGGCGGGCCAGGGTTTCCAGCGATGCTGGGAGCCTGATAAACAGCGGACGCGATTAAAAAGGACTCGCCTCTCCCTGGAGGAAACGGACCAATGGGAGCCCTGCCCGCTGCCGTCCTCGCATCTGATTGGTTGCCAGGGCGGTCGCTCCCACGGGGGCCTCCTCTTAACCCCTTCGTCACCGGGCTCAGCCCTAAAGCGTGGGTCCTCCAGACTAGATAGAAGAGGACCCGACAGGACAGGAGGGCCACCTCCCCGCCCCCCCCCCCCCCCGACCCCGCGTCCTCGGCAGGAAGGGCAGCCCTAGCTTGACCCTGCCTCTCCCTTCCGCACCTTTATTACCCTTGGCTCAGAAGAACGGCAGGATTCTGAGAACAAGTTAGGACACGGAGCAGAGCAATTACGGACCATTCCAAGGGATCGCTCGGAATTGTCCAAGGTTAACCTATTTATTTGTAACCACGGTGGAAAGGAGGCCACGGAAGCGCGGGGAGTTGCCAGAAACGACCGGGACACACACACACACACACACACACACACACACACTCACAAACCCCACACCGCCGCTGCCCCTCTCTTTCCATTCATTCCAGGACCCTCCTTTACACCCCGTGGGAATGGGGGGGCGGCCTCGGTTTCTCCATCGCGACAATGCGGGCAAAAGGTCCAGTCGAGCGAGTCGGATGTCTAGCCTCCCCCTTTAAGAATGAGTGGTCAGTTCTCTGCCTCCCTCCCTGGACCCGCGGGCAAGGTCAGCCAGCACACTTCGCTCCCACGGAGCTCGCTTCCCTCACCCCCTCCCCAGGCTCACACTCTCCAGTCCCGAGAGCCTCTCCCCCTGCCAGTGCATCTTACCGTTCCCAGCTCTTGCCGCCACCCCCTCCCCCCGACCCCCTGTAAGAGGACACACCCACTCCGCCCCTCCACACACACACACCCTTACAACCACCACCACCACCAACACCCAGCGGGCGCCACGCCAGCGCCGCAGACCTTTTCTAGCGGATACACCGGCGACCACACCCAACTCCGCTTATACGCTTCGCCACTGGCCGTGAGGCCCGCCACTCAGCACTTTCCTGGCCAATAGGATCCACGAGCGCCCGGGGAGAGGCGGGGTCAGAGAGAGCCAGGTCTCTTAAAGCGACCGCTCGCTTTTTTTTTTTTTTCCTCCTCATGTTGGGGTGGCGGAGCGCCCAGATTCCCAGCATCTGGACCCGCCAGCTGGTTAGCTTATCTTCCCAAATTGCATGATCGCCCTCAATACCGCGGCTAGAGTTGCATGGAGTTCTTGTCCCCCCTCCCCGCCGCTGCTCCGTCTTCTCTCGGTTGAAGGAGGGGAGCCCTAGTTAGCCTTGCTCTATGCTCCTGGACTTTCTAGCGATTGTCCTGCAAGATGGGAGTTTGAATGGATCTTCTTCATGAGTGCACTTCTTCCTTTATTGCCCACGCTCCACCACCTACCACATACAACCCCCCCTGATCTATATATAGAGGAATTGGCTGGGGAGAAGGGAGGAGATGAGTCCCAGAATTCAGGACAGGAGGCCTGAAGTCATAATGGTCACCCTGATTTTGAAGAAAGCCTCGGTGCATTTCACAGGAGACGGCAGGACGAGGACCTGGGAACGTGGATCCAGGGGCTCCCCTGGCACTGGTAAGTGTGAAAGATGCACAGGGCTCCGCCAAGGAAGGGGGTTTTGCTTGGGGTTTTGCGGGTGAATAGGAGCTCGCCAGGCAGGGGGATTCCAAGCCAAAGGACCATCACAGACAAATGCAGGGGGAGCTCGTGAAGCATCCAGGTGGTCAGGGTTTTCCAGGTGGTTGGGGGATGGGATCTAGACCCCCAGGTCCTTCTAACCAGCACCGTTATTTACAAAGGACACCCCACCCTCCAGTGCCCCGGAAGAAATCCTCCCCAACACACATATTGAGAATCACCTCCTTTTCCAAAAAAAAAAAAAAAGTTTTGTTTTATTTATTGCCTTTGGTCCACAGTTGGTAATTTCACATTATCTCATGGTCCCAGGACTCCTGGGTGGGGGCGGGGGGGGGGCTGGTCCCATTTGGGGGGTCCTGGTGGGAGTTCCCGTGCAGTGTTTAGGCAAGTGTGAGAACATTGGGGGAAGGGAGTCGGGGGTGGATCTGGGCTTGAACTACTAGAAACTCTGTTGTACCAATTAGGCTTTCAGGGGCCAGGGGAAGTGATCCAAGGGTTCTTCAAAACATGACTCCCCCCCACAAAAAAACTCAGGGATCTGTTCCCCCTTCCGCGAAAAGCAATATTTTTCTTTTGTTTCACTGCTTTTGAAACCTCTGTGGGCGCAGAAACCACTAACCGATCGGCTGAGAAAAGGGAAGAAAGGGAGAAACAAAAAGGGGGTGTGCACACGTATTATCACCCTCCCCCACCCCTCCCCCCCAGAGCCTGCTGGGAAATTTGCTGCCTAGTCTTGTCTGGATTCCCCGCCTGGCATCCCAGCATGCCTGAATCCCTGGATATGGCCCCCCCCACCAGACACCCCATGCAGCAGCACGCTTCCATATTAAAAAAAAAAAAGCGAGAGAAGGGGGCAGAGCCATAGGCCAGCAGGGAGGGTGGTTGCCCTGTACGCAGCTAACCAGGTTCAATCCCCAGCACCCCATATGGTCCCCTTGAACCCCAGCAGGAGCAATCTCTGAGCACAGAGCCAGAAGTAAACCCAGAGCATAGTCAGATGATGTGGTCCCAAAACCAAAAAAAAATTAGAAAAAAGGAGGAACCCCAGAAAAAAAAAACAGAGAAGGAAGTCAGGTGTGGGGAGACATCCCCTCCCCCCCAGTCGGGTGCCTCAGTAGCCTGCTGCCTCTTGGTAGTAGGAAGGATACTCCGGGGCATCCCCAGGGCTTGGGCAGTCACCGGCCGGGGCAGCCCCATCAGCCGCGGGACCCTGTGGGCAGTACTTGGGGTCATAGATCTGCCGGCCCAGCCCAAACACCTGTCCACTCTGGTTGGCGCCCTGCGTGTAGCCCATCTGCAGGGACATGGAGGAATTGTCGCACTTGTCGGTGCCCAGCTTGGTATCATAGATGTGACGCCGGGTGCCAGGAGCTGTCATGCCCACCTGTGGGGGCACACAGAGCATTAGGGAGTGACCGGAAGTTCGAGGAGAGCCCCGCCCGATCCCACCCCACCTCCCTGCCCTCCAACTGGCTCCAGGTACGATGCTCAAGGGGTGTCTGAGCACCTCCCCTGCCGGCTTTCAGTGACCCCCATGACTCTCTCCTTCGGGGAGTGCAGGACGGAGTTCAGGGGTGGTTGGGTGAAGCTGGCTTTTCCAGAATTCACCCAGATCGAGGGTGAAATGATGGCCAACCAGTCTTTGTTTTGGGATGTTTCCATACCAGACAGTGCTCAGAGCTCACTCCTGGCTCTGCACTCAGGAATCACTCCTGTCAGAGCTCAGGGGGGGGCCCTATGGGGTGCCAGGGATTGAACCCAGCTGTGTGCAAAGCAAACGCCCTATCGGCTGCCTTATGGCCCCAACCACTGATGAAGGTCAGGTGCAGAGAGGGGGCTGAAAGGGGGAGAAGCATATGCCCGACATGCATGAGGTCCTGGGTTCAATTCCCTGAACTGGGGACCATCTAAATAACAGCAAAGAAAAATAAGGAAAAAAAATTAAAATGCTGGGGCTGGAGCGATAGCACAGCAGGTAGGGCATTTGCCTTGCACACGGCCGACCCGAGTTCGATCCCGGCATCCCCTAGGGTCCCCCAAGAAGAAGCAGGAGACATTCCTGAGTGCAGAGGCAGGAGTAACCCCTGAGCATTGCCGGATGTGACCCAAACAAACAAAAAATAAATAAAAAAAAATAAATTAAAATAAATTTAAAAAATAAATTAAAATGTCAGCCTTAGGGCCGGAAGAGGTAGCTCAAGAAACAGCACACGTGCGGGGCCCTGGGGTTGCACCCTTGACCACACGATTTCCCCCATCCCCCAGCATGTGGAAGTCATGACCCTCCACAACCAGCGCAACATAAAGAAAGAAAATTGGGGATGGGAGCTGGAGCCATAGCACAGCGGGTAGGGCGTTTGCTTTGCAGGCGGCTGACCCGGGTTCGATTCCCAGTGTCCCATATGGTCCCACGAGCACTGCCAAGAGTAATTCCTGAGTTCAGAACCAGGAGTAACCCCTGAGCATCACCGGGTGTGACCCCAAAAAGCAAAAAAAAATGGTGTTGGAGCAATAGGATCACTGGAAGGCGCTTGCACCCGAGTTCGATCCCTGGCACCCCACAGGGTCTCCCCAAACAGTGACAAGAGTAATTTCTGAGTGCAGAGCCAGGAGTCAGCCCTGAGCATTGCAGGGTGTGCCCCTAAAACAAACGAACAAGCAAACAAAAAAGACAAACATGGCAGGGAGATCTGGGCCCGGGAAATGGTTCGAAGGGCTGGAGCACAGGCTTGGTCTGAGGGTTCGACCCCTGGCACCGCTGGAAGTGGCCCCCAAACCAAAACAAAATGTCAGAGTTGGAAAGTCCTGGGGAAGTCTTTGAGGGAAACTGAGGCACAAAATCCGGGACATGCATAAACCAAGGGGTGAGAGGGAAAGCCAGGGCGGGGAGCTTCCGAGGGAGAGGGGGTTTCTGATGAGCAGGCTGGCGGGCCAGGACCCACCTGGCTGGCACACTTGTTGGTGCCCATTTGCAGGCTGATGGTAGAGTGGTCCATGGGGGGCAGGATGTGGTTCTTTGGGTCATAGAGGTGCCTTCTGGTGCCATACGCCGTCATCCCCGACTGGCTGGCACACTTGTTGGTGCCCATCTGCGGACAGGTGGGCAGAGAGGTCAGGCTGACCCTTGGGCCACCCCCGCCCCCCTTCCGCCCTGCCACCCAGCACCCACCTGGAGCCCGATGACGCATTGGCCCGCCTTCATGGTGGCGTCGTCAAAGTTCCGCTCCTGCTTCTCCGAGTACTTGACGCCAATGTCCACGTCACTCTGCAGGCCCTTGGTCTTGGCCTAGAGGGGAGCACTACCGGGAGCACTGCGCACGGAGGCATCCTCGGGCCCGGGAGCCACGCCCACAAGTAAGCCACGCCCACAGATAACCCACACTCACTGACAAGCCACGCCCTCGGTGAGCCACACCCAAGGGGACTCAGTCGTTCTTAGTGGGTCCCCCCAGCCTGTCCCCCCTCCCCCCACGCTCTAGCAGCTTCAGCCTCTGGTGGCTCAGGGCTTTCCCCTCGACGCCCTTTTTTTTCTTCTCAGCCCACTGCCGTCCAAATCTCACCCGGACACCTGCCCCCACCTGCTCTTCCATTCCCCCGCGTGGTACTAAGAGGGTCTTTCCACAAGCCCCACCACGGAACCCAGTTAGTTCCGTGACACAGCACTCAGGACTGCCTCCCGGGGCTGGCTGTTCGCACTGGCCTGCAAGGCCTGGGTCTAACTTCCTTCCTAAGAAACACTGATTCATAATTTATAAAAGGGAATTTGAAGCATGAACCCTCACCCAACCTTCCTCTCTCATGGGCCTGCGGGGGGGTGGGGGGTGAGTGAGGAGAAATCTCTGCATCTTATTTGTAGTGAGATCAAACAGCTCTGGAAATGTCCATTAAAAACATGACTGGTGGGGGCCGGAGCGATAGCACAGCGGGGAGGGCGTTTGCCTTGCACACCGCCGACCCGGGTTCGATTCCCAGCACCCCATATGGTCCCCTGAGCACCGCCAGGGGTAATTCCTGAGTGCAGAGCCAGGAGTAACCCCTGTGCATCGCCAGGTGTGACCCAAAAAGCAAAAAAAAAAAAAAAAAAAAAAAAACATGATTGGTTCGGGGCTGGAGCAATAGCACTGCGGGTAGGGCGTTTGCCTTACACGCGGCCAACCTGAGTTCGATTCCCAGCATCCCATATGGTCCCCCGAGCACCGCCAGGAGTGATTCCTGAGTGCAAAGCCAGGAGTAAGTAACCCCTGAGCATCGCCAGATGTGACCCAAAAAGAAAAAAAAAAAACCCAGAAAACCATGATTGGTTCGCGTAGATTGCGTCTGCCTCCCCCATCAGACTCTGTTCACTTCCTCCATCAGACCGAGTCTGCTGTTTCCATATTAGACTGTTTCTGCTCTGTCTACTCTGCTTCCCCCACGAAGCTTATTTTTGGTTTTTGTTTGTGGGGTGCACCTGGTGATGCTCAGGGGCCTGGCGCTGCACTCAGAAATTACTCCTGGCGGTGCTTGGGGGACCCTATAGGGTTCCGGAGACGGAACTGCCCCTCCCCACTGTACTGTCTCTCCAGTCCCAGGCTGTCACTTCAAACTATGTCTTTGCCTGCCCCATCAGATCGTGTCTCAGACTGTGACCCGATAGCCCCCATCATTCTGTGAGCCACAAAAGGGGTGTCAGGGAGTGCTCGTCTCAGTCATTCCCAAATGCTCACTGCCTGGCTCCTGGCAGCGCTCACAAACAAATCCTTGCAAATGTTTGCAGGCAGCTGGCTAAAGTTGAGGTCACTGTGTGACCTCAGGCAGAGCGCTGCCCCTCTCTGGGCCCCACTCACCTTCCCCGCCAGGGCGAGGAGAGACACCTGCACCTGCGTCATGTTGCCGCTCTCAAACAGGTCGTTGGCCTCGAACAGGTCCACGGGGTTCATGCCGTAGCTCGCCATGGCTTTGATGAAGTTGGAAAGGTTCTCCAGCTGGGGGGGGGGGCAGGCAGAGCGGAGTGGGGTAAACCCACCCGCCCCTCCCCACCCGTCCCAGAGGCTCTCCCAGCCCGGCCACTCACCTGGTGCCAGTTCTGCATGGAGCGGTTGATCTTGGGGATGGAGCCCGGCTGTAACTTATTCATCAGTCTGGCGGGGGTCAGGGGGAGGAACGTCCAGGATGTTGGTGAGTGCAGGGGAACCTCCCTCCTCATGGCCTCGCTGTTTTCCTCTGGGCCTCAGTTTCCCCTCTGATAATCTTCACCCACCAAAGATGCCATAGCGTACCAACAACGAGTGTGGGGAGGTGGGACCCCAAACCACAGATTTGGGGGGCTGGAGTGATAACACAGCGGGTAGAGCGTTTGCCTTGCACGTGGCCAACCCGGGTTCGATTCCCAGCATCCCATATGGTCCCCTGAGCACCGCCAGGAGTAACTCCTGAGTGCATGAGCCAGGAGTAGCCCCTGTGCATCGCCGGGTGTGACCCAAAAAGAAAAAAAATACCCCACAGATTTGGGGGAGCCAATCAGGGGGTCCCGGATTGGTCTCCGCATGGACATTCCATATGCTTGGAGCTGACCTCTGGCTCTGCACTCAGGAATCACTCCTGCCAATTCTCGGGTGACACTATGGGGTCCTGGCTTTGAACCAGAGTGACCACATGCTAGGCAAACGCTCTACCCACTGACTATCTCTCTGGCCCCAAAGGTGTCAGATTCAGCCCAGGGCACTGCTGAGAATATTTTTTTGTTTGTTTTGGGGCCACCCTCAGCAATGCTTGGGGGTTACTCCTGGCTTTGCGATCAGGTGTTACTCCTGGCGGTGCTCAGGAGACCTTATGAGGTGCCGGAGATCGAACCCAGGTTGGCCGTGTGCAAAGCAAGCGCCCTCCCCACTCGAATGTTGTTCCAGCTGCCTCCAGCAAGTTTAGAAGCCCCCCTCCCCACCCTCATGAAAGGAAGTTGTGAAGGAGGGTAGTCATCGCTAGAGACCCCAGACAACGCTATAAGACAAGAAAAAGGGGAGTGAGAAAGACCCAGGCCCGAGGAAGTCCCCAGCATGTCCGACAGCCCAGCACAGGAAGTGTGGGGGGGAGGGCACAGAGTACCCATGGAGGAGGCAGGACTCACGTGCACAAGATCACCCCATCCTTCAGGCCCTTCTGGAAGTCGGCGCCGATGGACAGGCCAGTGAGCCTCTCGATCCAGCTGCGGAGCTCTGCCTCCTTCTGCGGGTCGTACTTGGACAGGAGCTGGGGAGCAGAGGACACAGGGGCAGCTGGAGACTCGGTGGGCACAGCCCCCCTGAAGTTCGGGAGGAGAGGCAGGGGGCTTGGAAATCACCCCCCCCCCCACCCGCCATCAGCAGGGGCACCCAGACCCATTTCCTGCGGCCCAAACCAGGGTCTGCTCCTGCCCACAGGCCCCGTTCCCCTGAGCTAGAAACGTGGACCTTCTCTGCTTTTGATTTTGTTTCTACTTTGCTTTTGTACCCCCCAAAACAAAGAATAATAATAAAAAAGAAGCCAGGGGGAAGGGCTGGAGCCACAGCACTGCGGGGAGGGCACTTGCCTTCATGTGGTCAACAACTTGGGTTCTAGCCCATTTGGTGCCCCTAGCACCGTCAGGAAGAACTCCTGAGCACAGAGGCGGGAGTCAGCCCCGCGTCCCACCGGGTGTGGTCTCCCCCCACCCCGCAAAAAAAAAAAAGAAAAAAAAGAAGTTGGGCTGGGAGCTGGATCAACAGCACTCGCACAGCAGGTAGGGCGTTTGCCTTGCACAAGGCCGACCCGGGTTCGATTTCCAGCATCCCATAGGGTCCCCTGAGCACCGCCAGGAGTGATTCCTGAGTGCATGAGCCAGGAGGAACCCCTGAGCATCGCCGGGGGGTGTGACCCCCCCAAAAAGTTGGGGTGACCTAGGCGAGCAGACGCTGAGGATTCCTGGAGTAGGAGGTAAGGGGCCCCTAGGGGTTCTGGGGGTGCGTTCTCTTATGCCCCCAGCCTGGAACTCTAAGAATGCCCGTCCCCGCCCACCCCTGATCTGGGATGACTGGACACAGCTCCCAGGCCTGTCTGGGTCCGGAGTCCTGGGCCGCGGCGGGATGTGGCCGGATCAGACACACGATCCCGGTGGCGGCGGCGGCAGGAGCCCGTCCAGGAGACAAAGGCGAGGGGCGGCCGGCTCACCCGATCCGCGGATTTGCCCCGGCCCCCCTCCCCGCCCCCACCACCCTTGGCCTCTGCGTTCCCACGGGCCCCGCCCGCGCCCAGCTTGGTTCCAGGAAGAGCGAGGTGGGGTGGGGACGTGCAAGGAGCTGGTGGGGACGCGCGCGCCCGCCCGTGGGGGGCTGCCAACAGGGGGGGGGCTTGGGGGGGGCTGGGCTGGGCGGGGCTGGGGGGGGCGCGTCCCACACAAGACAGTCCTAGGGAGGAGGCGTGGGGGGGGGTCAGGGGGCCCCGGGGTCAGGGCAGAGGCGCCCGGCCCCGCCCGCAGTGGCTGGCTGCCCCCCCCCCCCCCTCCCGCTGCCTTTCAGCACATTCCTGCTGGCCACAAATTGTCAGGAATGCGGCCCGGCCTCCCTGCTAAATCTGGACCAGCTGTTGTTGGGGGGTGGGGGCGCAGGACAGGGCGGGTGGGGGGGGGGGTGGCCGGTAGGGATCGGGTGGCCAGAGCTGTTCAGAGCTGCCCGCCGCCCAGCTCAGTTCAGCCGGCGGGGGTAAACTGAGGCACGGGTGGCCGGAGTAGCTAGCGGGGAGGCGGCCTCTAGGTGCTCTAGGTCCCTCCCCTCGGAGAGCTGGTGAAGGGATGGAGACCCAGGAAATTGGGGTGTTCGAGAGTGGGCGCCCCCCACCCCACCCCGGAGGGGGGGGTCTCTGGCTGGCGCCCTGGGCCACGCCACCCCAGATCGCCTCATGCCTCACAGAGCAGGAAGCAATCTGCTCCCCTCCGCCCCCTTTCTACCACTCCTGTGTCCCCCCCCCCATCCTCTAGGGAAGGCACAGCCCCTACCAGCCCCACGCACACCCCCTCAAATCTAGCCACCAGGTCCGAGGGCCACCCCAAGTCTGGGTGTCTGGAACACACATCATCGGGGCCCCTAGAAATCAGCGGGGTGCTGGGAGTGGGCGGGGGGCTGAAGTTGAGCCCCGTCGACTGGGCGCTGGGTTCGGGAAGTGTCTAACCACGACCTCCTGGTCTGAGAAGGTGGAGATGGGCAATGGGGAACTGTGCCCTTGTGTGTGTTGGGGGGTGGGGGGACCTGGTAGGGCTGCACCTCGGGGTGCCCAGGAGGCTCCAATGCTACTGCAATGCAAGGGGAGGGTGGTAGGAAGGACCCTCCCCTAGCTGGAAGGGCCCTCTCCCCCCACAGGCTCTGAGATTAGGGCCCCATGCTCGGTTCCTGTGTTGCCTCTTGCTGTGTGACCCTCGGCTGGTGTACTTCCCTCCCTGAGCTAGAACCACAGAACTTCCTGCATCAAAAGCGTCTCTCTCCCCGCCAGAGCCATAGCACAGCGGGAAGGACACTAGCTTTGCACTCGGGTTTGGCACCTCCAGAGCCCCACCAGCAGGGACCCCTGAGCACAGAGTCAGAAGTCATCCCTGAACGGCCCCGGGTGTGGCCAAAAAAAAGCAAAAAACAAAACAAAACAAAACAACACGCAACCAAAAAAGTGTCTCTCGGGCACTCTTGCCGGATTGCAGACCCCATACATTTTAGGGTCCCGCTCACCCCCCATGAGCCCTGTAGTCCCCAAACAAAAGATCCCGGAGAAGGGGGGCTGGGTGGGTGGCAGGTCTCACTTCCGCTGGGCCCTCCCCAGGTGTCAGGGAGGTGGGGACATTCTTGTGGTCGGGGGCACCCACCCTTCTCAGCAACCCCAGCCCCGCCCCCTTCCCCTCTCCAAACCCGAGTGGCCCCAAAAGCAGAAGTGAGTTGGGGGGGATGGAGCAGCGAGGTGCTGGGGGTCCCCCGCCCCCCACTCACACACACCCCCACAGCCCCCAGCATCGCAGGGTCCCAGCCTGAGAGTGTGGCTGTGTCTCTGGGGGTCGGGGGGGGGGGTGCCCCCTGGGGAGACTGCGGGTCTGGGGGCGGCATCCCCCCCCCCAAATTCACCCCAGATGTTGGGGCCACAGCAGATCCCTGACCTCACCGCCCCCTGCCTGACCCCCAGGGCGGGATGCTCACTGCTCCCCCTGACCTCGATGAGTCTGGGGTCCCCCAAGGAGGCGGGGGACAGGGGGGTGGGACCCCAGGTTTGGGGGGATGCTGCGGGCACCCGGCCCCGCCCGCGTCCCCCCACTCACCCGGTTCTTGACCTCGGCGGACAGCCCGTAGGAGGGGCCTTTATTGAACTGCGTGGAGCTCATGGCCAGCGGCGGCGGCGGCGGGACCGGGATGGACAGACGGACTGACAGACGGACGGACGCGGGCCCGGCCCGGCCCGGCGGGGGAACCGGCCCGGGCCCGCCCCCCGCGCTGATTGGCCCCCGGCGCACATGCCCTTATAAGGCCGGGCCGCGCGCATTCCAGCCGCCGCCGCGCGCTTCCTGCGCCCCCCGGGCCCCGGGACCCCCCGCCCCACGGGCGCGCGGGGCAGCACCCCCGTCCCGGGCGCCCGCCAGGGAGCCCGGCCCCCCGCGGCAGCCGTGGGAAACCGAGGCAGAGCTGGCCGGACCGTTTGCACCGCCCTGCCTGGCTTACACTTTGGGGGCCTTAACGGGGAGTAGGGGGTGGGGGGTGGCACCGGACTGAGTTGGGTGGGATTCCCCAATCAATCCATCCCCTGGAAGCAAAAATGACAGGGGCAGAGGGGGGTGCGCTCCGGGCGCCGCCTGCCGGTCTCGGTCCTCCAGGAAACGCCCAGAGGGAGCAGAGCCGGGCTCCGCCCGAAGGGCATTACAAGTGGGGTTTTGAAGAATGCGTAGGAGTTCGACTGTCATCGCGGCGCCCCCATGTGTGTAGGGGGGCACCTGTGAGATAGTGCGACAGGGAGAACTCGTGTTTTTCTTTTTTTCTAAATTCTTCTTTGTTTTGTTTTTGGGGGTCACACCTGATGATGCACAGGGTTCACCTCCTGGCTCTGCACTTAGGAATTACTCCTGGCGGTGCTCAGGGGACCATATGGGATGCTGGGAACTTGGGTCGGTCACGTACAAGGCAAACGCCCTACCCGCTGTGCTATAGCTCCAGCCCTTTTTTTGGGGGGGGTGGTCACACCTGGCAATGCACAGGGGTTCCTCCTGGCTCATGCACTCAGGAATTACTCCTGGCGGTGCTCAGGGGACCCTATGGGATGCTGGGAATCGAACCTGGGTCGGCCGCGTGCAAGGCAAACGCCCTACCCGCTGTGCTATAGCTCCAGCCCTTTTTTTTGGGGGGGTGGTGGTCACACCTGGCAATGCACAGGGGTTCCTCCTGGCTCATGCACTCAGGAATTACTCCTGGCGGTGCTCAGGGGACCCTATGGGATGCTGGGAATCGAACCTGGGTCGGCCACGTGCAAGGCAAACGCCCTACCCACTGTGCTATCGAATCAGCCCCCCCCCCTTTTTTCTTTCTTTTTTGCTCTTTGGGTCACACCCAGCGCTGCACAGGGGTTACTCCTGGCTCATGCACTCAGGAATTACTCCCAGCGGTGCTCAGGGGATCATAATGGGATGCTGGGAATCGAACCTGGGTCGGCCACGTGCAAGGCAAACGCCCTACCCGCTGTGCTATAGCTCCAGCCCTTTTTTTTGGGGGGGGGGGGTCACACCTGGCAATGCACAGGGGTTCCTCCTGGCTCATGCACTCAGGAATTATTCCTGGCGGTGCTCAGGGGACCCTATGGGATGCTGGGAATCGAACCTGAGTCGGCCACGTGCAAGGCAAACGCCCTACCCGCTGGTGCTATATCGCTCCAGCCCCGAGAATGCTTCTCTTGCAGGCGGATTTACCTGGGTTCCATCTCTGGCATCCCATAGGTTGCCCTGAGCCCTGCCAGGAGAGATCTCTGAGTGCAGAGCCAGAAGTAAGTCCTGAGCACCCATGGCGCCTAAAAACCCAAAGGGAAAAACAAAAAACTAAGAAGAAAGAAAGTACTATCGCAGCGGCCCCATCTAGCAGATTCCCAAGTGTACTGATGCATCAATAAATAAAACCATCAATAGAATAAATGAGTTCGTTAACTATTCATTTTCCCTCGGCTCCAGCCTGGACCTCTGGGACTGCCCGCTCTCAACTCTGCTGGTTCCCAGGAGGTCTTGGTTCTGCTCTGCCCATCCCTGGAAAGACATCCCGCCTTGTCCAAATGAACAAATCCAGGAGAGAGAAGGATGTAGATCTGGAAGAGAGAAGGGGACTGTGATGGAGGGATTTAAAAAAAAATAAAATGTTGCAGCCAAATGGGACATGGGAAATGGGGTTTTGATGCATGGGTAGGAGTTTGGCAACTCTATTACCAAACCTCAGTCTGGGTAATTGTGGCTTAAAGGACAATTACTTGAGAGACAAGAGTTGGTGTCAAAAGAGAAGAGATTATTCATGGGGAAGCTTTCAAGTCTGAAAGATGGGGGGGCTCACGTGCCCCCAGAAAACCTCCACTTGGGGGTCTGGAGCAATAGAACAATGGGTAGTGCGTTTGCCTTGCACGTAGCCCACCCGGATTCGATTCCCAGCACCCCATAGGGTCCCCCGAGCACCGCCAGGAGTAATTCCTGAGTGCATGAGCCAGGAGTAACCCCTGTGCATCGCCGGGTGTGACCCAAAAAGCAAAACAAAAAAAATTTTTTTTAAAGTAATACGGTGTTCATGCCTGCTTCAATCAGCTTAATCAGTGGCTGAATAAATAGCGGTACTCCTACATTAAAAAAAAATTAATAAATCAATAATAAAGTCCTGGGCAGGGCCCAGACAGATAGCAGTAGGGAGGGCGCTGTCTTTGCACGTGGCAGACCCAGCTTTGAACCCTGGCACCCAATATAATTCCCGGAGCCCCGCCAAGAGTGATCCCTGAGTTCAGAGTCAGCAGTAAGAGCTGAGGCCCAAAGACCAAAGCGAAACGAAAGCGCCTCTTTCAGGCTGGAGAGAAAGTAGAAAGGTGGAAGGGTTCGCCTTGCCCGTTGGCACACCCGGGTTTCATCCCCGGCACCCCCGAGGGTCACCCCAGCACCACCAGGAGTGACTGCTGAGTGCAGAGCCAAGAGTATCGTTCCGCGGAGGGTGGTCCAAAAGCAAATAAACAAACAAGAGAAAAGATGGAGTGAGTTTGAAATCAGAGCCCTGTTCCAGGCTCCCTTCAGGCGGGCTGTAAAACTGACCAGGACGCAGTTTGCAAAGGCACAAACTATCCCAACCATCTGTCCCGTCAGCCCGTCCCCTCCTCTCTCCGAGCTTACAGAGAGCCTTGAACCCCCAAGAACGCCTTGGGGGCCAGAGCCATGGGACAACAGTTCAGCCGAGAGGGCACTGGCGTTGCACGCAGGCTAGTGGGGTTTGATCCCCGGCATTCCATAGGGTCTCCTGGCTCCCCCCGCCCCCAACACACACACCTCCCCCAGTGATCCCTGAGCACCACTGGGCATGGCCCAAAAAACAAAGTAAAGTAAAGGCCCTCCCGTTGATCATCGATTTGCTCGAGCGGGCCCAGTAACGTCTCCATTGGAGACTTTGTTGTTACTGTGTCTGGCATATCGAATACTCTCGGTAGCTTGCCGGGCTCTCCGAGAGGGGCGGAGGAATCGAACTCGGGTCGGCCATGTTGGCTGTGTGCAAGGCAGACAGCCCTACCCGCTGTGCTATCGCTCCACAGTAACAACAAAGTCTCCAATGGAGACGTTACTGGGCCCGCTCGAGCAAATCGACGATCAACCGGAGGCCCAAAAAACAAAAAAGAATAAAATAGAGGCTGGAGTGATAGCACAGCGGGGAGGGCGTTTGCCTTGCACGCGGCCGATCCGAGTTCGATTCCCAGCATCCCATATGGTCCCCTGAGCACCGCCAGGGGGTAATTCTTGAGTGCAGAGCCAGGAGTAACCCCTGAGCATCGCCAGGTGTGACCCAAAAAGGAAAAAAAAATGAAAAAAATAGGGGGCTGAAGTGATAGCACAATGGATAGGGCATTTGCCTTGCATGTAGCCGACCTGGGTTCGATTCCCAGCATCCCATATGGTCCCCTGAGCACCGCCAGGGGGTAATTCCTGAGTGCAGAGCCAGGAGTAACCCCTGAGCATCGCCGGGTGTGACCCAAAAACCAAAAAAAAAAAAAAAGGAAAGCAAAGAAAGCACTCCATGGGCTCTTGTCCTGGGAGTGGGGGCGAAGGGGGGTGTCGGGAGGAAGGGGGAGGGGTCACAGCACCCTTGTGGGGCATTTGAACGGAATGACAGGAGCTAAAAAAAGGACTTTTCTGAAGAGAAACAATTTTAAGCGGTGAAAAGAATCAAAAGCAAACCGAGGTCCGTGCCATCTGGAAAGCATTTAATGTTTAAATTCAGCGCCCAGACCTGTCTTGAGCGGCAGCTGGCCCCGCCAGGGAGGGGGAGGCCCCCTCGGTTTGGCGGGGAGGTGGTGTCCGCCCGCAGAGCTCAAAATATTCCTGTTTTTGCTTTTTCCCAGACCCTCCCCAGAATCCAAGGGATGCAGAGGGGGGTGGACACCCCCGATTCAGTTTGTATCTTGAGGGGATTTTGAGGGTCGCACCCTGCGGCGCTCAGGGCTGACTCCTGGCTCTGCGCTCAGCGATCACTCTCGGCGGTGCTTGGGGGACCCTATAGGATGCCGGGGATCGAACCGGGTTGGCCGCACGCCAAACAAGCACCCTCCCCGCTGTGCTACTGCCCTGGCCCCACCCAGGATTCTAAATATTGTGGGATTAGGGAGATGCCTCCTTGAGCTGAGTGCATGCTACGTACTCAGTCGGCTTGGGGTTCAATCCCGGGTTCAATCCCCAGGACCGAGCGTATCCTGAGCATTGCGAGCTGTGGTCCATACACAGAAAAAGAAAGTGAGAAAGAAAAAGGAAGAATGAAAGAGAATGGGGCTGGGGTGATAGCACAGCGGGTAGGGCGTTTTCCTTGCACGCGGCTGACCCGGGTTCGATTCCCAGCATCCCTTAGGGTCCCCCGAGCACCGCCAGGAGTGATTCCTGAGTACAGAGCCAGGAGTAACCCCTGTGCATCGCCGGGTGTGACATAAAAAGGAAAAAAAAAGAATGAAAGAGAAAGGAAGGAAGGTAGGGAGGGAGGGAGGGAGGGAGGGAGGGAGGGAAGGAGGGAAGAAGGGAGGGAAGAAGGGAGGGAAGGAGGGAGGGAAAGAGAAAGGAAGGAAGGGAGACAGAAGGAGAGGAAGAGAAAGAAAGGAAGAAAGGAAGGAAGGAAGGAAATTGTGTTTGTAGCCAATGAGGTTGCAATTTCAG